GCCATTTTGTTTTACCATTTAAGCTTAGAATATTTAAATGTGAAATCTATATTCACTCCGCAGTGCAAAGAAAGTGAGGCTATGAAACCCCCTTGCCATCAGTGAATAAGAAAATACCTAGTTTTCTCTCGATTTCTGCCACCATTCACTTAATCTTTGCTTGGTAATCTCTACAGTCTTGAAATCCACTCTCCCTTCGCTGTCTCTAAAACCCAATGACTTTATTAAATCTATGTTGTCTTCGGTAGGCATAGGGTGAAGCCCTTTGCAGTAGAGTATCAAGTGCTCAGCCGTCTCGTCCTCCTCTCCACAAGCAATGCACACTGTATCCATTTCCTGGTACTTCACTCTGTATGTTCTGGTTCGCAGAACACCCGTTCTTGCCTCAAACAGCAATGAGCTTCCCCTAGAATTGTCATAAATGCTTTCTTTGGCAATAACTCTTTTGTTTAATCTATAGCTTTCCAGAGCAGTCTTTGTCTGCATTCCCTCTAGCCACCGATCCCTTTCTGTGGCCTTAACTTTCTTCTTAACTGAGACTTGCTCTTCCGTATCTTCGCTATAGCCCAAAAACTTTCCTCTTAATTTCCTAGTGCGCTGTCTCCACTTTGTGTCTACACTCCTCATGTATAAATAGCTGAAAACCTTTCGTGCCCATTGCTCCCCATCCATTAGCCTCAACCTATCCTCAAATTCTACCTTGCTCACCGCTTCCCTGCTCTCAAATGATGCCCATCCCATGTCTCCTTGTACTCCCTGGTTTGGCGTTTTGCAATGCGCCCCCAAAGCCAGTCTACCTACTCCGCGCTGTTTTATTTCTAGTTTCGCATGCACTTCGGATTTCATGCATAGCACTGCGTTTCCAAATGTCAAGCCAGGCACCATGACCCCTTTCCAAATCTCTCTCACCACCTCATACCTGTTGTAATTCCAAAGTGCTCTATTTTTCATTACAGCTGCATTTCTGTTGCCCTTACCTATTATATACTTTTCATGGTCTCTGAGATATTCTGCACCATCACATATCCATACTCCTAGATACTTGTATTTACTAGCTCTCTCAACTGTAATATTCTGTATCTTCAGCCTCTCAACTTCATCCTCGTTAAAAATCATGACTGCCGATTTTTCGCTACTGAATTCTAAACCTAATTCCTCTCCTTCCCTACCACAGATGCTCATTAATTCCTGCAACTCTGTCCTGTTGTTAGCCATTAGTACAATATCATCCGCATACATCAATCCCGGTAAGGATTGCTGAATTTTTTGGCCTAGCTTACTGTAAGAAAGGTTGAACCCAAGCCCACTCTTCTCTAGTCTATCCTCCAATCCTCTCAGATACAACATAAACAGCAAAGGCGATAACGGGCACCCCTGCCTAAGGCCTCGTCTTATCTCTATTTTCCCTGTCGCCTTTCCTTCCCATGTTATAATCACCTTGTTATCTTTGTAAATGTTCCTTAATAGTGCTGTTAGTCCTTCATCTAGGTTTAAGTTCTCCATTATGTCCCACAGGTTTCTTTGGTTCACATTGTCATAGGCACCCTTGATATCCAGAAATGCCAGCCAGAGCTGTCTGTTTTCTTTTTGCGCTATTTCTATACACTGTGTTAGAGAAAATAAGTTGTCCTCCAACCTTCTTTGTTTTCGAAACCCGTTCTGTAACTCGCCCAGTATGCCCTCGCAATCTACCCATTCCTCCAGTCTGTTCTTTATAATCTGCATTACCAACCTGTAAATAACCGGTGTCACGGTTATAGGACGATAATTTCTAATATCAGACTTATCTCCCTTTCCCTTATATATCATACTCATCCTACTAAGCCTCCATTCATCTGGAATATTTCCTTTTGTTATCATGGTACTCACTACCTCCCTTAGTTTTGCCTTAGATTTAGGACCCAAATTCTTCACCAGCTTGATAGGGATACCATCTGTGCCTGTCGACGTGCCACTAGGGACTCTTCGTTCCGCCTTTTCCCATTCTCTTTGTCCAAAATCCGCGATGTCACAAACTGGACTGCTACTTCCTTCGGTTCTCCTATCTTCCACATGTACCCGTTCCCGAAATTTCTCCTCCATCACTGCTCCTATATATTGTATCGCATCATCTCCCTCTAATTGATCTCCCTGATGCGAGAGTATGAACCTCTGTCTAGCTTGCGTTGTTTCACCGAGTGAGTTCAAGTGCTCCCAAAACTTCTTGGCAGCATTTCTATCTTTCTTACTTACATTACTCATCCATTCCTCACCCTTTCTCTGAATTTTCGCATTGATCAAACTGGATGCCTCTCGGCGACATGTTACAAAATTGTCCCATTTTCTTTTTACTTCCGTTTCGGACTCCCCACTACGCTTGGAATACCTGTGTTCTCTAGAGGCTTCCTGACGTTTTTGTATCGCTTGCTTCACTTCTTTGTCCCACCAACTTTTTGGTCTATGTCCTTGCTTCCCCTTTCGTTTACTCTTAACTTTGTCTAGTTCTAGAGAAAAAAGCCTAGTTAGGCTCTCATAGGTCCAATCTGTATGCCATTGCCCTGAAACTGCTGCCTCTATTCTTTCAACAACTATTTCCAACTCTTTGTCGCTGCAGAAAGTTTGCTTTGAATTATGTTGTCTAGTTTCAGCATTTACTTCTCTGGCAAAATTCAGCTTAATACGTTTGTGATCACTACCAAGACTTTTGGAACCTTCTTCATCTATTTTCATTACTTGTAACTTACCATATATTTTGTGTGACATGAGTACGTAATCTATAGTTGAATGCAGATTGCCAGTTTCCCAAGTTATGTGCCCGTCACACTTCTGACTGGTATTACATAAAACTAAGTCATGTTTTTCCACCAGTTCTAGTAATATGCTTCCAGTTGAGTCCGTATACCCATCCAGACCCTCAATATGGGCATTCATGTCTCCCATAATAATTATTTCGGAGCCTTCGCCTAGTTCACTAATGTCTCTTGATATGCAATCAATCATTTTTCTGTTTTCCTCTTTAGCACCTGTCCCTGTCCATAAGTAAACCACTCCAAGGACTGTTGATTCCCCAGCGACTTTTCCTTTCAGCCACAAATGTTCGGCGCACTCCTTTCTGATCCTTTGAAAGTTCATATTCTTCTTAATAAATGCTCCAATTCCACCTCCCTTCCTCGTTCCCTCCATTCTGTTGCATTCTTCCCACACATAGTCAGGGTTGCAAGGTGGCTGCTCCATGTCTCTGAGATGTGTTTCCACAAACCCATACACCATTAAATCCTCCTTTCTTAGTTGCTCCTCCACCTCTTCCCATTTTAACCTATTTCTACCACCCTGCATGTTAATATATCCAATGTCTGATTGTGCTGATTTTTTATACCTGTTCTTACGTTTTCTCCTCTTTTTAACCCTGGGTGCCTCTCCTGACTTTGTTGGGTTTTCAGTTACTTCAGTGCCCCCAGGGCCCTCGGTCCCCCCAAAAAAGCAGTCACCGTGCGGCCCATCCTATCCCCCACCCTGTAACCCGTGGCCTCACTGTAGTGAATGCCATCTGCAAAAGGGCGGGAGCCAGCCTCGTACACTTCTCTGTTTACTTCCATTACGTCGTACCGAAGCTGTCGACTCATACCCTTAATTACTCCGTTGGCTTCGACAACCCTCCTCTCCGTTAACCCGGACTGCCCCCGAACTTCTGGAATGGTGCACACAACCACATGCACATTCTCAGACACGTCCCTCAGCTTACGTATTCCCACGTTTAGCTGCTTTCCGAGGTTCTGGCTCCTGCCCTTCAGCACATCATTAAGCCCCGCATGAACTATTACTAGGTTCCTTCCCTCCCGGTTATCCCACACCCTCTCACGTGCTGCGGTCATAGCATCCACCATACACTTCCCTGGCTGGACCTCTACGGTTACCCTCTGGTCTCCCTTCACCCTGTTATGTACACCCCTCCTAACCCGTGCTACGTTAGAGCTCCCCACTACCAGTACCCTAGATCCCCCTGGTGCCTGCGCGCCTTTGTCCTGCGACTTATCTCCTGTCACCTGACTGCCCGACGCCTGCTGCTCGAAGGCGCCATTGAGCTGAGGTTCAATCAGCTCTCCAGCGTCGTCGAGCCCGCCTGCGTCGTCGAACCCGCCGCCAGTAGCGCAATCCAGAACGCCGCCTCTCGGCGACTAGCGGCGAACGCCCGGAGGTTCCAACTGCGGTCAGAAATGCACGGAGAACGTGAGAAAATCGTTGTTTCTTCAGCATTGTGGGAATATACGGAATGGCAATCGTTTGTGACATAATAATGGAACATTTTAGAATAATTTGCGCTAAGTTTTGTGACCCGCAAGAACCTGACTTTTTTTTAAAAATTGCTTGAGCGGCATCATGCAGCAGACGACACGGCGACGTCACACCATTCACGTGACCCGCTCCGGCCAACCCGAAAAGCCCATCTCCGCTGCGAGCAAAAATCGTCTGCTTCAAACGCCATTGCCTTGGAAATTGCCTTCTCAAAATTTGCACACGCATCCGATATTATTAAAACTTTGACAAAGTGTTTAGTGCTTTACTAACTTCACGACAGACTAGTTTTGAAAAGTGCGAACTCGCCGTTCATTTTTTAATCAGCCGTGTTGTACCGATCTCCATGTATTCTCCCATAGGGCGGGCCGCCTCCTGGAACCCTGAGTACCACGTGACTCGCGCCGAGCCGCTCTGTCGGCCATCTTGTCGGCAAAACACGAGGTTCAAAGGATTGCGCTACTCTGCTCCGTAGGAGCTATATAGTGCTCTAGTACCGCCCACGCTGTGGTACCGCCCACTTGTACCACCGGTACTGCCGGTACCACCTCACAAATACAAGAAAAATTATTATAAATATTTAGACACATTTTATTATGTTTACAGTGCCTTAAGTATATTATTTTGGTTATAATGTAACAAAAAATACTTTAGAGGAACAGTGCGGGCCGTGCGGGCACGCAGGGGTACGCGGGTAATTGTAAAACAACTAACGCCACCTGGAAGAGTGCGTTCCCAGTCCTGCTCGTGTCCGCATCTAAACTTGTGGCCCCCGCTGCAAGATGAATGCTGATGTGAACCGAAAAGGTTAGTTTTATTACGAAGAAATACAATCTACTCTTTTGTCCCGAGTCTCGCATAAAAGCGTGAATGACGGTAAGCTAATCAGTGCTTGTTTCTCCACAGTTATGGCCATCCAGGCGAAAAAAAAGCGCTCAAAAGGGCCCAAGTCGAAGCTCAAGGGCCGCTCGGATGCATCTGACAAGAAGAGGTAGGCCTAGTCATTGCTGCATCTGTCCGTTTTACCAAACACTGGAGAGCTTTCTACTGCCGTTCAGTGTAAAGGGAGACGAACGCTTCGTCGTGAACCCTTCGTGGAAGAGTCTGGGGCTCAGCTGCGTTGAGACAGCGCAGTTCGGCGCAGCCTGTGGCGGCTCGCTTCGTCTCGTCAAGTTTCTCGCAAGTCGCCAGGAACTTGACGCCGCTTGCGATCCGTGCCGGATCGGCGCTGGGGCTCCGGTGGGCCATATTTTTGACTGTCGAAATTTGTCGCTGGTGTACCGGAGTGCGCCCCCCAGCATGACTCGTATGAAGCCAAATGACTAAACTTGAGCATGATGTCGTACCCGTACCGCGGTGTAAGCCTAAATTGAACGGCTATTGGAAGCGGTCCGGATGTTTTCGGTCGCGCCCCGGGCTCTTGATTGTCCTCGGCGCCGTCGCAGATTGCGGTTCTCGTGGCCGCAGCCGCCCGGTCTCCCCAGAAATCCGCGTCTCCCCTTATTCAGCGGTGATGTCGCCGTCGGAGCATCGATGGAGAGTGAAACAAGACCGAAAAAGAAAAAACGGGGCTTTCTCTTCGTCATCATCTTCGAGTGAGAGATCGCTGTCTCCGAGGGGAGAATCCCACGCTCTATTTTCTTCTTTCTCGCGCAATTGCACGTTGATGAAGGCATATCTCGCGACTCGATTCATAACCCGGCGACAGGCGTTCACCTCGGCGAGATGTCAGCGCCGCTCGCTCCGGTCCACGGACTCGGGTAACGTCCTCGTCGCTTTTCTGGCGGATCCTCGCTCGTTACTTGGGGAAACCTTTTCGCCGAGCTGTCATTTATCTCTATCATTTTTTTGTTTGTCGCTGGCCAACGTCTTGAGATCGGGCCAGCCCACCCCGTGCAAGTTTAGCTTCGATGGGTTTGGACATGCGCATTGATTTACTGTCGCTAGCGAAGGGTAGAAATGTCCATTCTCGTTAAACGGTTACCCCGGAAAACGGGCCACGCGCAAACATCGTGCGCCGCCGCCGTCGTCTGCTGGCTCTCTACTCCAGCCCGAGTCTACAGGGCGCCTGTGTTCGCGCCCGCAGCCAGTTGCGTCTTTCCGATTCCTCATTGGACCGTGAGAAACGCCGGCGAGAGACTGGTCCTTCGGTGGACTTGAAGGGACACTGACCGGGTATTTATGCTCGTCGAGGTTTTTAGTTGTACGTCACATATGAGAGCCCAACTACCCAGAACAGAATTTGCGGCTCGAAATTCGGTTTCTTTCCGCCCGAAAACCGCCGATCGAGAACTGGCCGGTTTGAGTCGCGCTCACTATCTTCTCCGTGGTCACGGGCCGTTTTCTAAGGTTTAGACACAACCACCAAATTTAATCAAAGTCGTGGGTCATTGAAAGCACACACTCAATATTAAAAATAGACAAAAAAAAATGAAACCCATTTTTTGTGACTTCTAAAAAACTGCAAATACGCTGATTGAAAAAAAAAAAAAAAAAGTTGCACAGAGAACCAGACGCATTCTGTGCGTTCACTGCGTAATTCTCAACATAGCGTTGTATCGCGTATCCTGGGACTCGCGGGCTGGACGACGATGGCAGCAGATGACGGACGTGGGACCTCTACTTCAGAACTGTCGTTCGCAGTACCGGCAAATTCTGTCTTCCTTTGAGAGAGAAATTTTGGACCGATCAAAGGAATTGGTATTCACCCGTGCAGCACGCCCGACTACCAAGCCGATTTGCTCAAAGACGTCGCCGAGCCGTCGCTCCTTCTCGTGGCTGAAGACACTGCTCGTGCAAACGTCGAGCACGAAGTGCATACTACGAGTTGAATATGCACGCGTGTGATTTCTTTACTAGGTGCGAATGTGGTATGCGTGGTGCTTCCCGACTTTGAGCCGGGAGGGCATTTGCTGGGGGGAAATCGACAGCAAACTTTTTGACCTACAGTCGACCGGCTGCATTACTGTGAAGAGTTACCCCAGTAGCTCGGTGGAAAGACGTCCGCTTCACACGCAGCAGACTCAGGTTCAATCCCTAGTGTGGGCGTACCATTTTTTTTTTGTCAAACATTTTGCCATATTTACATTTCTATTTTTACAATTATCACTGAAGAAAACAACAAATGTTGTGGATGATACGTTGCTGAACTAAATATTATGGGATTCCCTTTTCGATACTTGCTAACTCAATGTATTCACTTTCCACAAAATGCAAGGAGCATATGAATCGGGTGGTATCTGCTTTCCGAAGTGCCCGTAACTGTTCTACAGCTATTACAGCCAGCCATCAGTCCCAATCCCATTGATCTTTCGGAAACTTGTGCACTCTGCCGCACAATGCCACTTTCGGATGCCGGACACGTGAGGCAGCTCTTCATGCAACATCTTGGGGGTATTCTTTTTCGGAGCTGATCACGGGAATTCACCACAGGCACTTACTACTCATTTCCAACCCTTCAATGTACAAAACAACTCATCTTGAAGTACGGAACAGCGAGCAGAACAAACATAATCGCAAAGGGATCGCATATAAAACAATTCCCACAGCGTCTGTCGTCTGCTGCGCGCAACCAATAAAAATGAACAAAAAACATCCTCTATATTTCTCCAACTTCCGTGCACAGGTTTCGGTTTCGAGCAGTTGCGTTTTTGACTTTATTAAAATTATGTGACTTTGTAGCAAAATATTAATTGGGTAGTCTTCCAATAACCATAATAAATCGCCTGGCAAAGAATGAAACATTTTTTTTGGGGGGTGTCAGTGTCCCTTTAGTGCCGGCTCTCCGCCGAACAAGTGCTGTGGTGAAGCCGGTTGCCTCGTGGTGGTATTTGGACAGCCCTTCAGCCAAGCTCAAAGGTCTCTACTGAAATGCCTTTGCCCCGAGCGGGGGGACACCGTGATCACTGGGAACGATTCTTTCTCAGTTGAAAAATCGAAGTTCTAAAGTAGGTAGGTTGTATCGACTGACATCTGCAGTGCAGAGTTTTCAAATTCTTTAAACTAGATGTTCAACGAGCATATTGGATGGTCAAAGGCAGTGTGTCTTTCTTGCCCCATTGTGTGAAACACGTCTTTCGCATAGCTGCCTAACAGCATATGCAAAAGTCATACATCGCCACCATGCAGTCGGTTTAGCTTTGATACCATTATTTATTCATCTCTTTGTGGGTCATCCCACTAGCGGCTCAACCACATAGAGCACTTTTATTGCTTTTGCTGTCTAACTTTTGCTGCACATACCAGAAAATGTGCGAGAAACAGGAGATATCTGAGTGCTTCTTTATACCAACTCAGTTCTTCAATTTTGCATAATTTTTGGAACAGTTTTGGTTGTGTGCATGTCAATATTGGAGGTCTCAGATTTTCTAAGCATTTGAGCCCCAGAAACTTTCGGGAGATGGCACTTTTTGTTGAAATTTTTTGCTATTTGCAATATTTGCCATCTTGCATCACAAATGTTGTATATGGAGTAGGCTTAGTTTGGAAAGGCTACTAATCAAAGCCTGATTATGCACATACTGGGAATGATAGCAGTTTAATGACCGAGGCATTCACCTCTTGCTCCTCACTTAACGTTTGCTCATGCTCCAGAATCCCAGGCTCGGTTATGCTGCTCGCAGTGTAAGTACTTCTGCAGCGGGGCTGGGGAATGCTAGGCGTAAATAAGTCTTCTCGCCATGTCCTAAGACGTGTGACCGAAAAGCGTGAAGACTCAACAAAAACCATTAAAACTAATGGTCCAATGTTGGCAAAGGTTTTGCGGTTGTTGTTTTTCTGCCTTTCCTTTTTAAACAAAAATTGGGGAATGTCTTGGTTGAGTGTATGTAGGCCAGCGTTCCCCAAGGTGCAGGGGTACAGCAGGCAGAGTTCTTGACCTCGTCCCGAGGGCAGTGTCTGAGGCCCAGTGTCGGTGCAGGAGCGAGTCCCAGTACGACTATCCTGGGGAGGATGAAGAGGAGGAAGAGGAGATTCTGGGCTCCGACGACGACGAACAGGAAGATCCAAAGGACTACTGCAAAGGTGGGCCGCCGAGACTTCTCGGGACGTTAAAGGGACGCTGAAGTCGATTGTAGAAAGGGTTGTTTTTGATCTTATATTGTTTAATATATGTTAATTCTCACATTTACCAATTCCTATATTACAAAATCACCTATTTATCTCAGAACAAGACAAAAGCATGTGCACTATTTTTTTTTTCGCGGACTACACTGTGTGGATTAATGAAAGCCCTACAATACACGCAGATTCCGAATGATTTTATTATAACTCGTTTCGAAGACAGTGTCATAGGTACACATTCAGATAAGACTCCTCTTTTTCACCGTTGGTGAAGCCATCGCTTGCAACTCGCCGACAAGCGTCCTTCGCCGACCACTTCATTCGGAAGAAAATTCTTCCCCAAAAGGGCGTGTCACGATCTTCAAACACTCTTTTAACGAGGAAATAAGCTACGCACGATTGTGATTCCGGGCTTGTTGGGATGCTTAGAGCGTCTAGATTGAGTTGTCACCACAAAAGGACGATCTCAGAAGCGACTTCAGTGCCCCTTTAAGTCCGTAGTGTCCACTGCTGAAAATGAAGTTCTTTATCTAACTGCGTTCCCAGCCTTGGCAAAGGGCTCGTATTCGTGGGTGCATCGACGCGGTGCTAGGTCTGGATCGACGTGTCACTACCTGTGAACATATTAACTTGGGAGGTGCGGAGAAATTCACACTGGATCCAGGAAGCCGCAAATAAAGAGACTGCATTTTGATGCCAGTTTGGTGACCTGGCACACCCACAAACACGGGGATCCGCCGATGAAATGTGGGGTCGCACGACGGTCTCCGTTTATCCCTCTTTCGCACTGTCTGTTCATCCGCTCTTCCTTGGCCATTGATGTCGAGGAAGTAGAGCGCTCGGCGGAGGAGGTGTGGAGTGGGACTGCATTCTGTGGCCACCGTGCGCGTTGCAGGGGGCTACCACCCGGTGAAGATTGGGGACCTGTTCCACAGTCGCTACCACGTGGTGCGCAAGCTGGGCTGGGGCCATTTCTCCACTGTCTGGCTCTGCTGGGACCTCGTGTGAGTAGCGCCTTCCCCCTCGTCTCGTTCTCTGGGGCGAGGGGGCTGAGACGGAGTGAATGTCTCGCAGTGGCAAGAGGTTTGTGGCCCTGAAGGTGGTCAAGAGCGCCTCCCACTACACGGACACAGCGCTGGACGAGATCAAGCTCCTCAAGGCGGTGAGTGCTTTTCTTTCTGCTCGTGTCAACGAACTGAGACGGTGGGCCGACGTTGGGGAACCGTCCCACATTAGCGCGGCTCGTGCCTACGGTTGAAAGTAAAAAAAATATGGTACCTGGAATGCTTCTTAAACTGGCGCATTTGGCGTCCTACGATGCCCGTGCATAGGGGCGTTTTCGAAGTGGCAACAAAATGGGTCCCGGGAGTTGCCGGGGAAATGGTACAGTCTGTCGCGGTGCTGGCGGTGTGTCGTGGCAGAAGTGCCGACGGATGAGGTAAGTGGACGCAAGAGTCTCCGTCCGTGGGTTCCAGTGTACACTGCTCAACACTGTTGGCCTGAACGCAACCTTTTCTGCATTTTTTCATTTCATTTATTTACCTCAAGGGTGTCTTTGAGGACGCATTACATGAGGGGGGTAGGTGGTACATGCATTTGTAACAACATAGTAACACAATTTTCCAAACACAATCATTGGTATAACAAAATCATCGCAATCAGCCCAGCACAGTTTACAAAAAGGAAATCACATCGTACGTACACAACTGCAATTTTGAACTGGACGTAACTATGTATAAAACAACAATTTCAATATGGAGAAACGGAAAGCGACTTTGAAAACAACAAACAAGCATGTACGTGTACTATTCATGCCACAGGCGCTCGCACATTGTTTTAAATTCAACGGGATTTGTGTTAGTAACCATCTCGTCTGGCAAGTTATTCCATTCAGTAATCGATAATATTAAGGATGAAAACAGGAAGGAATTTGACTCGGACGGAGTAGTGATGGGCACCAACTTTACCACTTAGGTTACTGCCTTGAATGAAGGCTTTCTGGCAGCCTTTCAGTTTTAAGACGGTGAAAAGTGGCGATTGCTTGTTTATGCTAACAGTGTCAAGGTGCATCGATTGATTGGCTGCAGAGTAAGATGAGAACACATGTCTACTGTGTCCACCCTTGCTCCTGTGCCACTGCCAGGATTGCAGATAACAGCAGTGTTACACAGTTGCAATGTCACCAACTGGAAATGGAGGGTACAGAAATGAAGACACTGTAAATGCTCTGGTGGGAGACGCGTGCGGGGTCTCATTGCGGTGAGGGACAACCCACTCGAGGAAAGGCAGCACATGGCCTCCTGGCCATTAACCATCGAGACTCTTTTGAGGTTGGCCATCGTTTTTCTAGCACCCAGGAACTTTGACTGTTTTGCCTCGTTTTTGCCTGGACGGTCTCATTTTGGAAGTTCACAGTGATGCAATTGCCGCACCATCTGCATCAAACTGCGCCAAACTACTTACCCTGCTACATGCTGCTACGAGTTTGCGCCAGCATTGCGTCTAATGCAATTTTTCCGAATTCATACTGAAAATGTACTAGCTCAGGCTCCGCCGCATGGAGGTATCATTACTGTAGGATTGTGCAAATTTTTGGAACTTTCGATCGTTCACTTATAGAAACATGGTATACTTGATTTGATCCTCTTATAAAAGACAGGTGGTACTAGGAAGTCTCGCCATATTTCGTAGTCTGTTCTGGCAGGTTAGTTAACTTCGTTGAGGGCACTTATCACCGCATAATGGTGCACTGCTGTGAAGCGAGAACCGCGGAGTAAGCGCAGCGTTTTTGCTTACCTTTCTTTGCTATAGCACATCCGTCATTTATGGGGCACATCCGTTATATATTTTAATTCAAAGAGATTTTTTTTTAAAAATCCGTAAAAGGTACACTAATGCAGTCTGTGCAAGTGAGTTACACGTGAAGGGGAACATATTATTGGATCTAATCGCCCCGATAATTTTAATACTTTACCAGTATTCGTTAATAATCTTTTTTATTGGTGAAAATATCAGATTTCAATGCACCGGTTGCACAAATAGAAGCCTTAGCGTGCCCCCGCACATACCGTGTGCTTCAATTAACACACATTACTTAATTTTCCTACTTATTGTGACAATTAGCTCCCTACATAATTATTCTACTTATTGTGACAATAGCTCCCTACGATCTGTTGCACTTGCCGTATAACCCACCTTTACAGACCGTATTGTGTATCTTTAACGGCCCGTTTTTAATAAACGCTCGGATTAAAATCAAAAGCCCTCTTTGTATAAAAAGAAAAGAGCTTTGCGCGTGTTGATGCAACTACTCTACATTGCAGTAAACATTTTTGAAATATCATAACTTGCAATAATCCAATGATTTTTTTTTTTTTTTTAATTCAGGATCTAGTAAGGTATTATTGCGAGAAGCTTTATATAGACTGTTCGATAGGTTGAGCTTTTTATGTCAATTCTCTCATTTAGTTATCACCTTTATACAGTCGAACCTCGATGTAAAAAAGTCGGTAAAATTCGGAATTTATTTCGTTATTGAAACTTGCTACATAGATATTTGAGGCTAATGTTAAAGAAAGTTTCCACAAATGTTTCTCGGGTGCACAAAACTCACCAAGGACGCCTCTATTTCGGTTGAAGGTAGTCTGTCACCTTTTTCTGAGCCACTCTTGGCATTACTATTGGCATCACACGACGTTCGCCTAGCCAGACGGCCTGCATCGCGTCCACCACTGCACGGTTACTGGGCACATAGCAGGTGTCTTGCTCATCAGGCTCAATGTCGTCCCTGTCTTGTGAGTTCCCACAAACATCGCTATCTATTGCCTTGTCGGTCACCTCCTCTGTCGCAATGGCAGTAGAGTCGGCGTAAACAAATTCGTTGAGGTCGACGTTGTCAGGGCGGCTCCATCGCCCAGGGCAATGAGAAACGCATGCTTTTAGTTAGGCCTCGAAACAAACTACATAGCGCGAACGAAGCCGACGGACGAAACAGCGGCGGCTCTAGTGTCCTCTAGTAGCCGTTTTGTACACCACACTCGCCAGAGGCCCGTTTCACCCTTTGCACTTTATCGGGAGCCCATTTCAGCGCATGTGCTTCCCAAAATCTCCTTTGGGACCCAAAAGTTTGTTACAAATTGTCCATGAAACTTCGTTACATCGAAATTTCGGTTAACGGGACTTCGTTGCATGGAGATAAAAAATACATGGCGTGCATACACTTGCGGTTAGGAAAAGTTATGTACTTCGTTACATAGGGGGTTTCGTTACATAGAAGTTTGTTACATGGAGGTTTGACTGTATTTGATCTGTCTGGAATCACTGTGAATATATTTATATTTTCGAATTTGGGATTTCGACTGTTTTCAGCTCAGTGTCCCAAAATTACGAGGTATATATATATTTTTTTTTTTCGATGTTGCGCACGGTTTTATAATTATTGCAACTCAAAGTTTGGTTTCGGACGTCTACAACGAAACCGAAACTACCTGCTAGAGAGGGATGGCAAGACGAATTATCAGCTGTACGGCCGCAATGTGAGGTCACGGTGGTGCTGCGTTACGCGGTACGTGTGAAACCATTAGCAGCACCGCCACGACGTGACGTTACGGTGGTGGTGTGGTAAGCGTCGCCCAGTGTTGCTCGACTAAAAGCTAACATGCTCGCCACCTGTTTAAAAGCAACTGGTGGCATATTCAAGATCTGTTTTAGTGGAGTACCGTAATATCCTGAGATGCCCCACCTCCGAAGGATAACCCACTCCCTATATCTGGCAGGATTCGCTATTTGTCCGAAACACCGAAAGATAGCCCACTTCTGGTATTGCAGGGCTTGGGCCAGTGGCGACATCGCCAGGAATGGTGTTACTTAGCAGCGACGTGAGATAAGCAAACATTGCCGACTGGGAAGGTTCATAGCCTTTCCTTGCAATCACAAGTTTTGCGGGTCACAGAATCTAAAACTAGCATTTTCTTTCTTTGATTGCACACCGAAAGTTAGCCTACTCACTGTTTTCACTCGATTTGCTTTCGCTTTTTTTTTAGGTGGACTGTCTTTCGGGATATTACGGTATGCCGCTTCACTTTGACTATACCAGTCATCAATTCAGTTTTCGTCCGGAGTAGCCCTTTAATGAGTTTATTTAATGTCTTCTTTTAAGAAGACGTTAACTGCTCACATGCCGATTTTGTTATAACGAAGGTTTATCAATAAAATGTAATTGATGTTCATAATCAAATGACAAAAAAGAACTCCAATGAAACATCGATCTGGGTGCTCAGCATTCTCATAATATTTCTATGAAATACCGTAGAATACCGCGCATCCGCCCATTCCACACTAAGCGCCCACTCCCAAATTTGGAAAATCTGAGAAAATATGCACAGTACATTTATATGTAAAATTGATGACCGGACAAGCGCCCATCCCCCATTTTGTTGCAATTATCTCCAAAGTTTGAGTGGGCGCTTGCCCGGTATTTTATGGTATACTATTTGGTTTCCACTTGACTTTGTATCTAAAATAACCATTCAGATCAGTGGATAGTGTCCTTCATCAATCATCATTTTGTTGCCGTGTCTGGTGCTTCTACGTGAAACTAAACAGTTTGATGAAAATGAACCTGCTGTGCGATTAAGGCTAACAAAAAGTTGTGCAGAAGTGGGAAAGGAAAGTCGACAGTGTCTTTTAGTTGGACAGGCCATTGTGTGAACCTTTAGATGCAATATTTGCAGTGGTAGGAACGAAAAGGAAGCGTGTGCTTGTGTTCCGCAGGTTATTTTTTCTGTTCCATAATGGACTTTCAGCAGCTCCAAAAGATGTTTCAAAATGACCATACGCATCACCGAGTTCATTTCTGCTGTTCCATCGTTTTGTCTCGATTAATCCTCGCATCTCATTTCTGTGGGAACATGCATAGTTGCTGTGAATGCAAGAAAACTGATAAAATGTTTATTCGTTGCAGACATAATTTTATAAACATGAAATGAAAAGTAAACTCTTTCTGCGGTGACATCTGCCGATGCATTTTGTTTGTATAGATGTATGTATGGGAGACATGTTTTCCCACTGTTCAAGATGGGGAAGGAAGGCACTCGCATTCTCAACAAATAACTGGAAGACTTGCATTGAACAGAAGTGTGGCAGAGCTTTTCTGTCTTCCCCCTTCCTATCTGTGTCCGGTTTTCTACTTCGAGGATGAGGGTCACCCTAACCACTGACGGCTTTTTTATGTTGGCTATGGTAGGCTCGGGAGATACATAAAAGCAAAACACGCCTTTGTTTTTGTAGGCGTACGTAAGCTGAGAAGCATGGACGAGACTTATATTGTCCTTTCTAAATAACAATTCGAGCCCCCTCGTACCTTTCTGACGTACCACATGCAGAAACAAACGTTCAGTAATTATGGGGCGTGCGGAGGGTTTCCGGCACACTGCACGTGCGACGCAGCGTGGGAGTCGTCGTGGGTGCCAGGAAAGGGTGACGATGGTGTCTTTACAAAGAGGGGGGGCATTTTGGTTTTTTCAGTCTGGTGGGCTTGCCTGAGAAAGGCCCCCTTGCGTGCTTTCCCCCTACAGGTGCGGGAGAGCGACACGGACGACACCTGCCGAGAGCGGGTGGTCCAGCTCCTCGACGACTTCAGGATCTCGGGGGTCAACGGCACTCGTATCCTCGGCTGCTCTCGCTCGGGGGCGCTCCCGGGGCCGCACTCGCGGTACCTGGAACGCGTCTCCGACCGGTCTGTTGAGCTTCCCACTCCACCCACGCGTCGGACCTGATCTCAGCAACTAATGACGTAGCAAAAGCTGGAGCGTCGCATTGTCATATGTCGCGATCCTAGCGGTTGGGCGTAGGAGCTCCGGAAAAAATTGACGAGAAAATGAGAATGTCTTTGTCGTCGCGGGATCTCGACTCCTGGCAACCAAAGCTTCCGTGCACTGTTGAGCTGGAGGGAGACCTGTAGGAAACGGGCGTCCACCAAATCCACCACCGCTAATCTAACAGCACCTGGATTGCAGCCGGGAACAATATGACACTTCTTCGACGTTGTCGGGCGAAAGTCAAGGGATCGCTTTTTGGGGCGCGGTAAACGCGCCAGTCAGAGACGCGTTGGAATCACCATACTTGCGATACTGGCAGGCTCGCCCGAGCTGTCGAAGAATGCAGTTTGTGCCGCAGCGGCCCTTTCTTTGTCCTTGCACGGGCACTGCCATTTTATTATCTTTTTTTTTTTTTCTTTCTCTCCACAGTAGTGCGTAGTTAAGGGCTGTCCAAACAGGAACAGTGAGGCGACATGACTCCAACATAAGTCGTATGGCGGTCCGCTTCTGTTTTTTTTCTTTGTTGGAGAGGAAGTTTCCTCCGTCAAATTTCGCCCATGTCCTCGACAGGGACATTGAGCATGCTCATTATGTGGCTCCGGACAGCCACTCGGAAGCTCTGTTGATTCTCGGTCAATCACTCGAGGCCTCTGCTTCTCTTCAGGTCCCGTAAACGGGAAGGGGGAAAGGCTGTGTCCAGAATCTTACCCAAATATATCCGAGCTACCCCAGCGGGTTGTGCCACGTGATAACACAGATAGAGCGACGCTGAAACAGGTTTTCGAATGTAAAGGTACAAAACCCTTATCCTGAAGTAAGATTGAGTAAATTTTGGAACACGCGCAAGGATATGAGGGCCTGGCAGAACAGAGAGGCAGCATTGGCAGGTGGCGTGCGACGTCGAGTCTGACGAGCACCGAGGTCACCGAAAAGCGGAGGAAACAAGGAGGAAAATCGTGATTTTGGCTCGGTGGTGTTCAAACAGACATCGAACTGCCGGACGCTTCAACTTTTACGATTTTTGCCAGGGTCGTGTCGCCTCACGATTCCTGTTTGGACAGGCCTTTAGGTGCGGTAGAAGGCTCTGTGTAGATTGTCTTGCCTTCTTTGTAAATGGCTCTGTTTCGAACTTGGGATCTCTGCTGCAGGTTTTTGGGTGAAGAGAGAAGGTGGCCGTGCCGTATTGTCAAACAGTACATTCAGTTTTAAATCTTTGTTGCCTAGGGTATAACAGCGATGGCTTTCTTTTTGTCTTTCAAAACTAGAGAAAGAGTGCGGAGGATGGCTCCCACTTCTCGTTGGCGTGACTTTCGATGCAATTGTTAACTCGACACCTAAGTACGTCGAGCGCGAGTCGATGATCGAGTTCATTGTGGGCCGCCGTCTCCGAAAAGAACAGGCAGGGTAGTGTGCCCCTCTTCTTCCCGTGGACACCGAGGTCAGTCCGGGGTGTGCTCCGGTCGCGACACACCCGAGGTGTTCGCGATTCACCCAGACAGCATCTCTGCGTCCTTTCGCCCTTGCCGGTCTCTTGCTGTTCCCTCCCTGACCGGTGCCCTCCCAGACATGTGCATGGTGTTCGAGGTGCTCGGCCACAACCTGCTGAAGCTGATCATCCGCTCCAACTACCAGGGCATCCCCCTGCCCAACGTGCGCACCATCATACGGCAGGTGCGTCTTTACGGCTCTTTGCTACGGCGAAGTCGGGCGACGCTAGGTATTGGGGGCGCTGGAGCAATGTGCAGTTGCGGCAGGCTCTTCTGAGACGGGTCGTCTGTTGTGAATCCAACCAGTGCCCGCCAGTCAGCAAGGCTAGTCAAGTGCATGATGGTCTCCTCATAGGGGATTCTAGCTGCCGTGTAATACTGCGAATTGTTGCAATCCCGGTAGTCGGCTGTTGCCGCACTGGCGCTGCAATGTCCCAGCTTGTGCCGGCTGCAGAGTCTGCAGAACAGGTGTCTGCCTCGCCCAGCTTCGCTCCCGCGTCTCTGCCAGGACCGTGGCAATTGGCAGCATACGTAGTTGCGATTAACGTAGCCGCGAATTGAAGGGACGGCATAAAGGCAGTGAACGTCCAGGGATTCCCAGTGGCGTGTTGGGTGCATTCGTGCAGGTGCTGGAAGGGCTGGAGTACCTGCACAGCAAGTGCCAGATTATCCACACGGACATCAAGCCCGAAAACATCCTGATAGCGGTGGATGAGGTCTATGTGCGCAAGCTGGCCTACGAGGCCACCCAGTGGCAGAAGATGGGACTGCGCCTGCCAGGGTCGCTAGGTAAGCGAGGCTCGCTTCAACCATTCCCTGCTGCGTGCTGCACCTCTCTGACCACATTGTTTTAGAGCGCAGCTCTTAGACTCCTGCTTCCGGCTTGAGCGGCGTCGCCGTCGGCTTAATTGCGTGATGCATTATTGGGAATGTCCCATAATGCATTGCACGGGGAGGAGGACAAGGGGAGGAGGAGGAAGAGGGTATACCCTCCCCTCAGTACCCTTCCCTCCTCCTCCTCAAGAGCTGCACTCTAATTAGGCGATACAGGGTGCTGTAAACGTTTCATTTTTTCCTGCCTTCTTTAGGTGCGACGTTTGAAAGGTTCATTTAGGCCCAAAAGTCGGCTCCCGGATAAGTGCAGTTAAACAGTGTACCAGAGAAAGACTAAAGAGGGGGCCTAGGCTGGATCATACCTTTGTATTTGAGTGTGATTGACTGTTTTACGACTCCTCACATTATAACATGTTGTACGGAGCTGAAACATGGTGGCACCCGTGTGCAAACGGGGAACGCTTGAGGTTCTCATTTAAACAATGCTTTGCAGTATTTGCGAGTACTGTGCACCATCGTGGAGAAATGGTTGCTTACGATATTTATTAGCATATTTATTATTTAAGAGTGACGAGGACTCCAAGTGGGCAAGGACCCTTGACGGATGGCACCAGGGTGTTATTACAAGCAATCGTGACCCAGTCGGTCACGAGTTTCGAACCAGTCTTGTCGCTCGCAGCATTTCCCGCTTCAAAGACACTTTTGCGATCCAGGTTTGCATTAGACTCGTTGTCCAGACAGGTTGGATCTCAGTGTGTCCCCTCGCGTGGGTTACGGCAATTTGGTTTGTTGTGGACTGCCTCTATGTTAGTCATTTTGGGTCCTACGTCGCTACTTCGTGGCACTTTTCTTGCGTTGGCCACCTTCGTGTAAATGCGGTAATGTATGGGGGCTTGACGTGGAAGGAATAAACTAAATTACGCTCTGGGACGACTTTCTGGAGCAACTCAAAAAGAGAGAACTATGTGCGCCCATAGCTTCGACGGCATTACCTCGGAAAGCTGCCCCGGATATCGAGGATGAATTTCGGCGAGCTGGCTTGTGGTTCCGAATGAGAACTGAAATGGCATTGAAAGGGACACGGAGAGAGTTAAAAGAAATGAACAAAACGGCTCAGTTTTAGTTGTTTCCTCGACCTCTTGCTGGTTTTTTCGGTGCCGGTATAGCGTGGTCTCCTGGGGGGCGCGTGGGAGGGTGCGTGCTGAGGCCCCTTGTGCCCCGCAGTGAGCACGGCGCCCAAGGAGCTCCGGGGCGGCCCCGTGGCAGTGGGTCCGGACGGGGCCGGAGGGGCCGGGGGTGCCTCGGCCAAGATGTCGCGCAACAAGAAGAAGAAGCTGCGCAAGAAGGCCAAGCGCCAGCAGGAGCTGCTGGAGCGCCAGATGCAGCAGCTGGAGGAACTGGACATGGAGGAGGGCGAGGAGGACGGGGGCCAAGGAGAGCAGGACCACAAGGCCCTCAACGGGCGGGGGGCACCCTCCCCCGGGGGTGAGTGTCTTTGGCCGCTCTCTCGGCCAAAGGGGAAAGCTGCTCCTTTTCTTGGCTCGGCGCGCTCTAGTGTGCTTAGATTCGAGAGTGGTTCCGATCGCTCGATCAGTGTCGAGCGGTTTATTGGCCGCGTTTGCTATACAAAGTGCAATGAGGCGGTGAAAGCGTCGAGTGTCCACAACTAGTCTCAGCCTCCCCACCCGCTTGTCTGTCCGTGATCCTCCTCGCCAGCACTAATGTCCACCATTAAATAGTGAGCGCTTTCCACGGTGGAATTGGCAAAATTTTAATTGTCGCTGATCTGCCTCAAAATTAGCATATTAACAGACGTCTGAACTAGTGACCTAAATAGACCGATCTCACCAGCCAGTTTTACTACGCCACTACTGCCGCAGTGCATCGAGGGAGCTTTAGTCTTTCTGCACGTGCGACAACACCGCCTGAGGGAGCTCTGCGCGTGTGGAGCATGAGGCGGCACGAGCCGTTTTGTGCACTGCTGCGTGCCTCCTGCGAACTAAAGTTATGGCGGCGTCACGCATGCGCCAAACGCTTGATGAGATTGGTCTATTAATACTTTTCTGCAAAGTTGTTGAAGTTTTAATTTGGTCCGAGAGACTACTGGCAACACTGACACGGAACATCGTAATATGGGGCAGTACAGCTTGTTTCCGACGTTCTACTTGATGGAATGAATGCTGGCTAAGCTCATGCTAGCAAAACACAAAAAATGTGTACAAAATACCGCGTTTTTCAGACTGCCTACTCGTCTTTCAAGCTATACAGCATATGTTACCCCACTGGAGAATGCATGAAAATTTGAATGTTAGTTTTGGCATTACCTTTATTTGTCACTTTCTTAAGGGGGACACCACCTTAAATTTGCAATTTTTGACAAAAAAAAAAGACTTTTCTAGTTTGTATCTGTTGTGGTTCAACAACTAATAGTGCACACTCCTGCAAATTCTTATTACTATATCTAAAATATTTACGGAGAAGTAAAACATTTTCAGTAAGCCGACGATGCAAAATTGTTCATGACATGCAAAACTTCTGTTTTCCATTTTCTAACAATGTGATCCTGGGTGGCGTGCACGGCTGTGCCAAAAGGTTAAAACATTTACGCGAGTGCGCCTGCGAGCTCGCCACCCAGGAGCCCTAGAACGATGATCATAATCTCATTTAAAAGACCATTTCTTCACAGTTTCAGTACATCAAACATATCTGAGAGCAAACACTATTCGGTCAAGAACACCGTAGAAGTCTGGCTTTCCCGTGGAAGAGGCTATGCACATGGCCAAGAATCAAAGCCCTCGCTGATTGAATGGAAAACTAACTGAAACCAACATTCATTTGTAGAAAGTCACGTGGATTTGTTTGCTTTGGATTTCGACGACATTTACCACGCCCATAATTGCTGACGCTGATTCGTGTATTGCAAGCGTATCCAGTTCCTCACTCTTTTCATAGTCAATGCCCACATGTTGACAACAAAATGACACTCGAAGAAAGCGTTTTAAGCTCGGACTCAGAGGAGGTTGGGTGGAAGCAGAAGGCACCAGCTCTTAGTACCTTTTAGTTGCCTCTACCACCACAAGTAAAACTAAATGTAGCGGTGTGGAAACTTCAAATAGGTTTTTCTCAGTTCCACTCTTTCAGTACTTTTCATTTTAGGAAATTTATCATTTTAATGAATTGCGGAATTTATTCTTCGCTGTGGATGTTTCTGAACTGAAATTTAATAAGGGATGTGGCTAATTTTTTTTTTTTTTAAGTTTTTATTGCCAAAAAGTAGGGTTTTGATGAGGAGAAAATGCTCCATCATGTGGAATGCTTTTCAAATTGTTGTTTTGCATAGAAAAAGCGCAGATTTCAGGGTAAAAAATAGTTTGTTATGGATGAAGCTTAGAAATGCTCAATATTCTCCAGCAATTTTATGTGATACATTTTCTTGCCAAGTGAGGCGACTTGCCTACTTCAATAGCTGTATACCTCTCCCTCTAGCTTATTGGAAAATTGCCCTACAGAAATGAAACATCATACAGTGCATTTAGGCAACGAGATGAATAGAGCCTTTTAGATATCATCCACATTGAGCGACAAGTGGTGTCACCCCTTATAGCTGTGTGTAATTGAGACATAATAAGCAGCGTGCCATGAAGGGTAAAGCCTGGGCATTCCAGAAATGTGTTCAGTTTGGGTAGCTCAAAAAACGGAGCTTCCTCTAAAGCCGGGAGGGCCCTGACGAGGTCCGTTGGGGGCGCAGAGGGCGAGGCCGGCCTGGACTGGACGGCGACGGCAGAAGGTGGCGACCCCTCGTGGCTGCTTCCCTCCGGGAATGCGGAGGTGTGCAACGGCCACCGGGGCGACGGGGGGAACGCTCCAGCCCAGGGTGGGAACACGCCTGGAGCGCTCGGAGAGCACCCTGGCACCACCCCAGGGCCCCACGCAGCTGCGCAGAGTGGCTTCCTGTCCCGGTGAGGCTCTAGTCCCGGTCCGGTGCTGGGCGTGCACGACTGCCAACAGCGCGCAAATTGATAGAAAATCGAATTGTTCCAGAAATTTGGCTAGCCTAGACGATCAAATCGGGGGAATTGTCGAAAGTACCGCCGTCCGTCGGCCAAGATTTATGAAGGTGCTAATAAAGGCTTCCATCTTGTAACTGTTAATTATCCCCCACTGGTAAATTATTGCTGTCGCTCTCCTAGAATTTACAGCTCCTTGTTGTATTGAACGAGTTGGTACTGCGCTAGAATTTCTCAGCAGCCGTGCCTTTTTGCCTCGTCTAATGCTGCTGTGGCAGTCCTTGGTCCAGTCGTCTTGCTGCGTGTTTTGTATGTGTAGTTTTGCAGGTGCCGTCGCCAACGAATGTTGTCTCGAAATGGGGCTCCTCGATGCCTGGCGCTGGTCGTGCAGCTCTGCACTGGCCGTTTTGAAGAACGAGAAAGTGCTTCGGGCAGTTTCTCTCGGGCACATGGGCAAAAACCGGCAACCCTTGGCAGCACCAATCCCTCGCAGCAATATGGCCTAAGAGGCGTTACTTCCGGGCTTCTTAGTGGCTCTAGCCAAAGCCACCTGAAAGACGGGGCCCGATTCTCTCTTCCCCCGACGTCGCTTCTAGCAGGCCGGCGCTGCTTGGCTCGTGTTGGTGGCGTCTCGCAAGGAGTGCAGCGCTTCGGCGTGTATCGTGTCCCGTTTGCGTATTTGTTTATGGTACCTGTAAGCCTCATTTGAGGCTATTACATAAAAGGGAGGGGGGAGGCTATGTGGCAGCTACAAAAAGAAACCAGAAAACGGCGTTTTGGCTCGCAGTGAGTCGGACCTCTACTGACGATGGCGTAGTGGGGAGACCTCGTCTTCCTGGTGGCATTGCTTCCGCACGTGTACAAAACGGAGGGATTTGGGAGTGCAGTTGGGGGACCGACGCCCTTCCCTTCCATTTGCAGAGAACCAAAAGTCGCCCGACCGCATGGCAGACCCCGTCCACGAAGTGTGTAATATATCTGTAAAAATAGCGGACCTGGGCAACGCCTGCTGGGTGGTGAGTGCGCTTCCATCTGTGCCTGGCAACGGGCGGTTGGAAGAACCCTGGGCTGAGGAGACGCCTCTTCCATTGCAGCACCACCACTTCACGGAGGACATCCAGACGCGGCAGTACCGCTGCCTCGAAGTGCTCCTGGGCGGAGGCTACGGCACCCCAGCCGACATCTGGAGCACCGCCTGCATGGTGGGTTTTCTTTGTTTCATTATACCTCGGTGGCCCTTGACAGGCATCGCAGGAGGGACTGGCAGCTGGAAGCAAGATGCCTTTTGCTGCCTCGCACGATGTACGGGGGAGGCAAAAGGCGTTTTTGGTGCTCCAGTCGATTAGTCCGCGCATCCAGTACGGGGTGGCGGCACACGGAGTATGCGCAACCCTGTCTGCTCCTTGCGTAGCCTACACTTCTCTTCGCTTAATGCATAATCTAGCGCTCCCACACCGTACATGTGCGTGCAGTTTGCAGCAGCAAAGCAAACTGTGGAGCGTCGACACGGATAGCATTGGGCACGATTCTACCTTTCAATGAAAGCCACCGAGGTGGCTGCTAGGCTAAGTGTCGGCCTACGTATCCCTGGGTGGCGGGTTCGAATCCCGGCCGTGGTGCCTGCAATCCTGCGGAGACTTATTGCGGAGAAGGTAATTGAGTTCTAGGTTTAACGTGGAAAGATCCCCAGGGCCGGTTTGCTCATCTTGCGGCCAAGAGGGATTTTTATGTCACGTGACCAGCTTTAAGGGGACAAGGAAGTACCTGGCGTCCCTGCCTAATGGCGGAGAAATCCGTATCGCTTCAAGCACAAAAGCCTAACTTTGCTCTTAGAAACTGACTGCAGGGACTTTCAACTGGAGTCCAATTGACCGCCCCTTTATACTGTAGGAGCGGCAGGTAAAGTTACGGCCAGGGAGGGTAAATAGGAGCCAAAATAAAGTAAAAAACCATGCGAGATTATAGCAGTGGCAGTATATTTGTATACCTCCGCCAGTGCCGGCGGCTCGCGTCTTCTGCTGTGGTCGAGAGGTTAGAGCGTTGGTACTTGCCGTCGCGGCGTGAAAGTTCCGGGTTCAAATCGCGCTAGGCACTACTTTTTTTATTTGTGTGTGTATTTTACGCGTGTCTCACTTTTTAACTGTGATCTTTTTTACGAATCATACACTTGCACTACTGCACCTTATAAGGTTTTACTGCTAGTCCCACCTGTTCAATCGAAACACTGGTCGAAAAGAAAGAAAGATCAAGGCAAGTTAACGCGCTGATACAATCATTTCATAATGTTCATTAAAAGGAAACCAAGGTAACAGCATCAGTATGGCTTTCACACAAACGGAGCCGAAACAAGCATCATTTCCCCAGCAACTATAAGTTTATGTGTTTTTAAATATGCAACGCTCTTGCTATGACTCCTTTCAATAACAGGAGACACCTATTTAGTAGTAATAAAAACTTCAGTTGTGACAATTAAAAAAAAAAAAAAAATATCTTCCACAAAATAAGCAAAAAGAAAAAGACTAGCAGCTTATGCATTGATTGTGCGAAATCCTGCCGGCTAGGCAGCAAGTCAAACGTCTGAGAAAGTAGTAAAACCGAAATCAAAGAGATCATACTTTTACTTGCATGGAATGTGATAGAAGGTATACTTTTACTTTTTACATTTTTCTTTGGCAATCGTTTTGTAATATTAACACATTACTTGATTTTTAGTTAGAATAGCAGACAATCACAACCGAATGCGAAAATTAATCAGGCGTTGACATTGCAAACCATCTCTCTAACGCAAGCACCTAAAATGACTGGATTAACAAATGGAATTAATTAGAGCAGTTGGAAAACGCAAACAACAAATTCTAAAGATATTCAGCAGCACAGTTATCTGGCAAACGAAGAGACGGGCATGGGAGGATATTGTCAACTTTCCGCGGAGTGTACGGCAGGTGCAGGAGGTGTGGCGGAAGTTGGTAAAGAAAGCCAGAGACATGTATGCGCTCTTCCGAGTTCATGAACAACGAACTGGTGAGTCAGAACTACCCGCCCAATGATTCTATAGGGCTCATAGGGCCTTGTCTACAGTCTTAGTGGGAGTGCAGTCAAATACAAGAAGAAAAAGAGAGTTTCTGGCGCGATTTGAACTTGGGACTTTCACGCTGCGACGTCAAGTACCGGCGCTCTAAACTCTCGACTACAGCAGAAGGCATGAGCTGCCGGCGCTGGCGGAGGTAGATAAATATACTGCCACCGCTTTTATCTTGCGTGGTTTTTTTCTTTATTTTGGCTCATTTATTCTCCCTGGCCGTAACTTTACCTGCCGCTCCTACAGTATAAAGGGGTGGTCATTGGGACTCCAGTTGAAAGTCCCTGCAGTCAGTTTCTGCGAGCGAAATTGGGCTTTTGTGCTTGAAGCGATACTGATTTCTCCGCCATTGGGAGGGGACGCTAGGTACTTCCTTGTCTTCATGGGGCTTGTCACGTGACAGAAAAATCCCTCTTGGCCACAGCCGCGTCCGCAAGATGAGCAAACCGTCCCAGGGGGTCAAAATGAATCCTCAGTCCTCCGCTCGGGCATGCTAGATGCCCTTTGCTGGTTTGGCACGTAAATATCAAATTTGATTTTTACCTGTGAACAAAATGGCCATGAAGGGAAGGCGCCGGAGACTGTGGTGCCCCGTTGAGAGGTGGCCTCCCCCGTGTTGCGTGCAGGCGTTCGAGCTGGCCACGGGCGACTACCTGTTCGAGCCCCACTCGGGCGAAGACTACAGTCGGGACGAGGACCACCTGGCACACATCATCGAGCTGCTTGGGGAGATCCCGCGTCACATCGCCTTCTCCGGCCGTTACTCCAGGGAGTTCTTCAACAAGAGGGGTGCGTAGGGCCTGCCTCCTCCTTTGGCTTTATTTTTTTTTTTTTTTTTCCTGAGGAGGTGGCGCAGATTTGTTGCTTTATGAGTGAAACGGACATCTATAGACCAACTCGTTTACAAACAAACCAGAGCGCCCCTAGTGAAACGAACAGCCTTCTGGCGGCTGTTCGTGGTAGCAGAGAGAGCTGACAGTTTTGTGGACCTAGGATAGATGGCGCCTCTAAAACTCCTTATAATAAGTTTTGTCGATGATACCAGGTTTTTGACTCATTTATATACAGGGTGTCACAAAAGAAAATTTACACTGTCTTTTTTACCGCAAAAATAAACTAGCCATCGCCGAACGCTCATTCTCCGCCCAAAGGTAGCGCTATAGATCACAACCAGATGCCAAAGTTTCAGCCCGATCCGATAACTTAATCAAAAGTTATAAGTGATTTTCTGAAAATTTCAATGGGAAAATGGCGGCCGACGGAGTTTTCAAACACATGGGGCTCTATGGCACCAGAAACCGAAAACGGGCTCCATATTCCCATTGAGATTTTCAGAAAATCACCAATAACTTTTGATTAAGTTATTGGATCGGGCTGAAACTTTGGCATCTGGTTGTGACCTCTAGCTCTACCTTTGGGCGGAGAATGAGCGTTTGGCGATGCCTAGTTTATTTTTGCGGTAAAAAAGACCGTGTAAATTTTCTTTTGTGACACCCTGTATTTGTTGGAACGACAAGATTTATAGTAAAGTTACCTTTTATCAAGCAGGTATTCGCACAACTTGCTAGCTTTCTACAAGATTCCCCTTTGACATCACGCCGCGTATTTCTCATGCCCGCCGCTCGCGGCTGCAGGTCGGGGAACATTCTAAGTTTTGCCTCGCTATTGCGCGGTGGAACCGCAACATTTCGTTGAAAGGAGGTGTGTTTTCTGTCATTTGTGACAAGGTGAACAATATCAAAAAGCAGAAGATGCCAATTCTTTCAACCTTAAAATCGTTGCACAGCTCCTTTAAAGGGATGCTAAACCGAAATTTGCATTTCACAAAAAAAGGCCGCAGAAGCGTTGAATGGGACGATACAAACTCCAAAACGTCACACATTCATATCTCAAACGAATGGCCGTGTTTGTGGAAAAGAAGGGAGCGATCAAGGGAGGGATGGGGGGGGGGCAGGCGTCATAATTCTTCCGGGACACTTGAGAATGAGGGGAATGGGCCTCGCTTCTCTCTCCCTTGCTTCGCTGTTGATGGGATGAAGCAAAGAGGAGAGGAAACTAGAATCGTGACGTGAGATTTGTTTCCTCGACCCTGTTCAATCGTGCACTTCTTTTGCAAAAATACGGCCATCTGTTAGAGATGTAGACGCTTTACAGACGCGCCAGATTACAGCAGTCATAGCTGACCTTCTCTTGTCTTACCGAGATACTGAGTCACTGAAACGGGCGTTGACGGGCCTCCACAAAGGCCAATGCTGAGGAGAAGGACACAATGGAAACTAAAGTGGTAATAACCTTGCCTGCTTTGGTAATGATAAAGTAGACGGAATGAGAGGAAACAAAAACTGAAGGTCGGTTATGGCGACTCCCATGCAAAGCTGCTGCAAAGCATCTATATCGCTGTATGAGTGATGCTTTGGGGTTTTGCGGCGTCCCGCCTATTGCTCTAGCCTTGTTTTGTGCGCTCCGAATTTCGGTTCAGTATCGCAAGATTATCTCCCAATTTTAAAAGGGCGTTTGCTCCATATCTTACCTTTTTTTTTATTTCTTTTTCTTTAATGTGGGGTTTTTGTTGGAGGGAAACTTGCGCCTCGTTATAAGGTTAGCTCAGACGTCACTGGTGTTTGTGCAGTCTCAAGGTTGTGTCGCCGGTGTTCATCTCGCTCGTGCCTACCGCTTGCTGGCACGAGAGCTGACCATGCACGGTGCCTTGCAGGAGAGCTTCGGCACATCAGCAACCTAAAGCCCTGGGGCCTGTACGAAGTGCTGACGGAAAAGTATGACTGGAGCCCCGGTGCGGCCAGGGCCTTCGCCGACTTCCTGCTGCCGATGCTGGACTACGACCCGGCCAGCCGGGCCAAGGCCTCCGAGTGCCTGAGCCACCCGTGGCTGAACGCCGCCTCGTCCGCGCTGGACCCCGGCCCGGGCGTGCCGCGGCAGCCCGCCGGAGGGGCCACCCCCAAGCGCGGCTTCGCCCACCCGCCCTCCCCCACCTCCTCTACCTCCTCCTCCTCCTCCTCCTCCTGAGGGGCCTGCCTGCCGCCATTGGTGCTGTCCGGGGTGGGGCACTTGGAAGAGCGGCTCCCCGCCCCGTCGTATCTGCTCGGCTGCAGCGTGGCCGTCTCCCGGGGACACCCGTGCATTCGCGTCGTTGCCGAGACGGTTCCAGCCCGCCCAAGTGCCCTCGCAAATGACGAGGGCGCAGTCGGTTCGTAAGCCCCAGAAATGTGATGCGTCCTTGGGTCCTGCGCACGGACTGGAAGGTCGCCCTCGTGTCCCCGACGATGGCATCCGCTTCCCCCCGGAGAGAGATCCTGGCCGTCCACAAAAAATATAGAAATGGGCCGTGCAAAAGATAAATTGCGATCGGGATCTTTTCTGGACGGTTATTCTTCAGGTTCTCTCCGTAGAGTAGAGCGAGTGACTCTCAACCACGGGCTTCACCGGGAAGGGAGTGTGCACCTTTGGGTGTGTTTCGACGCAGATCTCATTTCTGGGTAGCAGACGCCGTTTTCACCTCATCATTGGTCGGGCCGACTCGTTGGTTGCAGCGATTGGTCCTCCGCACGCTCCTTGGAGAAAGTGCACCGGAGAGTCCCACAGGGGGACAAGGCGAAGAGGGAGCAGCCCCTTACGCAGCGGGGCGCCTAGAGTGCCGCGCCCCCCTCGCCCCCGGCCGGCAGTTTCGACTAGTGCTTTAAGGTGGGCAACCCGACGGGGCGTTGTAAATTATTGGGGCCTTTTGCGGCGGCAGAGTTCCCCGTCTGGTGCGGCGTCCTCGGGCAGTTTCCACATAGAACATTGGACTCCTGTGTGTGCTCTGTTGCGTCCTCCTAGGCAACACGGCTTCTGTGAACTCGAGATCCTAGCAGAAACCCGGATTAAAAGAAGCTGAAAATGACGACAAACTTCCCCTTCCTCCTGGTAGTTTGTACTTGCTGGTTTGTATGCGTGTGTGCGAAAATGGGATGTGTGCATTTGGAAGGGTCTGCAGCGAGTGTTTGAAGCCTTCTGTTTGGTTCTCTTTGTTTTACCGCAGAGTTTACACCGAGACATTTTTGGGGTTATGTTACACGCGGGTGCGACCCTTTTTTCTTTGTAAACTGTGCTTTTTAAGTTATGCAAAATAAATTTGCGCCAAAGAGTGAAGGCTTTTTGTCTTCCTACCTGCGCTCGTTTGCACGTTTTTGTGACTGTCGTGTAGGGGTCCAGATCTCTGCGAACGACATTTCATTCAATTGTGGCAATTGGCTTTGTCGGCGACAGCTCCAAGTACGATAAGGGATGTGTTTTTGCCGCATAAATCTGAGCTTATTCGGACTCGTTTCCTCTCGTAGTTGCCCCGGTGACATCTACCGGTGCCTTCATAGCTGCCGAAAAGTTGTCTCGTCGATCGCCAGTTCGTCTAAAATCCAGATAGAGACCGGTATATGTAAATTTAGTACCAGATGATGCTCTTTTGTGTCACCGACTACTCCAACAGATGCCAGTCGATGGTGATGCAAAGTACTCGACCGAACTGGAGAACACTGCCTCCACGCGTAGGAAGACGTGGTGAAACTTCGTCTACATGGCATCCCGCCAGATTTCAAGTTTTAAGTGTGTCGCATGAAACGGCTCCATAGTAGTCAATTGCATTCAGTTCCAGCATAAGAAACCCAGGACAAGCTACTCCCACAAAGCTGGCTGGCCCTCAGTGCTGGCTGCAGTGCTGCGCACCCAGCACTGCAGCCAGTACTGCAGCGTAAGCAGTTGCAAGAGGCTTAAAAATCGGTTGTTCAACATGAGTGTGTGACCACAACAATGGTGCCTGCAACGCGTCTTCGACTAATTATTTTTAGCGTCTTGTCCCGCCCATGCATCAAAGGTGGTCCCGAAGTGGCAACAAATGACGTTGCAGAAGCCGGAGTGTCATGCTGTCGGATGTTGCGATCCTGGCTGTTGGTCGTAAAAATGTTGGCAAAAAGCACGAGGGAACTTGAGTGTCACTGTCATCATGGTGTCCTAACTTCTGGCTGCTGAAGCTTTTGTGGACTTGCACCAGAACAGGCGTCTGCTACACCCGCCACAGCTTCTGGGACACCGCCAGAATCGCAACTGGCTACAGCATGACACTTTTATGACGTCGCCAGGCGGAATTCGAGGGACCACTTTTTTTAATGCGGTAAACACACCAGTAGGAGACGTGTTCCACGCACCATACTACAACTGCTATAAGCACCTGTGGGGGAAACCCAGACCCCCCAAGGCATTCAAGCCAACACTCGCAATTATCCGTGACCGCATGGTAATGCAACTTTACCAGAGCCGAACCTAGAATGGAACTGACTATGCCTCTTTCTGCGGTCCTTATACAGGATTTTGGGGTCTGTGTTACGGACGGTACAACTGCTACAACCGCGACGGTCCCCACACGGTGCACCCCGGCCTCGGTGTTCATTGTCCTCGTTATCGCGAGGGAAAAGCAAATTACAATGGCTCGGTGAAGATGCGGCAATTCTAAGAATACAACTTCGGAGCATTGATGCCTGGTTCTGAAGGTATGCAAAAATATTTATTTTGCTCGGCAGAAAACTATCGTAAAATCCCGAGAGATGCCCCACCCCCGAAAGGTACGCCTCCCCTATTGTTGGCTTGATTTGCTATTTTCTTTTGAACACCAAAAGATGGCCCACTCCTAGTAATCGCAGTGTTGGGATCAATGATGATTTCGGCGTAAATACATCTAGGTAGCCATGTCAGTATATAAGCGAACATTGCTGACTGGGAAGTACAGTCGTCCTTCCTTCACTGCCCTGCCGTGATAAATAGTTTGGCAGGGACACATGATCTTAAAAATGTATTTGTTAAGACTTTTCTTGTTTGCACACTGAAAGTTAGCCCACATCTTATTTTCACCCAAATTTTTTTTTTTTTTCTATTTTAGGAGGGCTATTTTGGTATATTACAGCATTTGCTATCTTGGATAACCTTCCGTGATTAAGTTTTCAAAAATTAACGCTATAAAAGTTGGCAAACTCGCAACATTTTTCTAAAGCTAAACTGCTAAACTCTATCAGCCCCATCGCTCGCTAAAATTTTCACCTTCACTTTGGCAGAGCGAATGCTGGAGAGGAGGTGACCTCTTCTCCAGCGTTCCCTATGCTAAAGTGGAAAGGGAGGAACTTGCAAAGAGCGTTGATGGTCTGCAAGCCAGTGGCATAGCCAGGTCGCTTATGGGCCTTCTCCGCATCCCAAGTCGTAGACATCAGTTTAAAGTCTGTGCCAGTGTGGTGTCCAAAGCACGTCTCCGACTGGTGGGTTTCTATCTGCCATCAAAAGTGGTTTCCAAGTGGCAACAAATGATGATGTCACAGAAGCCAAAGTGTCATGGCGGTTGGTCGCAGAAATGCTGGCGAAAAGCACTAGCGAAGTCTCAACTTCTAGCTGTTGAAACTTTCGTGGACTGTCGCACAGGAGAGCGGCCTGCAGCAGAATAGGCTCCTGTCACACCGCCAGGATCACGACCAGCGACAGCATGACTTGTAACGGTTACTGGAGATTTCATCCAAAGCCATTTTACTGAAAAAAGGATGTTTCATCGAACTGCGGATGGCCCTTTCGTTGACTCTTTTTATTGCTAGTTTTTTAGGCGAGGTATATGTTATGAAAACATAAAGGGTTTCTTCCTACAAGGTCTTTTGCCGACCGATGACAACTTTTATATTTTATTGTCCATTCTTTTTCTATGCTTTTGAACACACATTACGTTTGCTTAACTAAGGACGACACTTTCGTTGTAGCCCATATTTTAATTACATCATTTTTAATTTGCTGAAAGAAAAAAAATTGCTGAACTTGTGGATTAATGCATTTGCATTCCAGATGGTATACCTAAAGTCGTGCAAGTAGCGCATTGGGCGCTACTTGCACGACAAACGCAAACATATAGAGGGGCTTTAGGCAGTCATGGGTAAGTTACTTTTAAAAAGTAATTTGTTACAGTTACAGTTACTTTCAGAAAAAAGTAGCGAAGTTACCGTTACAGTTACCGCAACAAAAGAGTAACTCGTTACAGTTACAGTTACTTTTAAAAAGTAACGACGTTACTTTTCAGTTACTTTTCTATAACACAAAAAAAAATTGAGAAAAAACTAGAAAACGCCCCTCACTTCATATTCTAACTTAGCAGCAGTTGCTTCTCGAAGTTATTGTGTGAATGTTTCCACGCCAGAGTTGTGGCGCAAATCAAAATACGAAACATGCTCAGTGCGGATAGCGGCACTAATCAAAATACGAGACGTGCGCAGTGCCCTTCACGTGTGTTGTTGTTTTACGGTTGATTCACCCGATTAAAAAGCGTTTGCACAAAAAAAAAAAAAAAACACAACATAGGTAGTGCTTCAAGACACTAAGATGTAAGTGTTCAGGCACAAAGTACAAGCGCGTACGTAAAGATAACTAGATATTTTTTCATAAAATCTACACGTGGCTATATTCGGGTCGTGACTCGCGAGAAAGAATGTATTCAAAACTTTGTGCAAGGCCATTTTGACACTCGAAATGTCGGAATAGACGATTTGGAAAGTGCAACAAGGAACAGCTAAGTTGCACTCGTTCAGTGATATATTATTCATAAAACACTGCAAAGTAACGTCGTTACTTTCATCGTTACCTCAGAAAAAAGTAATAGAACTACAGTTACAAGTTACATTTTTAAAAAGTAACTCGTTACAGTTACAAGTTACCAAAAAAGTAACGAAATTACAGTAACGCGTTACTACCCAAGACTGGCTTTAGGTATACCCCCTCACGCCTTCAGTAGGTGCCATCGTCCTATATTCCCTCCCATGTTTGCTACTCTTGAATGTGAGGGTCGGTGCCAATTTCGGACAAGGTCGTTCCAATTGAGCTAGATTCCCCCTACCCTTTGCATTTAGAATCTGCTGTCGCTTCGCTTATCAACGACATAAGCGTACACGCCAATACGGTGCTTGGGCTTTCCTCGTGCTATCTCCCGAATCTCCACTGCACCTACTGGCAACTATGAAAGGATACCCTAGCAAAAATTGTCAATGCGCAAGTGTGTCTGCTTTTTGCAGGTGTTGTGGTGACGTCAGAACGCCGAGCTCTGATGTGTTGTAAGTGTTGTAGGAGAATTAGAGGGAAAGTGAGAGCCAATCGGGTACGCGTGCTGGGCGCATTCGTCACTGGCAGCGAGACCTCGAGGCAGCCATGCTTTGAGGTCTACCCACTATCCCTCAATCAGAGCTCGGCGTTCTGACCTCACCACAACCCCTGCAAAAGAAGCAGATGAACTTGCGCTCTGCATAGGTTTTCTATCGTACCGGAGCGCAAGAATTCGTCTGCTTCTTGCACTGGGGTTGCGATGATGTCAGAATGCCAAACTCTTATTGGCTGATCGAAAAAAAAAAAAAAAAAAAAGACCGTTTCCTCAGCCCGCTAAGCCTAAGCACCCGGATAGCGCTCCTAATCCGCCACAAGACCTTGCACTATGCAGATAAGGCTGGCGGCGCGCATGCGCAGCTGCGGCGTTTTCCTTACGGATACCGTAGCGGAGGAGAAAAACTGACCTGCCAGCGATATTAGGACCCACCACTGGGACCCACTATCCTTTCAATCAAAGCCAATCGGAGCTCGGCGTCGTTCTGACGTCACCGCAACCCCCTGCGCAAGAAGCAGACGAACCTTCTATGTGAAGCGCGGGTTCGGTGTTTAAATTCCCACGGAGCTGAACCAGCTGAACCAGAGCCTCCTAGATAAGTGTACTATGCCTGTCAGCTCCGCTTTCAGAGCGGTACACGTGCCGTGTCAGAGCTGAACTATGGTGCCTGGATCGCGTCTTCGACTGGTGTGTTTAGCGTCCTATCCTGCCCATACCACCCATACATCAAAAGTGGTCCCGAAGTGGCAACGAGTGACGCCACAAAAGCCGGAGGGCCGGAGTGTCATGCTGTTGACTGTCACGATCCTGGCGATTGGTCGTAGAAATGCTGGCGAAAAGCACGAGCGAACGCGAGTGTCGCTGTCGTCACTGCGTCACTGCGTCCCAGGCGTCCCAACTTCCATTTGTTGTAGCTTCCGTGGACTGTCACAGTGCAGAGCGACCTGCAGCAGAACAGGCGTCTGCTATATACACCACAACTGTTAGGACGCCGCCAGGATCGCAACCGGCGACAACATGACACTTGTATGACGTCATCAGGCGGAAAGGCGGAAATCGAGGGACCACTTTTTTTGGCCGCGGTAAACACACCAGTCGGAGACGCGTTCCAGGCACCGTAGCTGAACCATAGAGATCATAGAGCTGAACCCCCAGTTTTCACCGCCCACTCCGTCGTGGCCGCGGCCGGCCACTGCCGCCGAAGGAAGATTTGAGTGCGTGTGAGAGAGGCTGAAGTGTAATTGAGATTGGGGGTACTGTTTGCTGATTTAAATAAAATAAATTTGATTTAAATCACAAAATTTTAATTTACTGAACTAGAAAAGTTTTGTTTTTGTTTTTTTATTTCTGTTTTGAGAGCCACCTCCAGCGCTGATCCAACGCTGACCAGTGACTGATCTGGCAACAATGTTACCGCTCCTTTTGAATGTAGCATCGGGGGCGTCAGCGGCGTTGTAACCGTCTTTTGTTTTGAACTGAAACGTTGAGAGCAGAGGAAGGGAACGGTATTTCGTCCACGCATTTTAGGGTCATTAGTTTCTACCCCTTCTTCTTTTTTCTTTCCTCGTCTGGGATGCAAGCCTGGTGAGTGACGTATACCTTATATCTACAATACAAGAAGGGTGATGGGGAGCCGCGTCGGTCGACGCAGAAGCTTGTCAGCACTTGTCAAGTGTTGTGACCACGGTGGTTGTGACAGCAGTCGGTCTGTTCCATTACAAATGGGAATCGAATCCTGGAGTAAAGCTCGCCAGAGGTATGCTCACTGGAGAAAAGCTCACCGAAAAAAAGTTCACCCACTTTTTGGCGGGTCCGAAAGAAAGCCTGTGTTTTGACAGACCCGGAACCTTGTTTCACTTTCATGAAGGCCGTTTTCGAATGGTAAAATGTGAATATTTGGGCTTATGTAGTGCCTGCTAATACATAGTATAACGAACAAAAAGTTAGGGCGCAAACAAGCTGGTGAAGGTTTAACATTTTGGACAAAACCCCGAGACTGGGGGGAAAAAGGACAACACAACACAAAGTCTCAAACACAGCTGAAGTTTATTGGACAGAAGATCGTGGTTTTATAGGGCACAGGTACCCGGAAACCAAAAAGTGATGAAAGAGGGAGAGAATGAACTTTATCCCGAACACACAAGAGAGGGAGGACATTGACCAACAGAAAAAGCCGGTACTGTTCTAGCTCAAACAAAAGGGGGGAGGGGAAGATCTCTTAACCCACCACGGGGAGGTCCTGATAACAACACAAAAATTCAACATAGTATAAAATTCCGGGAACTAAGCTGCAGCCTACTCTTTACATTTTACCCAACCTATCTTCTAATTACCGTTATTATTCTTGCGTGACTTTTTTCGCCATTAAATTATAATTTTATTTTTATCATCCTACGGCTGCTGTGTCTGCGCACATTACTTTTGCCTTTATATATATATATATATATATATATATATATATATATATTTTTTTTTTTTGCTGTTGAAAAAGGGGGGGGGGGGGTGGCATGGGCACATAACAATTCGGAGTTTATCAGATAAATCTGAATTGACAAAAAGTTTACCGGCGGGTGTTTTTCGGAGTTTTTCGGATTTATCCGAAAACATGGAGCCCTACATATAACACAAAAACGGAACAAAGGCCAAGTAAAAGGCAGACTTACACGTAAAAATGCAGTATAAAAAACGAGCGTCAGAGCAAAACGCAAGAGAAGAAGAGAGAAGTGAATCTCGCTTTGTTTTAATGCCGAAGCAAACCCAGATTTCGCACTTCAAAGGACTGTGAATGAATGTGGAAGGCAGCAGGGTTGGCCACCTGCTAAACAACGCTCCTCAAACTATAAGAAAACAATAACTAATCATCTTTCAGCGGCGTGCGAGTCAACGAGTTATCAGAGCTCTGCGAGTTATGAGTCGCACCCCCCTGCTCCCAGATCTCGGTATGTGTGCGCGCGTGCATTCTCCATGCCGTCGCAAAAGAAAAAAAAAAAGAAAGAGTAATAATAATAAAAAGAAAACAATACAAGAAGGGTGATGAGGAGCCATGTATGGCGGTTTCTTTCTTTGCCGCTCCCTTTGTTTCTTTTGCTTGGTGCTTGGTTTCTTGTTTCACTCTCGTGAAACACCAGTGAAGCCCGTCGCTTGCGCGTCCATGAAAGGCGCCACCCCCCCCTTCCCCCTCCCCCTCTGGTCTTTGCTCTGACGCTCGTTTATTGTATTGCATTTTTTCCGTATACGTTTGTTATGGGCCTTTTGGCTCCCTGCGGCCTAGCAGTTTCCCACTCATTTTATTTCTGAGCAACTGACTCGCTGACTGGCTCGTTTCAGCTGAGCAAACCCCCCCCCCCCCCCCCCCCCCCACAAAAAAAGAATGAAATAGAATAAAGAATTGGGCTCATTCCCATTTCATTCCAGGAAAAGGCATCTAATTCCATTCCGTTCCCCTCAAGGTTGCCGCCATTCCATTCCCATTCCATTCCAAGGTCGTGAAAATGCGGAATGATTCCGTAATCATTCCAACTCCGGAGTGGCAACTCCGCAACACTGCTCAGTAGCGGGCTAGTTGGCGTGCCTTGCACGCTAGGCAAAGCTTTCTCGTGCAAATGAAAATTATTATTATGATATTGAAATTCTTGATTATATTTTCGTTCTAACCTCCAAATTTTCTTCCGTCCCCCCCTCATGTACCCGTGAAAAAATTAATAAATGAAGTATACTTAAAAAAAAAAAAGTCTTACAGTATTGTACAAAATAACCACATGCACTTATGGCATCCATGCATCAAAACAAGTGAATGTTTTGTATTGAGTACACGCTCAATGCACAAATTCTGATGTGAGCTTTTCTTCGTATCTGCCAAAAGGTTGATGAACTTTTCTCTGCATCCGACAGAAAGCATTTGTCCGGTGAGCTCTCTCCTCCGCCCATAGGAATTGCACGAAAGTTAAATTATGTGTCGCGTACAAAGAAATCTGATCTTCAATATCGGAGGAAGTCCTTCATTCTTGCTTGGCACTCGGCCCCTTTGTTTTGTTTTTTCGAAGGTCAGATCTCGAATGCAAGGTGTCACCACTGGCATGTATGAGAAAACGGGCGTTTCTGTTTAGTTTAATTCACAACATACTGACCACCTCGTGGCAAACGAGGTAGGAGAAACGCCTAAAATGAATAAGAAAACGCATGCTGGAAGCAACGTCGCAATAAAAAGACAGACGTCGTGCACTGTGACCGGAAATGGCTGTGTGTGTGGTGCAAAAACATATTGCATCTTGCTCTTTTATAGGGGAGAGAGTGGAGGAGGCCGCCCAGGCTTGGCTAAACAAACCTCAGTGAATCACGCGCTAGCTTTGAGCAGCTTAGTTAAGAGAATGCGTTATTGACAAAACGTTGCAGGAGCTGCGCTGACGAAATGTAATGTCCGCGAAACGTGTTTCGGCAAAATAATGGGGAGCCAAAATCCACCACTGAATTAACTGAGCTCTCCGCGTTGTGCACATAGCCTTTTCCGGTGAAGGTGTACGACATTGTACGTATAGCACCACTCTAAAAAGATACCATACTGCGGAGAAGTAAAATGTAATGAAATGGAATGGTTAAAGTATCTGAATATAGGCAGCTTTTTCTTGTTTTGTCTGCCAGGCACAGTTCTTGCCTAACTCAATAATCTCATAAATCAATTAACAGCAACCTTCCACAGTTAATCGGCAAATTAAATTTAAAATGTATTGTGGGGAGGGATGTTGTCAAAAAACGCTGTGCAACATAATTGGGCAGTGTTCCTGTCCCCATGTGCCGGTGTTCACCATCCTTGGAGTGGCACATAATTATAATAAAACCACCATTTTAGATATAACTGGCGCTACCTGGCAGAAAACGGGGTTTGAGGATTTCGAGGATGAAACAATGCGCGTGTTAGAAACGAGATGGAAGAAGCATCATAGAACAAACTTGGGGGCACAAAGACAGGATATGATAGAAACAAGAGAGGCTTTGGGGGAGCCCAAATTAGGTCATTCTCAATAGAGACAGTAGGATCTTGCTTTCCAAGTACGAAAAAGGTGCCTCCTGAACCGGCAGTTTTCTAAAATGGTTAATTGAGCATGCAGAAAACGTGGAGGATGGACAGATACAGCATGAAAAGGCAGTAGTGATGTATGATACAAGAAAAACCGGGAAAGAAGAGCACAAAAAACGGCGCAAGATGAACTCTCGAATGCAGCTATCAGTTCATTACAAAACATGCACATACATGTTAGTGCAAACAAGCGATCACCATTTCATTTCTTTTTTTCATTTAGGAATTACAAAGGTATCATCAAAACTACTAGTGTGAAGAAAGTGCTCTTTTGGGGAGCTATTATAAATGGTAAAATCTGAGACCTGCTAATGCCTTTGAGAAGTAAACTGTGAAAAAGTGTGAAGGCCGTGTTTGCGCTAACAGTGTTGATGCACAGTGAAAAAATTCTCTCGCCGTGACCATAACCTCCATTGACATACTCCATTGACGTCTAGCTGTCAAAGAAACCAAAAACATGATAATACGACTGCTCAATAAATTAGTAGCTGTACTTTGAGACATCCTGCGCCATTTTGGGACTCTTTACTCCCGTTGTCACTGTGTATGCCACACAGCAGCTCACCCGCCCCTTGCTTCCCATTGCTTTGTAGTACATGGCAGAGCTGTGTGCGTTTTTTCCAGCATTGCGCCAAATACTCGGTATGTAATAATAATAATGTTTATTTCACATTGAAAATACCGAACAAAGAGTGCTGGCCCCCGAAAGCAGAAGCTACTAAATAATATAATAATAATAATAATAATAATGACAGTATTACAGCTTTAAATAGATGAAAAATATTTATTTGGAAATGTGTTAAGAGTAGTACTCGAGTCACTCTCACTAAAAACTATTTTGTGTAGAGTGCTTTGTAAAAGTAAATGAATTACTTTTTGAAGATGCTTGGCTGGCATGTTTTAAAAGAAAAGTTAACAGGCGGTGCTCCACTTGTGATTGCTCCGCTATGCCATTATGTGATGATCGCTCCGGAGAAGTGCCTTAGTTGCTTAGTTCTCTTTGCCCCAAGCATATGGCGATCCCTATTTCCGTAAATTATTTTAGCCAGAAATTTCTACGAAGGTTGAAAAATTTATTCGAGAAAATGAGTATGAGATAGCGAGAAACATAACTAAGATAGAGTAGCAAATACTCTCGGTGAAATGTATTTGCAAGATACTAAAATACCATCGAGAGTGTTTGAAGACTGCATCCCGAGTATCTGAGATAGGCACGAGTCAGATTTTTCCCCAGTTTCGAGTCGATGTGCGTGTTTGTTTTTTCCATTCCTCGCGGCACATGCCAGAACCCCTCCCGCGTTGCAGAAAGAGCATGAGCTGGGCGGAGGGCGAGTGGAAGGTGGGCCTCCCTGGGGGGGCCCTGCTCAAGATCGACTCACTCGAGCAGCAGCTGGACCGGATGCAGAAGGAGCGGCAGCAGCGCCAGATGCAGCTGGACACCCTGCAGCAGACTCTGGACAAGCAGAGGCGCAAGGTGGGCATGGCCGCGTCGCCCCATTGGCCCGGCTTCTGGCGACAGTCGTTGAGCAATGGAACCGTAATGCAGGCGTATCCGACTGGGGCGTTTACCGCATTAAGAAAATGGTCCCTCGATTTCCGCCCGGTGACGTGGTACACGTGACAGATGCCTGTTCAGCTGAAGGTCGCTCTCCAGCTTGGCAATCTACGGAAGCTTTGGCAGTCAGGAGCGTGTTTGCTCTCGCCTTTTGCCGGAACTTGTACGACCAACCACCAGGACGTTCGACAGCATAATACTCTGGCTTTTGTGATGCCATTTGTTGTCACTTTGGGACCAGGTGGATGTGTGGGCAGAATATGACGCTAAATACACCAGTCGAAGACGCAAGCACTGTAGCGGAACGCTACGACTTCTTTCGACGACCACATATTGCGAGGCCGAAGAGGAGGGGCTCCGCACATTTTGCCCAGTTGAACAAAGCCGTTGGGAGATGCTGTGGGACGTCACATTGACCTCTGTAGTCCGTAATCTGTTTAATATTGTCTCCAATGTACCAAGGTAGTGGTTCGGTTAACTCTTTACTTCTTTTTTTTACGCATTTTTAAGCTCGGGATTGTGCTTCGGGGCTGTTTCCAAGCTCCGTAGCTTTCTTTGACCCCAGCACCACTTTAAGTTGACCGTGTGACATCTGAGGGGAACTGCATCCGAGGCTGTCGACGAAATTGATATTACTTTCGCCGGCCGGAGGGACTCAACTCATTGTTGGAAGAAAGGAGTACTGTACTCAGTCACGACTTCCGTGATGTACATGTTTGGGGAGGCTAGAGTGCACGGGCGGTGCTCTAACCACGCCAGTCAGTTCTGAGCACCACACCCATGTCAAAATGGACAGATCTTTCAGTAAAGGAGAGACGTTTGAAATGGGTCTACAGCGAGCTAGATGCTGCATCGCCTGGGAGCCGAAGGGGGTGGGCCAAGATCCAACGTGGGGAAAGTTCCTGGGCAAAGAGGTCGGGGCCCAGGGACCGACGGTCTCTCTGCGTCCCCCCCGCAGCAGGAGGAGGAGAAGGCATCGACCGTGCAGCTGGAGCGGGAGCGGCAGAACCTGCTGTCGCAGCTGGAGGAGTACGAACGTCGCCAGGCCAAGCTGCAGCAGGAGCTGGCTGCCAAGGAGTCCCAGCTCAGCTCGCTGGAGGTCAAGGCGGCCCAGGCCGGGACCCAGAGCGACCTCCCAGTGGCCCCGTGTACACCGACCTCGCGCAGGTTCCAGGTAAGTTTTCCCAAAGTACCCAAACTCTGCTCAAGAGCCCTCCTCGATACTTGGTTACAGGTGGCTGCGACGGACAACACTAGCTGCCCTTCATTCTTTCTGATTTTCGCTCTCGGCGTCGTCTTGCCAGAATTGTTAGGGCCAGTCTTCTTCGTGCGACGGCGTCAGGCAGCAGCATCTTGCACGTGTCGGCAGCTTCGGACATTGTTGTTTGGCTGTAGACAATGTCTTTTGAAGTGCTGGAATGTACAGCGAAGTTTTAAGGCGATTCCGGGCTTTTTTTTATGTTCTTTTACGTCGCAGGCTCCTTGCTCAATCTATTCGATTCCCCCTATGTACAAGCTGGTAGCTCAGTCTGTATTAGCCCCAAGAAGATAGGGTGGCGCCGCCTGGTAGCTTCTTGTCGCGACGTGGTACCAAGCATTACGTGACCGTTTCTGCGCTTTGTTTCTAGCAGGTAGGTTGAGGTGTATCGCTGACAACTAATGTTTGATTGGTTATTTGAACCAGAGTTTGGGGTTGCGTGTGACCCAATTCTTTTGCTGCACTTCTCGTCAAAATTGAGCTCAAGCAGCGCAATAACAATGGTGTCGCGACCTACGAAACAGGACCCAGTTTCCCAGTTTCATGTTAAAGTACTGACCACGACTTAATCGGTCGTAGTCGTGGCTTTCGAGGCTTGTCATGTGACCAAACAAGTAGATTCTGGGAAAACATAATTTTTTTTTTTTGGCCTTTTGGAAACAGGCGGGCAGAGAACATGGAAACCAATCGCGACGACGGCTGAGCAGGCATTGAACTTGCCATTCTGATTGCCATTTTTTTTCGCAGTTTGCTCGTGCGGTTTTAGAGAGACACAAAAAATAAAGTGTATGTACCACATGATACGAGGGTAATCCATAGCACGTCTTTAGAGCTTGGCATCAAGGAAAGCAGCGAATAGAATTGATGAGTGTGTCACTGCAACGAGAGCATCTGCCACCACCGCACAACACTCCGAAAGTGACAAGGGGACGATGAAATGACAAGACTCACCTAACCGGAAGATCTAGTTCCAGGTTAAAAAAATTCATACGAACAGCCCACGTAGCACCCAGTGTCATGCGAACATTCCCTGGGTGGTATGAATGTTGAAAAAATGTTAAAACTCCATTCGGAACGTTCTAGGGACGTTTGTATGCGAACATTCCCTACAATGTAAGCTGCTTAACATTCTAGGAATGTTTGTTGGCGAACATTCATATGTACAGTGTTCTCGGAACATTCGCCTTCGAACATTCGTATGCGCAACATTCTTGGAACCTTCGCTTGCGAACATTCCTAGAATTTTCGCAAGTGAAGCCAACTTTACGGAGCTCTCACGCAACCTGTGGTTCGAAACACCATCCACTATATGCCACTTTGTGCCAAAAATATGCAAATTGTGGAGTTTCTGGAAACTTAGCATGAGCGATCAGTTTTATCTTATACGAGTCTACCGAGGAATGTGATATATGGTGTAGGAGAAAAGCAATGGTTTTCAAAACTTGATAATGAACTTGGCACTCACTGCGCATGTAGAGGTGCAGTTTTGCATAGACCCGATTTTCAGCTTCTGAGGTTCCAATACGTTGAAAAAGGTATATCCTGCAGTTGAGTGCGGGATGCCATGTGTATCTGCTCTTAAGCTCGGAGTGAGTGATCGGTTATATATGCAGCACATTTTGATTGAAAGAAGTTGACAAGTGACAGGTAGGAGTAGACTGTCGCTAGTGCATGCTCAGGCTGGTGCACTGGGAAAGCGGCTGTCTTGTGCTTACGCCTTCTAAAAATAATTCTCGATTAAAAAAATATTGATCGCCCTGTGAGGAGCTTCACCACATCCATATATGTAGTATGATTCATTGGGGGCTGTAGCCTCAGCAAACCGTAATTGTAGAATCTTTGTAAATAAGCTTCAAAGGATGTTCCCTGAATGTAGGGATTTATCCACACCATGTTCCGAGGAGATTGAAAGCATGCCCGTGCATAAATTTGCAACATTTGAAGAAAGTTGCAGAAGTTCTTAGGATGTTCTGAGAACATTCTTAGAACCTTGTCAGGTCGCTACAAATGTACTGTCGTGTTTTGTTGCATGCTAGTTTTATCAGTTGAGCATGTTTTACAGCTGTTCAATTTTTTCACTTAGACCTTTGTTGGTTGCTGAATGGCACAAATAAAGGCATTATGATGATGATGATGAGGATATTTGAATGTTGATTGAATGTCCTGGTAATGTTCTATGTCATTCTCTGAACGTTCTAAGAATATCCATTTGAAAACATTCCCTGAATGTAGCGATAAGTGACTGTGCCACATTCTGACAATGTTGATAGAATGTTCTTACGTAAATTTGCAAGAATGTTGCCTATGTTCTTTTGAACATTCCTGGAATTTTCTCAGAACGTTCTCGTGCTACGTGGGGGGTCCACTTAAAAAAGAAAAAAGAAAGTTGCGCAATCTTATCTATTTGACGAGCCCGCTGATCATAGGCAGCGAGTGGCGAGCACCTTGCTAGGCCTTAAGCTTGGCCTTCCGTCTGACTTGAGCTGCCGCTGAAGTTGTTGGGATTTTTGTCGTTGCTTTCAGAACCCGTGAATTGAGCGTTTCCTTTCGTCTGCTGCTTGAAGTCGAGAAGCGTGCAAAGAGCATGTAGAAGTATGCTTGTTGGTCTCGATGGCAAAGTATCCGGGCTGTGTTGGTGGCCATGAAGCTATCGTAGGATTTTATCGTAACATACACACAACTTCCGATCATTTCGCTTGGCATATTTCGTTTTACGCACATTTGCCGTGATAGCAAAAACAAAATACAGTTAGCAAACAGTTTCTACTGATACACGCTAAAGCGCACAACCAAAGCGAAGCAAGGCGGAGAAAATACCTGGCCTCGTCACGTGATACTTGTAGCTATGCCACCATCGAGCGATCGCAGCGCTCCAATTGATCCTGCTCGGGGCTCATGGGTGAAGCTCCTCTGTAGTATGACAGTGAGTTTCCAGATCAGAAATGCCTAAGAATTGTGGTATAGGTCGACTCTACTCATCTGCCTTTCTGCAGACCATGGGGAGAGCCAGTCATGGTTCCCAGAAGGGGCCCACCAAATCACGATGACATTCGGTAGACCCTGGAACAAAACCTCATTGGACAAGGAGCTTGGTGCCTGACACATTCGGTTTCCCAGTACAGGTTGTGGGTTTTCCTTTGGAATCCCAATCCTTTTCATGGCTTTGCTATTTGCTTGGTTCAGTCCGTGGATTGTAATGCTTGCCTTTTGTGCGTTTTAGAGCGAAGCAAACGCCTTCTTTTAAAGCATGAAATGCTTTTTGACGGAGCCCCCTAACCCCAGAAATTTGTGTTCCGATGCATTTCACTGGTTTATTAGCTGGGAAACTGGTGTCCCGTGACCTGATATCATTTTAATGCTAAAGCATTAACTGTCCCACGAAGCGAAGCTGCCGTTGTTTGTAGAAGCGAAACGGCACCTAAATTCCCATTGGCTGCAACGCATCATGTGGCTTCATAGCAACGGCGTCATCGTTGCTAAGGAGCCAGCTGAACTGCTGGTGGCCCTGCGGGACGGGGGACGTGGGTATGTGCTGGCCTGACGTTAGGCCTAATGTTACACGTTGAGGTCTAACGTCGTCAACTGGTACATGCAGCTGTTTGACATGAGGGCGGGACGTGGATATGCACTGGCCTGACGTTAGGCCTAATGTTCCGCTTTGAGCAATGTTACTAAAACACTCAGCTGTGAAACTTGCCCTTGAAACCTGGACTGCTGGCGTCCACCGAGACCGAGCTAAATGCTATGACAATGCCACCCTTTAGGGATGAGTTGAAACATGAAAGTTACTTTACATGGCTACTGCTAGAGTCACTGAATGTTCCCTAGAGTACCGAAACCTCCATGCTCAAGGTTCCAGGATGGGGGCTCAATCTTTTTTCTTTACTGTGGTCATCATGAGCTTTTAGAAAGCATGTTTTTGTGTAAAAACAAATGGAAAAAGTTCTTTTTGTAGGAAATTTTATTGGAGATTGGTACAAAATGACAGGAGTGGGATGTATGCATAAAATGTCAGGTTACAGGGGTTTGCGGCACAATTAATATTGTTTTATTGCCACCGTGCCGGCAGGTACTGTTTAATACTGCCACAGTGCCAACAGGCCACAGTGGCCTGTTCTCCTCCTCTGGGTGCCGAGAATGCTTTCGCATTCAGAACTAATTAGAAGTGCTTAGGTGTCCTCGGAAGTTTCTGACACAAATTCACTGTGACGTGACTTGACACCAATTCAATTTTCTTGCTGAATTTAGTGGCGAAATTGATGTCACGTGACCTCAAAACCAATTAAGTTACCCCTCTGAATATAGTGGGAATGCTGATGTCGCATGACCTAACCTTTTATTTATTTACTTCACCATTCTGTACAACCTATACATGTTATAAGAGTGCACAAATCAATGTGTAAGCACACTAGTTTTTTTTTTTTTTTGCTTTTGTACAAATGTATATATATATATATATTCTGTGAGTGCATAGGTCGGTGTTGTGGGCACAATAGTGCATGGGCATCAGCCTTCCCCCAACACCAGCACGCCTGTACACTTCTACTTGTCATGTGCAATAAATAATATCAATATCAATATCAACTCTGTCTGCACCCCTAAATTTGGCGGGGAAATTGATGTCGCATGACCTACATTCAGATTCAGTTTCCCTGCTAAATTTAATTAGTGAGGAAGTTGACGTCATGTGACCTATGCCGCAATTCAGTTTTTCTGCTAAATTCAGTGCGCAAATTGATGTCGTGTAACCCACAGACCAATTCAGTTTCTTTGCTAAATTTATTAAGCAAATGGACGTCACATGACCTAAAGAGCAATTCAGTTTTCTCGCTAAATGTAGCGGGGAAATCGATGTCACATGGCATATACACCATTTCAGTCTCCTCATTATAAATTAGCAGTGGAAATATAAACAGATACTACCCAAACGGCTGTTTTATGTCTTCTAAACATATACAAACGATTGCTCATCATATACTACAGGATTCCACGCATTATAAAACTTTGGAGATAATGTTTGGTGCCAATTTTTTCTAAAATGTTTGGGTGGACTTATTTCCCAGCCTAACGAAAGAAACGTCTGTTGCCTAGAAACCGTCCGTGTTAGCAGGCTTTATGGTTGATCTTCTCCTTTGCCAGGTGTTCTAACGTCAGCACAGAGAAGTTAGTCTTGCCACTTGTCTCCGTTTCCCAAGTCGCTTAGCATTACCACGCGACGGTGGCCTCACACTGTCACATGACACCGACCGGCCTCGGTTGTTTCAGAGCTTCAGCTCCTCTTTGGACGATGCGCCTGGCGTGCCACTTGTACAGCAGCTCCAGGGCAGAGTTCGGGAGCTCGAGGCACAGCTCAGAGGTGAGCAAGGGGTTTGGATCGAGAAGGAACGTTGATTTAGCTTTCGGCATCACAGACAGTGTAGTCATTTTGCCATTTAGTGCGGGGACACGGGGAAAACCAAAATGTCCTCAATGCCAGGCTGGGGCCTCCCCTAAAAAGATTTTCAGATTGAAGGACATTCTCAGCACAAACAATTTTCATATATACTGTTTTTTTGCTTAAAGGGCAACTCCGGCCAAAACTCAAAATGAAATAAACTACTGGTATCGCTGTAGTAACACAAAATACCACCCCAGCCAAAGTATTACGTCCGTGGGACGCCGCATTCTCAACTAATGCGGATAATAAAAATGAGACCCGCCGCGAGCCGCTGCTCCCTAGCGGGCGGCCAGCGGGTTGCCAATCGCTAAAGCAACATTGGGCCGTGACGTCCGTATCATTCTCTTTTTTTTTTTCCTCCGGCCTGGGCATTGCGCGGAGTGCGCTTTTTGGGGCGCTACCACCGCTTCTTCGGCTGGTGATTGGCGTGTTTAACCGTTGCTTTTATCTGTAGCCAGTGTAGCTTCGGTATAGCCTTTTGTTTATTTGCTTGTGAGGACTCCAAGACTCGTTTTAGCGAGCAACTCGGTGCGCCCAAGACTGCCCAGCTGTTCCTCGAAAGATGCCGAGTACAACTTGTAGCGCTGTGGGCTGCTCACACAACCCGGTGCGCAACCCGGAGGTGCTTTTTCACAAGTTTCCAACGGGCCGGAAATTGCAAAAGGTGTGGGTGAACACTGTTCGACGAGTGGACTTTGGACTTCGGCTTTTACGCGCCCGAGGAAAAAATAGCATAAAAAAAGACGTGTACAGCCCAGCACACATGTGTTTGGACGCCGCGGCCCACGCCGGAGAGCCTCAAAGCTTCGTGTCTGGGACTGACCCGCAGCGGGAAAGCGAGAGGGCCCCCAGTACTGTGCGTCACTGGCAGCGCGGCGTAGAGCAACGCCGCTTCATCGACAAAGCCCCGATGACAATTTAGCCCCAGCAACGAGTACGGAAGACCGTATGCACGGCGACAACCGCCGAGTACGGCACCGAACGAGTTTACTCGTTTTCCAGTCGCTAGCTTCTGGGTATACGAGCGACGAGTATGGCATAGCGCACGCACGGCGGCGGCCGCTGAGTACGGCACCGAACGAGTTCACGGGTTTTCCAGTCGCTAGCTTTTGGGTATACGCACTAACTCTTGCTATATATTCTGGATAACTAACACGTAGACAGAAATAAAATAAAATCAGCTTACCTCCTATCTTTAGACGGCTAGCGCAACATAGTTAGGTGCCACTCGGCCTGCGTACTCGTTGAACGAGAACGATTCTGACGTCACGTTCACATTGCGGCAGATTTCCACTGCTGCTGGGGCGCCTCGAGCGGCTAGTTTCGGTTTTGCTGGCGACGCCCCAAACAAAACTTTGAGGCATCATATCTTTAAAACTACGCACAATAACGAAAAAAAAATTACACCTTGCAATTCAGGGATACTGACTGCACTAAAAACTGTCATAATCTCAAAATCGAAAGTATGGACCGGAGTTGCCCTTTAAAGTTGCGCTTGTATGTTAGAATTCACCGCAAACCGTTTTTATATTTAGAATCTCTGGTTTGATCCAATAGTGTTCATTTTTTTTTTTTTTCCACCATAAAAAGAATGATTTTTTGGGTGTGGATACAAACAAAATAAAATAAACTCTAAGCTTAGGATGAATTCAGCGGCCATCACCTGATTTCGAAGGTGCGCTTTTCTCAATAGTAGTGCCTTGTCCCTGCATATTCGTAACGGCGCCAAGTTATATTCACATCATTAAGCACTTTACCCTTTCTTGTACGGGTGCGTACCACGGCAGATTGTGCGAGGCTGAACTTTTGTATCTGAATTCGCTTGGGTGGGGTGACGGGGCGCGCAGTTTCAGAGAGTCGTCCGTCCATCCCGCCGGGCACGCCGCAGAGAGGGCAAGGCGCCGACCGCGAGAACCACGCCATGGACCGCCTCAGGGTGGAGAACGCCCAGCTGACGGGAAAGGTGGGCACAGCGCACGTGCGTTAAGACTCGCTGAAATGGCAGCTATCAGCTACTCGAGCGACCATTGAACGGCAAATGCTCAAAAGACGTTGCACCGTCCTCATCTCTTTTGGTACCGTTTTAACTTTTATTCTTTCATCGTCTCGCTCAGAATTTTCGGTATCTTGTCTAAGAAATTTGCTAAGCTAGCCGGCTACTTGCGTCGAGCCACGACGTCCGTTCCAGCTGTTAAATAAGCTAGGCTTGAGAGAAACGACACTGAAGCTTCGTTGCTTAAAATCGTGCTTGTCAATTACGTGAAGTTTATCCTGAAATGGCAGAAAAGGCTTTCCCGTCCTCCAGGACTGAATACGGTCCAAGACGGATCTGCTAGACGATTTTGCTTGGGTTCCTACGCGGTATGTAAAGCTTGGGAAGCGATTGCCGGTTGTGCCTGCTCTGCACTCTGCACCAAGGTGGCGGAGCCCACAAGGAAAGGGGTGTTACCTCGGCGTAGCTCATTCGGTGGCTCTTGTCCCGGACGACGTCGACCGAGGTCTTACGGCATCCCTGAACTGTGGAGTGGGTCGTTTTGCCTCCAGGTGTCGGAGCTGGAGCAGAAGGGGCGGCAGCTGAGCCAGCAGCTGGAGTGCCAGCTGCACAACAGCGAGGCCGCCCGCGGGGCCCTGGAGCAGCGCTCGCGCCAGAGGGAGGCCGAGCTCAAGGAGGAACTGCGCATGCAGGCACAGGGTCAGAGGACGTCTCCCCCGTGGCACCCCTTGTCATTTATTTTCCTCCGGGATGTGCGAGGAGTATCACACGAAGGGGGTGGGAGTACATCTAGTTATTTAAATTTATAAAAGAAAAAATGAATGAAATATTGCGCGATATTAAAGTACCGTAATCTAATTTGAGGGGTTAGAGAGGAAGAGTGTAGTAGCTCCTGCAAATACAGGGCGTTTCTTTTTTAGATTTCACGAATATGTTTTAAAAAGCTGTGAAAGCAGTGTCATGCCATTTGTGCTCAAAAATTGTTACACTGACAGGACAGTGTGCGCTGGTCTATTGTCACATTGGAACTTAATTTAAACTCGGAGTAAACAATGCCGGAATTTTCTCAACGTTTTCATCAGTTGAGCAGGTTGAGGACGCCCTTAGTGAGCTTGGTCATCGATCAATGATTCACCGGCCTTGAAGCTAGGAAACCTCTCGTAGACCTGCAATTACTTCCTCGCACCTTTGTGAACTGCCTGAAGCATTACAAACGTTTCTATTGATGTTTTCCCTAAAAAAAAAAGAAAAAAAAAACAACTTCACTGTCGCACGTTGCTCCTTCAAATCGGACATTGCAAAAAACAAATGATTTTGAAGAGCCAGAACTTTAGCAGACTACGCCGGTCGGCAAACTGGCTCAAAAGGGGTGCCGCTAAGCGCGGCACCCCTTTTGTCGAAAGCTGGTTCTACGAATGGCCGGCCCTTCAGAAATTTATTCCAGTCACCTCAGGATCCCCCCTCGTACAACTCGCCCGCACAAACCTCAGTGTAGACTTTACGGCTCTTGTAAAGCAAATTTGTAAAGCCCAAGAACAAACACCCCATATATTAGCGTTATTTATTGAAGAGTGCAATCTCCGAGCTTAGTTGTCTGGGTTGGCCGAGGTGGTAATACAAAACAAAAAAATGCCCCCCCCCCCCCCCCCCCCCTTCCGAAAATTGGTGCATGAGGACTGTCCGTTGATGAGAAAAGGGGGCTCCGAGGAGCAAGCACGCAGAGGCGTACCTCTCCTTCGCCATTTTCTCGACCACTGGGTGACTCACCAAATTACTTATATTTGGCCTCACTGCAACATTGCCTATCAAATAAGTCAATTTTGAGCCGCTATGCGCGAGTGAACGAAATTGTTCCAAACTTAAAATGCCATTCAGAATTAAAAACGGTGCGAAAAGACGAGGACCAGACGAAGAAGTAACACGGACGCAGCGCCTGGTCGTCGTCTTTTCGCGCTGTTTTTAATTCCGTAGTATGTACCAACTCGCCCAAGCCTCAACTTTAAAATGCACGTTGCAAAACAATTATTGAGTCTTTCTTTTTTTTTTTCTGAGGAAAGTTAAAAAGAAAGTTTAAGGGGGGACATGGGTCTTTGGAGCCAACATCTTCCTAAAACTGCAATCTTTTGAAAACGGCGATGGCAGTTGTTCTTCTGAATCTACCAGGCTTCTAATTTCGTGGATGAATATCTGGGCTATAAATCAATTTATAATGTCCATGCAGGCTAAATGTGCATTAAAATTGACTCTAAAACATTGTTTTCAATAAAACAATTTTTGGACTCGATGAAAATTTGCAGAAGGGATATCTCAGGATCTACAGCAGTCAGAAATATAACCTTTCCTGAAATGTGTAGCTAAGTGTGTGAAGCATACAATGTTGAGAGCAGATTTTTTAATATAAGTCTAGAAAATTTTTTATTTGATCTTTTGTTTTATTACTTGTTATCCATGCATTGAGCACTGAACTTCAATACTATGTTGTAAAATCACTAATAATGGGTTTATCTTAAAAGTGTTTCCAACATTGTATTCTTTACACTTCATAGTATCTGGCCATCTGTTAAAAAGGATATTTTGTTGAGCAGTTTTTTCCCTATCATTCCTCCAAAAAAAGGCAGGCAAGTTTTAATTATCTTCAGGACAATTCTACTGACTGAGGAAATTACTAGATATATGAAATCAGCACAAAAAGCTAAACAAGCTTGTGCAGTTTCATTGAGTTTGGTCATAAAATAAGAAAAAAAGCTCCAAGACCAGTGTTTCCCCTTAAGGCGAAGAGCCGGGTCTCGTGTCGGTCGTCTCCTTTCCGGACTGCGTGTCCTGGAGGGGTCGGGACAGTGGCCCAAACGCTGCACGTGCCCATTGTGCGCAGAGAGCGGCCGGCTGCTCAAGGAGCTGGGGGAGAGCCAGAGTCGCCTGCAGCAGGAGCTTGCCTGCAGCCAGAAGGAGCTGGGCGTGGTCAAGGCGCAGCTGGAGCGCAGCCAGGCCCACGCCCTGTGAGTGCCTGCCGTTTCTTGGCTGCCAGCCATTCGGCCGCTGGGTTGGTGCCGGCAGTCCTCACTGCCGCTACATGGACAAAATTTCAATAGAAGAAACTGGGATGTGTATTATTTTTTTTCTCATTATTATGGACGGTTTGTGTTAGGGATGATTTTTTTGCGGGGAACTAAGGTTTCCATTTTAACGGAACGCAACTGTATTTGTTCAGTTAGTCAGCTGGTTTTCAAGATTATTAAAAATCACCTGCCATTGTTTGTGGGAACACTGGAAAATACTGCTCAACAAAAAATTAGTAATTATACGTGGCTAGAAATTGCTACCGTAAAATACTGGGGGCGCGCCCAACCCACTCACCAAAAACGATTAATCTAGACATGGGCGCTTGTTCCGTCAAATGGGGTGCTTAACGTATAATTTCCAGTATTTCCGAATCCGAATGAAGTGGGCACTTCTGCGGTATTGTACGGTAAGTATAAAAAACTTAAATTCTGTCAGTGCTTTCAAATTACAGTTGAATCTCGTTAATTCAAACTCGAGGGGGGCCGAAGATTTGTTCGAATAAAGCAAAGTTTGAATTATTGGGAGTTTCCTCCCATAGAGACGCATAGGATGGGACCTGCATTTTAATTATCCGCAAGTTTGAATGTCGAGAGTTTGAATTAATGAGAGTCGACTGTACATCATTGGGAATTTTACGACGCGTTCAAGTTCTATGTTTAATGTGTTGTTACCGAGCGATCAAAAATACAATAAACTTTTTCTGGGCCTAAATCGAAAACTTTGCACAACATTGGTGCGTGGAGCTAGTGCATGGAGAGAGGGGATTTCGCCCGTGCAGTAGGTAAAGATGTTGCATCCTGTCCTTTTTCTTGCTTTCCATTCAGTCTTGTAACATAACCAGCACGCTCTATAATTGGATGAACAGATTTATTTTAAGTGGTATTTAGGGGAAGTAAGAAAATCAAAGTGGCCATGTTTGCTGTGGGGTCACATATGACTTCTTTGAACCCGAGTGAGGATGCGAGTACTGGTGGACTGAACACACTCTAATATGCCATGAACAAAAGCAGACATCTCCTTTCAGTAGCCACAATCTTTTTCCCGATAGAATATGCACTCTTTTTAGGGGCAGAGCTCCTTAGGGTCTAGCCTTGTCCATCCGTCCGGCAACCGTGCTCGCATCGATTGCACTACCTCCGGGATCGGCCCACTTTTAAAAAAAAATTGTACGCCCGCACGGGGGTTCGAACTCAGGTTTGCTTGCTTACGAGGCAGACGTCTTAACCACTACGCTACACTCCAACGTTGCATGTAGCCGCTCAACGCTTATACGGGAGAGGGCGCTGTGGTCGAATGCGTATAAAATCGCGTTAAACTTTGCATGCATTGGGTCAACGTTTATAGACGAGAGGGCGCTGTGGTCAAATGCTCAACTGTGTATATAGCCACGATCCATACCACACATTCTCTTTCTGACATGGACCGTTGACTTAAGCGGTGGAGATGCATTCCCACGGCTTCTAGCGGATCCAAGCTGATCCGCTTGAAGAACCACTGGCTCTGCATTTCACCGACCATAAAGCAGTAATAATGAAGTCGAAACGCAACCCGGAACTCGGCACTACCTATGAGCAATAAAACAAAAATCAGCACCATCAGCACCACCTATGAACAATAAAATCAGTATCATGAGCACCACCAGAGCTTCGCCCCAATCAACATCATTCACCACGGGGAGATGCGGCCTCTTTTTTTTTATAATGCAAAGAGGAGTAATTTTTGTGTTCTCACACTTGGCTGCTTGTCTAGTGCGGGTGATTCTGCTTGGCCTTTGTTGCCCGGCCGTGCTGCCTTCTCTTCGTGACCCGCCCCCGTGGCTGCTCCAGGTCCCAGGACCGAACTGTGGGGGAGCTACGGCAGCAGGTGTCGTCCCTGGAGCAGCAGGAGCGGCAGCGCTCCGACCAGGTGGCCGAGGCCCACAGGAGCCTGAAGCAGCAGGAGCAGGCGCACCGGGCCCTGGAGGCCAGGTGGGTTGGCCCGGTGGCACCGCCGCAGCACTGGCATTTGTTTGTGCATTGCTAATGCAAGCTACATGTTGAAGACACCTTGCCAGAGCCGTTCAAACTGAAGTGTTTGCTAATGGGCAGAGCTGGCGGCCCTCTAAAACTAGCTATAACAAGCCGACTTTGCCGTAACACCGGATGGAGAGGCGGCCACTCCACTTCGAGTGAGCCAACTCAAATTCGTGCGTACAAGTGGCTTTGTGAAGATAATTTCTCGTACACTGATATTTTCTTGTACCTGTGTTTGATCACAGTATTCAAGCACCGCCCATTCTTTATACATAATCTCCAACAACAAAACTTGTGAATAAGCTTCTTTTCTTTTTGTTTTTTTCTTTTTGAACGAAAAAATGCTTTCTCGAGCGAAAAATCAAACAAAAAAAAAAAACAGGCAACTGTGCGCATGGATTTGTAGTGCCTCCATAGATGCCGTCATTCGTGGCACTGAATTGTGGCGGTGGTGTCGATATTGAAACATAATTTTTGAGATGATAAGAAAAAAATACTGGTAGATGATATTATTTTTTTTCTCGATTGTTACAGATAAGCAAGTTTGAGCACTTAATTGCATGTGCAGAGCCAAAGACTCAATCTTTCATTAAGGGGGGGACACTACCAAGGAAAAACAATTTCTGCAAAAAAGTTGATCTTGAAAAATGCCATATTTACATCCACCAACATCTAGAGAGTATTCGCAGAAAGTTTAATTAGTTCACACTGCATGATTAATTTTTTATAAATTATTTTCGGTCCAGCGATGCTGAAGAAAAGGTAGAGGTTGGAGCACTTTGAAAGCATTTTTCTCCGTTCCACTTTTTGGCATAAATTTCACTTTAGGAACAGTATCGTTTGTTAATGGGACAAAAGGAAAGACGCAGTCATTGGTTCTCCTAACTGAAATTTTATGGGCAATGCAACTGTGGAATCGTTTTTTGACTTTGTGGATGTTTTTTTATAAAAGACGTTAGGATTTTGTTGACAACATAAAATCAAAAAATTTTATTTTTCTCAGCAATGTTAGCATGAAATAAATTACTTTTTTGAAATTTTGTTTTCACAGTTGCTCTCTCCAGGCATTCTGCTGCAGATCTAGTAAAGAAAAACAATGGTTATTCCATTAGTTTTCTAACGATAGTTTTCCTAAACAAAGTTTGTGTGTTCCTGATAAAAACAACTGATTTTTTTTACAGTTCATGTACACAGATGAAACTTTGCACTGCATTCTTCCTCGCAACTGGCAGTACATGCTGTAAACTTCATTCATATTCAGCCCAAGGTTTAAAAGTCTACCCTTCTGGGTTGTGAAAGGAAACCCTTTCAGTGCGATGACAGGCACCATGATCTTGAAATGTAATTCAGAGGGGGTCAAGCGTCACCAAAACAGAACGATGGAGGTGACGCGGTGTTGCCAGATTCCTGGCCGTGGTTGCTAGACTGTCGCCGTGTTGGAAAGAGTCTCCCAGTATACTATCCGGCCATGTCCCGGGCAGGCGGAGAAGGCGGCCATCTTGGCACGGTCAGCTGGCATCCCAGGCGGGTCCTCGAAGCTGGTTTTGCAAGTCCCCCGAGAGGACACGTCTGCCGCCGATCTCCAACACATTCTCTACTGGAGATTTTCAAGTCTCGTGGCTTCGAAGAGAAGAAGCGATTACAGGGGGTTTGCTTCCGTTGGAAATAGATTTCCACAAAGATTTTCTCCGGGAAAGCATAATCGGATTTTTAAGGGCTTTTATTTTTATCGAATATATTTGACCAAAGCTGAGGATTGTTTGTTTTTCCATAAAAAGTTGCTCTTCTTTTACTCGTTTCAATGGAACAAGCAATTAGGCAGTGGATCTGCTCGTTCGAGAGTTGCACGATTTTGAATTTCAAAGTGAAATATCGGGGCCTATAAGAGAGATTTTAAAGTTGGGTTTTCGCTCTCGAGACATGTCGGAGAGGTGTCCCAAGCAGCACGGACGAAATTATAATTTGTAGAGTCGATTCTTTGCCCCGCAAAACGATTGAGCAGACAACAAACGGATTGCATCGGCGGTGCCACATGTTGGCTGGGCTCGTCTCACGAGCCGGCTGAACGACTAGGACGCTCTTCCGCGCGCCTCTCCTTTTTGGCGGATTCTTCACGCGACTGTAGCGGGTGCCGTGGACAGTTGCCCGTTGGGGAAAGTGCGACACCCATGTGCACCGTGTGCGGCCGCAGGTGCGAGACCTTGGCGGCCCAGGGGCGGGAAGCGGTCTCTGCCCTGGAGGCGTCAACCAGGGACCTGAGGGCCCGGGAGGCGGAGCTCCGCAGGTGCTCGACCGAGCTGGAGCAGCGGGAGCGAGACCTGGTGCAGCTCCAGGGACAGCTGGCCAACAGCCAGGTGGGCATTGCTCGGGGGGGGGGGGGGGACGCAGTCACTTGCACTTGTGCACGGTGACACGTCACGGCCGATGCTGCGACGCAATCGAACAGATGAAGCCCAGTATCCTCTTTTGACAGCGTCTCTGTCAACCAGGTGGTGCAACTGGGAAAAAAAAGAGCAAAAAGTGTCTTATTGCCATGGCCACCTCTGCACACACATGCAGACTTGGGAACTAATGCATTACAAGTAACGGATTACTTGTACCGTATTTTCCGGACTATAGTCCGCACCCGATGTATAGTCCGCAGAAACAAATTTGGGGTCAAAACTTAAAGTTTTTGCTTAGATAGTCCGCACCTGGTGCTTAGTCGACACGAAAATCTTCTCATACGCGGCACACCTTGACATATGACTGCTTTCGTAGCTCACAAAGAAGCTTGTATTATACATAAATCATAACTTACATACTCTTTTATTCACAAAATCCGTCTCGTCTCGTCATAATCAACGATATTGAAAAACAAAATTCCTGTATAGTCTGCACGCGTAGATAGTCCGCACAGCCTGAATTTTCAACTTTTAAACATGTATAGTCTGCGGACTATAGCCCGGAAAATACAGTAATTTGTTACTTTTTCAAGTAATTTTGTAATTGCCACATTACTTCTTTGTGGCGGTAAATTGTAATGTAATTTATTACAAAACATATCGGTAACGGATTACTTTAATTACTCGTTACTAATACAGACACTGGAGCAATATCAGCAGGCAGTTCAGCAGCATAAAGATAGCAAGTTCTACAAAATAGAAAACATCAGGAAGAGAAAAATAACCGAAGTGCAAACACGATTTTTTGTGTAACCAGTCACTAGAATCACTAGAAAAAAACATGCTAGGCATATACAGATATGCAAAAAGCAAGGCTCCAGAAGACAACACTGAGTAGGCGTTGTCTTCTCGATCTCCTACCAGAGGTAGATGCTGCTGCTGAGCACGCACACCGCTAGCTTTGCCCGCAGAATTCCAGGAGTCATTTCTGGTCGTCGTAAGCTAGCGGGACGGCGGGTGAGGTTGCAGCTTTCGCTGCCTCGTCAGCTTACTGGTGAACAGAGCGCACCTGCATTCCTTCTCTCAAATACAACAGTTTGTTTTTGCGAGGACTACCATAATGCAGGCGTATGAGAAACAGAAAGTAGTGTTGCAGAGCATTTTTGAAAACATGGAAATTGTTTCTATTGTGAATGTAATTTGTAACGTAACAAGTAATCTGTTACTTTTCAGCAAAAGTAATTTGTAAGGGTAATCCATTACATTTCACGCTCAGTAATTTGTAATTGTCATCCATGCACAAGTCTGCACACTCGCATTTTCCTCAGCGCATCTGCTCTGAGCTCGAAGAACTCTGGCCAGAACACCGTGCAAAGATTTCTCCGCTTCGGTGCGTCTATAAAATTGTTCTTGCCGCCGTTGAGGCACGAAACAAGGGTCAACGACGAAGCTGTGTCTAACAACGACGAAGCTGTGTCATTCCCGGTAACGGGAATGATTGCAAAGCATTGCCTGAGGGGTGAATCCAGCAAGAACTGCTTTTACTCATGCAGAGCCAAGCGTGTTCCCTCGAGCAGCAGAAGCAGAACATGGAGCGAGAGCTCGCCCGCAGCCGGTCGGACCTGCAGAGAGAGACTGCCCACTCCAAGGATGTCTCTATGCAGCTGGATGGCTTGCAGAAGAAGCTGGAAGAGCAAAGGAGGGCTGCGGATTGTCAAAACGCCGCCGCGGAGCAGCTGCGGTCCGAGCTCGCCAAGGCGCGGCGAGAGTCCTCCGACGCCTTGTCCAAGATCCAGGCGCTGGAGGAGGCGGCGCAGCAAAGCTCGGAGTCTGCACGCCAATTCCTCGAGAAGGCGGTGCAGCTGGATCGCAAGCTCGAAGAGGCGCATAATAACGGCGAAGTGTCCCGAATCAGGGGTGAGGCGCTCGCAAAATCTCTGGAGGAGAAAGAGGCCGACCGGGTGTCTTTGCTGAACTCGAAGAAAGAGTTGGAGCGGCAGCTGACGGACGCGACCGAACGTGCGGAGCGCCTCGCTTCGGACCTTGCCAGGGAGCGACGCGAGGCCGCCGAGGCGGCGGAGGTCGTCGCCGAGAGCCGGGAGGCCGCGGCCAGGTTGGCGAAGCTGAGGGAGGAACTGGACGTCGCCACCCATTTACGGACGAAGGCCGAGGAGGCCCTGGAGCGGCTCGAGCGGGAGAAGGTGGAAGCGACCTCTCTGCGGGAGCTGTGCGAAGAGGAGTACGAGGGCCTGAGGGGGATGCTGGGGGCTGCAGAGGCGAAGCTGGCGAGCAGCGAGGAGCGGGTGCGGAGCCTGGAAGGCTCTGTCTCGGAGGGCAGGACGGAGCGGGAGGCACTGGTGGGGACGCTGCTGGAGCGGGAGTCTGCCCTCTGGGAGCTGCAGGAGCGGGCGACTGCTCTGGAGGCCGAACTGGCGGAGGCGAGGCGGGCCCTGGCCGAGACTGACGCCCGGCTACGGGCCGGCGAGGACGAGGCTCGGGACCGGGAAGTCCGTCTGTCGAAGGCGGAAGCGGAGCTGCGGGAGGTTGCGGAGAAGGCGCTGAACCTGGAGCAGACTCGCGACGATCTTCGGTGCCTGCTGGGGGAGAGAGACTCTGAGATTGCCGCTCTGAGGGAGGCTCTCTCGCTGAAGGACGCGGCCATCGAGGCACTGGAGGCTCGGGTGGCCGGTGTTTCGGGAATGGAAGCGGAGCTCCGAAGACTGCGTGAGGAAAAACAGGACCTGGAGGGGCAACTTTTACAGCTTGTCTCTGACAACGCACTTGTCGTGGAGGAGCTGAACGGGCGGCTGTCGGAGAAAGTCCTGGAGCACAATCGAGTAGCCGGAGAGCTGGAGGAAGCGGCAGCTTCTCTGCACAACCTACGACGAGACAAAGAAGACCTCCTCGCCGCGCAGCACGTTGCCGAAGGGGAGCTGGCCGCCCTGCAACGTGTCGCTGCCGACGCGGAAGCGGCACGCGACGCCCTTGCGGCCGACGCAGAGGAGAAGCGCGCCGCTGTCGACGCGCTCGAGGCCGAGGCTGAAGATCTGAAGCAGAAGGTGCGCGAGCTGCTCAACAGGACCAATGAGCTCTCGGCCGTAGAGGTTCGGGCGACGGAGCTGGAGGGCGATCTGGCCGCGAGAGACGCCCAGCTGGAGGCACGGACAGCTGAGGCGGAGGAGCTGCGCCGCGTGGTGGCCACCCTCCTGCCCAGGGATAAAGAGGCTGAGGAGCTGTGCCACTCCCTCTGCCAACGAAACGGGGAACTCGACGCGGCGCTCCTCGAAAACGCGGATCTGCGAGCTCGGCTCCAGGAGCAGGAACGGGAGGCCGGGGAACAGCTGCAGGACGCGCTCGTGCGGTGCCTGGCCTGTGAGGAACAGAATGCGGGCCTACGAGAGGCCCTGGCCCTGGAGGAAGCACGACTGGCCGCTGGCGAGGAGGCGCTGGCTGCCGCCAAGAGCAACTGGGAAGCCGAAGCTGTGGAGCGGCGCGAGCTGGAGCACACACTTGTAAATCGGAATGGGGTGAGTTTCCTCCATTTTGTCGGCCTTTGACTGCCGGTCAGAGGGAGAAGGGCCATCCCTTAACCGGCGGTCAAAGCTTCCTTTCTCGTAGAGCTTCCCACTTCTGCTTCCGGCCTTTGGATACTGCTAGATGGGCGGAACTCTGCTTGCTCTGTTAGAACTTGCGCAAACTCTTCTCGAACCGGAGGTCCAAAGGTTAAGCTGCGATATTGTTCGAACTTTTGAACCTTCCAAGTTGGCTGGTTCATCGAACTTCAAACACTGAATGCTGTTGGGCCTTCACCGTCTGCTAATTCTAAACTTCCTTAGCCTAGCGAGTCCAAGAACTGGACATGCTCTGAACGGTGTGCAGACTTTAGAAGGCAGCTGAGTCGTTCTTGAGAATGGCACCCTAGTACACAGCTTCCCGTAGAGGCTGGTTCGACACATATGCGTCTGACCATGACCGACTGCGTTATGACCGCCTGCGACTGCTTACTACGAGACACTTGCTCCATTTATGGGGGAGCCCCCGCGACGGTGCAAATAGCTTTGAATGCTTCTGGTCCCGAAGTTGACCGAAGGTGTATCTGCGAGATCAAATTTACGTCCTATGAAAGGTGGCCACTTGTAGTGTGAAATTCACGGTGAGAGAATGGTGGGTATAAAATTAGGTACATAAGCGGACCGGAAGTGAGCCCAGGCAGCCCGATAAATGTTACCAGTGTGTTATGTCGTCGCAAGCACTCGCAAATTTTTATAATGCAGTTGGTCACAGTCAAGCACAAATGTGTGAACTATCCTTTACATTCCCAAAGATTTTGTCTACATGCTCCAACATGTCAAATGTGTGTCATTATTATTAGAGAACTTGGGATTTCCAGCCTAAAAGAATTTGTTGAGTGTCTACTTTTGAAATGGTTTCCACCAGTAAAGCTCATACCTCTTAGAAGTGGGCAACTCGAGAATCAGTGTGGCCTCCGAGTTATTTCGTAGGAAACATTTTAACTGGTCCAGTCTCAATCTTCATTAGGTTTGTGATGTCACTAGTCAACAGCGCATCTCGTCCTGGAAAATCTAAAAATTTAAAGACTTACTCGGGTGGATTTGTCGTGACTCAACGTCAGGAAGCCGCACAAACTTGCTTAAAGGAATATTTCTTTTCAGGAGCTCGACGAGAAGCTTCTGGAGCTCGCTGCGGCCCAAGAGCAACTGGCGTCCGCTTCCGCTCGCCTCTCAGAGCAGGAGGAGCAGCTGAGGACTGCCGAGCGGTGCCTCTCGCAGAAGTCCGGCCAGCTGGACGAGCTTCGAGAGCAGTGCGAAGCCACGGCGGAGGAGCTGAGCGCGGCCCGGCGCGAGCTGCAGGAGGCGAGGACGGTCGAGGCGGACCTCGGCAGGCAGCTGGAAGAGCGCGACCTCTCGCTGGCGGAGTTGCGGGAGGAGGTGGCCCGCCTGTGCCACGTTGAAGCCCTCTCCGCAGAGCTCCTGCTCAAGCTGGCCGCGGTGGAACGAGAGTGTGCCGACCTAGAACACCTGAGGCACGAGCTCGTGGAGCGCAATGCGGAGCGGGACGAGCTGTACGTGTCGCTCCTGGGCTGCCGCGAGGAACTGCTGGACAAGGAGCACCGACTCCAAGTCGCGGCCGCCGAGATCGCGGCGAGGGACGCGGCCCTGCGAACCCAGGTCGGGCGGCTTTCTCGACCGTCTGCCGGGGGCAGCGACGAGGAGAAGCCGTCGCGGGAGGGAGGAGACGCGGCGCCGGGCATCGCCGCCGCGCTGCTGGATGCACACTGCGCCACCCTGAGCTGCTTGGAGCACCGGACCGAGGCCCTGCGGAGCCTGCAGGCGCGACTGGAGCGGGAGAGCCTGGCAGAGGAGCCCCTCGGCGAGGCGGCGGAGGACCTGAGCGGGCGCGTGGCGGAGCTGGCGGCGGAGCGGGGGGCCCTGGAGCAGAGGCTGCGGGACGTGAAGAGGCTCGCTTCCGTGGCCCTGGACAAGATGCGCGTCGACGTGGAGGCCCTGTCCGGGGTCGTCCGGGACGCCTGGGACAGTTCGGTGTCTAGCAAGTCTGACACGGTGCCCGAGATGCGAGACGAGACGATGGGAGACCAAGGTGTCGACGGCGGCCTGGACCCACTCGGGTGAGTCTTCAAGGCATTCGTTGCCCCATTTTAGTCATTCACCGACGATGCATTCAAATGGTGGTATTAATATTTTCGAGGATTTGCTGTGCACACGTGGGAGCGGTTTTCGTGATCCAGTTGTTTAAACACAACACCGCGTAACACTATTGGTTAAAACATGTTTTATTTGCACCGAGAGGCCGGCACCAAGCTTTGTGCTGCTTCGTGCCGTGCATGACTTGGAGTTTCGCTGGTTGCACTGCCGCATTGTTGCACTGCCGCACTGTTGCACCTGCTACGACAACGAAAGCTTAAGCTTCTGGGTTAGCACGTTAGCGGCTTTCGTAACAAACCAGCCCTGGTTCCGATTCCGATTTGCCAATTTTTTAAGAGTTTGTTCTGAAGGCCTTTAACGTGCCCGTCTGACCAGGGTATAATTTTGAAGATTTCACCGTATGATGACTCATTCTAAAACTTTTCCACCAAGTTACTTATGTCAAATTTAGGCACAGCTCCGAATGGCACAGCTCCGTAATAAGCTGATCGATTCAATTCAATTTTGCGTTATTTAAACGAAAGATGAGGGGAGCGAGTTCTTGAAAAAAGAAATAGAATTCTTGTGAATTCATTTTGAGGAAATATTTAGAGTAAGCTGATGCATGAGCTTTACGAAATTAGTGAATTTCAACTCTTTCCTGACCACAGGAAAAGTAGCAATTTTAAAAGGATCTGTGCAAACGCTTTTATTTTCCTGACTATTTTGTGTATAGAGCAATGTGAGACATCAAAATGTGGCCAATTAATTGTTCTTTAAAAGGAAACTGAGGTTGCTATAATGTGAGAAAAATTCTAACATTTTATTTCATAATTACAATGTCCTTGCGGAAAGCGGATAAATGCTGACACTTCTTCAGATATTCAAATTAAAGGACAAATAAAAAAAAATCGGAATATACAAAATGTGCCCCACACCCATGGTTATTAGTACTTCTGACGTCTATTTTTGGTTCGTTGGAGAGTTAGCCTTCGTAACACTTGATCTTTTCAACGAAGGAAGACTTGTATTGGTGAAATACAAATGGTACACCTCACATCCCCAGCAAAATGCTTTCTTTGTTTTTCTACCTTGGTTTTGTTATAGCCTTGATTGCAGTTCCTTCATATTTAGCATTTTTGTCCGACTTGTTGAGAACCTAAAACGTGCATGCCAGCTCACGTCAGCACTGGAAATTAGAATGATGCTTACCGACAACTATCTGTTAAAGGGATGCTGAACTGAAATTTGGATTTCACAAAGTAGGGCTGCAGAAGCATTGAATGGGACACTAACAACTCCAAAACATTACTCGTACAGCAATATCTCAAATGAATGGCCGTATTTTTTTAAACGAAGGGCGCGATCAAGCGAGGGATATGACTCACAATCCTTCTGGAACAGTTGAGAATGAGGAGAAGCGGCCTTGCTTCTCTCCTCTTCATTTCGGTTAACCTGCTCGAGGGGGCAAAGCGAAAGGAGAGAATATGTTAATCGCAACGTCACATGTCCCGTCGGCCTCGTCGGCCGTGTTCAATTGCACAATCCTTTTCTAAAAATACGGTCATCATTTAGAGATACCGCAGCGAGAGAGATGGTTTGGGTTCTACAGCCTCTCGCCTATCACTCCAGCCTTGTTTTGTAAGCTCCAAATTTGTCTTGTCTTGTCTTTTCTTTTGTCCTCGTCTAAAAAGCGCTACCATGCCTTTGGCAACCCAAGACCAATACCAACTAGCCCAGCATTCAGCATCCAAATTTAGGTTCAGTATTCCTTTAAGCAACCCCTATAACATCATTTAAAGTGTCCACTGATCTCTTGAGGTCTAAAAAATATGCCACAATACAGTTGAATTATGTAAATAATGCCAACTTTGTTACAAAGACTGATGCAAGCAGTTAGCCATGTTAGAGAAGCGCAATCACCTTTCCAAGGACTATTTTGACATCACCACACCCCTGCCTACATTTCGCTGTCAGTTGAATGAACTTTTGGTCACTTCATAGCGCGTCAGTGTATATGCATATCTATTTCTTTTTTAATGAGTAGGATTTTTGTGTAAGAGTTTTTATTGTACGAGTTGGTGTACCTAAGAGAAGGCCGCTCGGCCGTTTTAGGGCACCCGAAAAATAAAGATTATTATTATTATTTTTGTCACTCCTTCAGCTTGTGATAAAGCTCAAACCTACATTGAAAGAAAAACTATGGTTTTTTGACTGTCCATGAGATTGTGGAATGTAATTCTCCGCAATAAATTTAATTTCCTAACGGCGTTTGGAAACTATCTACCACTGGCGATAGATTGCCTATGGGCGCGGTCAGGAAAGAGGTAAAAAACTTTTTTTTTCAAGAAAAACTTTGATTTAAATTTTTTCTTCTCAAACAATAGAAAGTGTTAGGACACACATCACTTGTTTAGCATTCACGTGTACTTGTGCACTATACCCAATGTTTGCTCGGCAACTTTAGTCGTTGCTTGGGTGTCATGAAAGGTGCATTTGACTGAGAAAAGTGGCGCCTGGTAGTAAGACTGGTCTTGCGGTTCGCCCCTTGCAGCTCGCCGTGCCACCAGGCGGCGGGCATGGGCGACTCGGACACGACGAACCTGTCTACTTGCGAACTGACACTGTCCTCTTCGGAGCGAAGTGGCAGCACCGAGGACCGCTTGGAGCACCGGCTGGCTCACGTGTGCCGCCTGCTGGGCACCCTGCGCCACTCGGTGCACGCGCTGCTGGAGCAGGTGCACCCGCCGGCGCTCGCCGACCCCGGGCTGCTGGCGTGCTACGCCGGCGAGATTGAGCGGGAGCACGCCGCCCTCCACCGCTACTTGGTGTTGCTGCAGCAGAGGGTCTTCCGCAGGAGGCGCCAGTGCAGCACCGTCGACGTCAGGTCGGAGCTGCGCCTGGAGGGAGGCGACCTGATCGAGGCGGCCGCCTCAATTCGCGTCGCCTGCCGGCACACAGAGTCTGTCGAGGATGAAGAGTCCTTTTTTTCCTTCGACGACGAGGCCCCCAGCTGCGCCACTCCGGAAGCGAGTCGCCGTCGCGAGTTAGAGGAGACTGTCGAGCAACAGAAGGCTGAAAAGCAGCGAGTCGGATGCGGCCTCCTGGAGATCTGGCACGGGCTCGACGGTCTGTTGCGGCACGTCGAGATGGTTCGAGAGGACGAAGCGCGCGAAGAAGAGAGCGAGGAGGGACGGGCCAGGGTGAAGTGTCGCAAACTTTGTCGACGCCTGCAAGACTGGTTTTCGAGTTTCGACAGATTCGTGGGGCTCGTTGGGAAAGTGCAGTCGCAGTTGGCCGGCGCGTTGGGCGGTGGGCCTTGTGCGCTGCCCGACACTTCGGCGCTCTCTTTTCTGGACGTCGGCCATCTGGAGACCGTCCTGAACTCTGCCTTTTTGGAGGAGGAGAGGCTTGCCCGAGAGTGTGCGGCCCTTCGGGAAAGCCTGGCGCAGCGGGAAGCTGCGGAGAGGCGCGCTTTGGAAGATTCGGCGTCCCTGAGAAGCGACTGTGCCATGAGGGAGGAAGAGACGCGCTTGCTTCGCAGCCAGGTTGCTGCCCTCCAACAAGATGCGACCAAGTTGGACGAGTGGCTGGTTGAGAAAGAGGCCCTGCTGAAGAAGATCCACTCTCGCGACGAAACAGTTGACCTCCTCAATCACGCTCTCGAAGAGGTGGAAGAGACGCTGCAAACGACGTGCAACGAGAAGGCGGAATGCCAGAGAAAATTGTCCGTTTTCGAAGAAGAGGTTCTGCAGCTCGGGAGCGCTCTCGAGCAGGCTCGAACGCAACTTTCCGAGAGGGTTGCGCTTCTCGAAGGTGAGCTCGCGGCAAGGGAGATGCTGGTGGACGAGGCCCGGAGCACCGCACAAGTCCTGGAGGAAGAGCGGGGCACGCTGGCTGCGAGCCTGGAGCAGCGCGAGGAGAGTTTGGCAGAAGCAAAGGCCAACGAAGGCCTGCTGCGAGAGAGAGTGGCGAGCCTGACCGAGACGGTTTCGGCTTTGCAGGCCGACCTGGCTGTGGAGCTCTCTTCCCAGGACGCCCTGCGAGGTCGTCTGCTGGCCGGACAGGAAGAGCTGGCCCGCTGCCTCAGAGATCTGGAGGTGCTTCGAGAAGAGAAGCGAGAGTTTGATCGGCGACAAGACGAGGGCAGCTCTGAACTGGCGAAGCTGCAGAACGTCTTTGCGCAGATACAGGAGGAACACGGAAGCCAGATCCAGCAGCTTTTTGAAGAAAAGAACGGCCTGTTTGTTGAGGTGACTGAGCTGCGAGAAAAGTGTTCGCAGCTGATGGCGGAGAAAGAACGCCTCGAGGAAGAAAAGCGGGCGGTGCTGAAACAGGCGGAAGAACAGGAGCAGGAGCTGCTGAGTACGGACTCACTCCACAAAGAGAATGGGGTCCTGCGAGCAGAAGTGGACAAACTCACCGTCAAGGCCGAAGAAGCCAAGGAGTTGCAGGTGCGTGTCGACGCTCTGGAAGAAGAGAGAGGGCTTCTAGAGAAGAGGGTGGAGCTGCTGGGCTCGTTAGAGAACTGCGTGGAGCAACTGCAGGCGAGGTTGGGCACCGCAGAACGGCAGCGCACGATCCTGGAGGAACAGCTTCGGCAACTCTCGGCAGCGGTACAAGAGCTCACGGCTCTCAGGCAGCACGTGTCGTTCCTCGAGGAAGAGTCGCTGGACGTCAAGTCACAGCTGGAAGAGGCCCAACGACGGGCGGGTGAGCTGCCCGAGCTGGAGCATAGGCTCGGCTCCTTGGAGACCGCCAACGCGGAGCTGAGCGCACAAGTGGAGACGCTGGAGGACCGCAACAGAAGCCAGGCGTGCGAGCTGGAGCACCTGACACACCAACTGGAGTGCCTCCAGGCATCCGCCGAAGAGTCGAGCGGGGCCCTGCAGGCGCTCAGGGACCGGCTTGCCGACCAAGAAGCGGAGGCGGCAGCCCTCGTGGCCCAGGCAGAGCGACGGGCCACTGAGCTTCGGGAATACGAGGACCAACTGAGGAAGGCGGAAGACCGGATTCGCGAGCTTTCATCTTGCAAGTCGACTCTCGAAAGTAGACTCGCTGGCGAGGAGGCACAGAGGATGGCACTCCTCTCCCAGGTCGAGGAGCGCACCTTGGAATGCGAGGAGTACCGGACGCAGGCGTGGGCCATGAAAGGTGAAATTTCCGAGCTTACGTCCCTACAGTCGTCTCTCCAAGGCAAGCTCGCCCACGAGGAGGCGAAGACGGGAGAACTCGCCGCCACCCTGGCAGAACTCGAGCTTGCCTGTCAGGAACACCAGAGTCGACTGCGGGCTGCGGAAGACATGAGCGATGCGCTGTCGTCTTCGAAGTCTGTTGTGGAAGGCAAGCTCTCCGAGGCGAGGTCCGAAATTCTGGAGCTGGAAGAGAGGTGCCGGCACTTGGAAGGAGACAACCGTCACCTGAAATCGGCGGTTGAAGAGAGGAGTGCTGAAATGGAGAAGCTCCAAGGCGACCTTGATGGCGCTCGGCAAGAGCTGCAAGACAATGGCCGGCTCCACGTTGCGGAGGTGGAAAAGCTGACGGCGTTGCGGAGTTCCCTCGAGAGGGAGCTTGCTCAAGCGGTTGGCGACGCGGAGGCACTGGGTCGGAGGTGCGAAAGCCTCGAGAGCTCTGGGGAGGCCCTGGTGCGGGAGGTGGACATACGCTCCATCAAAGTACAGCAGCTGGAGTGCTCGCTCGCTGCCCTGGAGCAGCGGCAGCGCGTCGAGAGGGAAGGGCAGGAGGCCGAAGTGGCTCGGGTGTCGTTGCTGAAACTTGAGCTGGACGAGAGACTGCGGCTAAAGGAGGTCGATCTGGCAGACGCGCAGGCGAGGCTGCGGGAGCTGGAGGCAACGGTGAGTGTCTTGTACGTGGATTGTAGAATGTCTCGGGGTGTATGGCATTGACCGTGTACAATACTGAAGGGACTTGCCCGGGCTTCAGGAACGAGAGCTCAGTTTTTGGCATTGACGTGTTGTTGTGCCTCTAAAACTATGAGCTACCCGTAGTGTCTCGCATTGTTTGTTCTCCAGGCTGTCCAGTATATGCAGCCAGTTTTTTTCTGCAGCTTGTGTGCATCCTTCTCGCTGATATGTTGTGGGAGTAAAGACCCGCTCTCGCAGACACGCGGGGCGCTGTTTTTTGCTTGCATTTCCTGTTCGGCAGAAAGAAGTGGCATCTTTCAGTAGCATCTGGACACTTTAAAATTATTGTAGTCTGCCTGTCATTCAGCTGAAATCCAATGTTCTTCATTATAAGCCATTTCCTGGGACAGCAGAGTGCAGAAGGGCCCAAAAAATGTAATTTCCAACTACCGTAGTGACTTACATGCAAAGAAATAGTGGTGCACCCTTCTGCAAGGGTGGTCCTTGAAAACCCTAAATGGCAGCAGCCGTTTATTCCAGCTGGGCAAGCGGCTCTAGAAACCTGGGAAAACATGTCAACGAATGCCGATGGGTGTTGATACCCACTCCTAACGGTTTCTGGCAGGTGTCGAATGGGCGTGCACTTGGATCCTCTCTACGTCTCGATGCATGCCCAAGTTATCGGTGGTATATTGCACTGGCCGAGTTTTCTCTACAGCGGCCGTTGTGAGGCAAACTGGCATCCCTGTAGAAATCAGATTTGAGTGCTCGAAATATCGAAATAAGTTGGATTTTTAATGGTATTTCATATTTGCAACTCCAACGTCCTATAGATGGCGGTGTGGTAGTGAACAGAGTCAGACGCAAGACGCATGTCACTGCTTAAGTTCCTCTCCGAATCGAAGTGCGTATGACAAGGACAGCCTTTCCAGAATCATTTGTTGCAGTTTACACAGGTGCCAATGACCCAAAAAGGATGATCATTTTTGCCTGTAACGCAGATCTCTGTCGCCTAAATTGGCATTCGGTTGTCATACTTAAGAAAAATCTATGTTTGTGCACAAAGAACAAGCAAAGTTTATTAATGTGAGCACCGTGCTTCTAAGCATATCGCTCGTCTTCGCTCTCGGACAGCTCTTTGTCGCTCCCCACGTGTCACAGCATCTCGCCCTCCGTGCCGTCCATCATTTCGAAATTCCACATTTTTTTAATGAGCACTCGACCTCAGCAGATGGGATTGTGCTCCACGCCTCGGAAAGCCGTCCAGCCATCTTTTCTAGAAACGCGCGCTTCAGTTTGTTGGCGGGTGCGAATGTGCAAGCGCCTTTAGTCTGCCATCGCTGTAGAGTACCCACACCCTGTCCTTCACTGGTTTGAGTCGCAACAAAGCAAACCGCTAGAAGAGGGAGCTTTTCAAGTTGCGAAATTCAAGACGAGATTGCTACCGCGACTGTCGGCGACTCAAATGTTGCCAACATTATTAGAACAACTCTGTTGGGAAACTCCCATAGAGCCTGCTTTGAAAAATGTGGCTCCGATCCGTACTCGAGAACAAGACTAAAGGCTGTCGTAATGCCGCCATGTCTCCCGCAGTGGTTTAGTCTTGCAAGGGCCTGTGGCACCATCTCACAGTGCCCTTTTGCAGTAGCTATGTAAATCAGCTTTCATGTTTTGACTTGTCGCTAAAGGGTGGCGCTATCATCGTATCCAGTTTGGCCTCAGTGAATGCGAGCAGTCTGAGTTTGAAGAGCGAGTTTCCCAATCGAGTGTTCCTGTAGCGTTGAGTGTTGCGCAGAAAGGCTACGCCACCATCTTGTAATTGTGATGACAGCGAGACAGTCAGTAGTATGATTTCGGTTTTTGTTTTGGTTTCATATTCAGTTGGAACGCACATGCCTTTTGTTGCGAATAAAAGCGGTCACCCGTAAAATAAAAGAGAGCAGCGCCCACGCGGGCTTGCAGAGAAGACGAGGGGAAGACACTTCAGGAGGGGTCGACTTCCAAACACGTGCTCATTTATTCATGGTCAAACAACCCGGGGGGTCAAGCGCCCCGGGGGGACCCAATCGAGAGCAGGGGCTCGACGGTGGACAGTAGCGTCACCTCGCTACGGTGGATCTGTGGCAGTTCGTAGTGCCACAAATACAACACTTTTCAGCTGTATTTTTCTTGAAAAAAGGTGCGTGTTAGAATTGGGTATATTATCCTATCTTTTTTCTGGGTTTGGTCGCACAGTAGCAAAAGATATGCATTCTGCCTACCCTAGACTCTTGTCTTCAGAGTCGCCACAATTGGGAAATTTCCGGGTTCTCACTTTCGACCCAGAAATGTAAAGCTGTAAAGCTGTCACCCGGTTTCATTTTATGTCAAAAAGAAAATGCTCATTTCTTCGGAAACTACAGTTATTAACTGAACTTGGATAAAGAAATTGTTGTATTCAAGTTCTTTAGCTGCAACAAGGTTGGTGCTCGGAGCCTATGAGAGCCAACGTCTGTATAATGAGAATTCTCCACTAAGTATCCGAGAGCAAAAAACCAACTGTCGTTCTACTCCCCTCGGCATTTGTCAGATTTCGGAGCTGCAAGCCAAACTATCCGCGTCCGAGTCCCAGTGCGACGAGCTGGAAAGCAAGTCAAGCGCAGCTCTGGCCACAGCGAGGCGAGAGGAGCACAACCGGCGCAACCTGAATGCGGAGGCAGAGCAACTGCGCACCAAGCTGACCCAGGCGGAGGCTGAGCTGGCACAGCTGAGGGATTCCTCCAGGACCCAGGTAGGTTGCCCAGTGTGTCTGCTGCCCCTTGTCAGCATTGCAGCTAGCGGGAAGGTTTCCAAATCGGGCAGTTGTTATCGTTCTCTGGCAACAATACACTATGCACGTGGACCCACATGTGCAGTCAACAGAACAATAAGCTGCAACAACTTCACCGAACCTTTTTATAATTTTTTCGGTACGTTCGTATTCTAGGCTGGAAGGACCTAGAGGACACATCTACTAAGACGACAATGTCTGAATAACAATAAACAATGCGTTTCCTCCGCACTAATAATAAACGAACATGAACACCGCTTCATAGCGATACATTCAAAAGATTATGACATCACACGTCTGTAGTGTCGAGGCCGGTTATAACAAAATGGCCGAAACTGGAAATCACTTGGCTATATCCGTCTCGTTATATCTGAACGCCATAAAAATAATGTGCAAAAAAAGAGAGAAAAAGATAACACGAGTAGTCACAGGCACATGTTTATTCTGCCTCGAGAAAGCGGTCTAGGCTTCCCTGCACACGCTCTCTGCTAGATCAGAGCCACTTCTCGGCAACTGTGAAGAGCTCCGATCGAGAGAAGATCCTGCGAGCTACGTGCGGACCGTGTTGTCAGCTATGACGGCCTCCGCAGAGGACGTTGGCAATGGACAGCATTTTTTACATTTATTCGCGAGTCCCGGCACTGCCATCGTTCAGTGGTGATGATTCGCCGAATCGGTGCTTGAGCGAAGCTAGACTTTTGCGCAGAGAGTGACCACACCGACCAGCGACACCGACACGGAACACGAAGCTAACAAAGAAGTGCGCTTGGCACCGAGATTGCGCTCAAGTTTGTGTTTCGTCAGTATAGAGAGCCTAGATTAAAGGGAGGGGGCAACTGCTCGATCGGGGTCCCACGGTTTGTGAGCCGCATTCGCAAAACGATCTGCAGCCTGCAAGAAGTTAAAAGCATTCACCGTCTGCAGACGTGTCCATCTCTCCGCCCGGTTTCCTCGCCACGCTGGCCACGCAACAGCCAAATGCAGGCGCTCTTGCAGAAATCTGCCCAGGAGGCGTTCGCCATTGAATTGCAAATGCTCTCCTTGGTTGGAGTTGCCCCAACAATGGAGAGCATAGAGGCTCTCTCTTCATCTGTACGTTGTCGCTAGTAGTCGCTGGCACGGCATATATGATATGGACGTGCTAGCTCCGCGTCCGATGTGAAAAGCCGCTTCCCAGATAAGGAGCAGGGAGTAGACGACGATGGAGAGGTTGCCATCAGTGGCCTTTGCAACACGCCTGCGGCCCGTTCCGGGCTTCTGTTCAGCAGCAGCAGCAGAGATCAGCGGTCTGCAACTTGGCAAACTTCTCAAGTTTGATTATTACAACGAAACTGTTATGCGCTAGGATCTGGGAAAAAATGCGTCCACGGATATTGACAGAAAACTTCCTATTGGCCTTGGCAAGTATGAATAAACAAAAATAAAGAAAGGGCAACCAGCGTGAGTCAGCCTTCCTTGGCAATATTAGATAGTGAGGTCCTAATTCCTTGTTATCATCTCTAGGCGTCGTCTGAGAGGTCGTCCTAGGCGTCATCCTCTAGGCTTCGTCCTCGAGGTCGTCCTAGGCGTCATCCTCTAGGCTTCGTCCTCGAGGTCGTCCTTGAGGTCGTCCTAGACGTCCTAGAAGTCGTTTTTGAGGTTGTCCTAGAGATCGTCCTAGAAGTCGTCCTTGAGGTCGTTCTAGATGTCGTCCTCTGGGCGTCGTGCTTGAGGTCGTCATAGGCATCGTCCTCGAGGTTGTCCTAGATGTTGTCCTCTAGACGTCGTCCTCTCGATGTCGTCCTCTAGGCGTCGTCTTCGAGGTTGTCCTGGATGTTGTCCTCTAGGCATCGTTCTTGAGGTCATAAAGATAACAGCTTCGCTGGTCCTTCATCTTCACGTAAAGTGGAGGGGCTCTGCAATTTTTTTTAAAAATTATCATCAAATTTGTTTTGCTATATCCACGGGAACCGTTCAATTTCCTTCGTAAAAAACAAACACAAAAACATTGAAAAAGTGCAAACAGGAATGGAAAATCGTGATCACTTTGCTATAGCTGCTATTTCGTTATAACTGACGTTGTGATTGAGAGGCTCGATAGTATTCCAATTGCCTCCTTCCTCATTACTCAAAATTGAGTCAGGGTCAAAAACAAATGAAACTAATTCCGGTAAAGAATGCACTAGGCGTTTGACATTATCTCCTCTACCCCCACATTGTTGGACTTGGTGCTAGTTTGGCCAACCGTACGTCTGATGGCCGTGGCATCGCAGGGGTATCGGAGTGATTGTCTTGCCCACCATTCTTAGATCAGGGGTGGAACGGCTGCACCATTTGCGCCATTTTGCGCCAGACGCATTTGTCTGCGCCATCCTGCGCCATGTTTCGGAAACTGCGCCACAGTCAATACCTCGCGCCATTATGCACCAAATTGGAAAACGTGCGCCAAAAAAATTGTATTTTGTCTTGGTTTCGGTTTTTATCGACTCGATTGGCAACAATGATCGCGTTTAGCTTGGTCGGCCTTGCAATCCTTTTTTTCTCTTTATTCTCCCTGTGTATCCCGAGTAGGAAGTGTGCGAAAAAAACTTGGGGTTCGGATTCCAAGCGCTACACCATCTGCCTCTGGATTGTTATTCTTCAACCATAAGCGGTTAAACAAGTCGGTCGAGGTAAGGTCGAGTCGTTAAGCGTCAGATTGCCTGAGGCTCCGAAGCCCGGGATCCAGACGTCAGTCAGTTGAAAACAAATGAGCAAAAGATTCCTTTGAGCACTTCATCATTAGAAGTTGGAACCGCATTCCTGCAAGATAAATCGTGATTTGATAGATCTGAAACGCGGTCCGATCCGAAACCTTGCCGGCCAGCAGCTCTCACGCGAGCGGTAGATCTGCTCGGCATACGTTAACCTTGCTCCTGCTTATCGCTTCGAATACGATAACTCCGTTAATCGTAGTCTGCTGCTTCGATATTGAGTCGCACAATAGGATAAACTCGAATTTTGTTGCGATATTGAGTTGCGCAATATGAGAAACTCGAAATTTGTTTCCCTGTTCTTCCGCGCAACTGCACGTCCGTTGCTTACGCACGTCACGTGGTTCCCACATAAAATCACTCTGTCGAGGACGTGTGGACTGTGCGATAAGCGGTGCTGGTTTGCATTTTGAGCAGCTGAAAGCCACTCAGAATATATCAAGGCTCACAAAGTTCCAAGTTTTCGCATCTGTTACACTGTTATCCCATCTGCCTAGGTCCCTAACCACTCATGTTTATCTGGGCTGCTAAGCACAACTGAAATTGCTCCCGTGCTTGTCTAAGACACAAGCTGGAGTGCAATGAAAACTGATCTGAGCTGCTCCTAGCCTGCTCCAGAGTGTAGTTTTAGCTGCTCCCAACCTGCTCCAAAACAGCTGTTTTAGCTGCTCCCGTGGCTGCTCCCAAGCACATTTCATGAGTTCCACCCCTGTTAGATACATCAGTTAAGAAGCTCCACGGAGCAGCAGCATTTGAAAATGGTTCCTCTCTGTTGCCCGTACACGAGCAGGTGCAGCAACGCCTCCACGGGCAACAGAGGAGGACTGTTTTCAAATTACCCTCTTTTTGCGCAATCTTTACACTAACTATAAAAAACCCAATGGAATCATTTTCTGCCTCTGGCAATGTGCGTTGAACGTTCAGCCGCCTCTGCCCAAGGGCGGGTCGATGGCGTTGAGAGTGCCTCTGAGCGAATGGGCCACAAAGATCCAAGATGTTCTTCAACTGACGCGTAACGTCTCCTCGTTCCGGTCAGGGGGAGGCCGCGCTGGAGCGCCTGCGCCAGGAGCTCTCCTCGAGCAAGGAGAGCGAGCTGAAGGCATGGAGCCGCGTGACGGCCCTGGTCAAGGAGCTGCAGCACACCAAGGAAAGCGTGGCCTGGCTGCGCTCGCGCATGCGCGTCTACAAGCAGCGCATCTCGGACCTGTGAGTCGGACTTTGCGGGCAGTCACACGGGGTTCCCGGACTTTGGTTTTGCTCGTTGCAAGTGCCTCGGGCTTATAGAAACGTGATGGTTCTGTGTTTTGCAATTTTCTTTTCTTTAGGTTCATAATAGGTAATGCTCCACCTGTTCTTCTTTGTTGATGTCGCGTGAAGTGTTTTTTTCGAGGTCACCATTGTCAGATGCCACACATTTTCCTGCCTCGGTCCGTAAAGGCCCGTAGTATCGTGTAAATAAAGTGAATAAGAATTGGCCTCGAGATCGATCTAGAGGTGGCGCGGCACTACTGTTGCGCCATCATCATCATCATGAAAGAGGGGATAGACGCATGGCCGCCCTGTAGGCTCTCCACGTTCACGTGCGAGATAGTGTAGATGTTTGCGTTTATTTTGTTGCATAGTATCGTTGGGAAAACAATTTTAGCAGTAAATGGTGCGGCACTGTTCGGTGCCTCACTGAAGATAAAATCGTGTTCCCAGCGTACGGCCTAAATATAAATAATCGCTCGTGTGGATCCGTCGTCTACTCTAGGCAGGCGTTGGGAAGCATGGATCACCACGACGGATGCCTGTCTCTGGGCAAGCTGCACTATTTATGTTAAATATTTGTTTCTTTTGGAAATACTAAATGTATCAATTCACCGGCATGGGAATTCAACAACAATGAATTCCAACCCGGATGACACAATACTGGTTCTGTGGACTGTGAAATCGCAGGTTCTATGCATTGTTTTTGTTGTAACTCTTAGCTTTTGCAGTAATATAAACATTTGGCATGAAGAGAAATTAGTGCTGTATTGGAAATTACTGTGTTATGGAGTTCTGCTGCAGCCAAAGTTTCCCTTTATTGCACCATGGTGTGGGTAAGTTTTTTGGAGTTGGAACAATTCTACTACATTGCGATGAGGAGAGAGTGCCTCTTCTAGTTACGATCCACGAACTGTTCGTTGGCAGGACAAGTGAAACAAACTATTCTAATATATCTGCCGCGAGTGGAACAAACAAGTGTAACCGAGCAACGCAGTAGCACGTGTGCTTATAGATACTTTTCTCGGTGAGGGCCACGGATGTCAAGAGGCTAATAATATAAATTTATGGCTGAATAATACCTAACTGTGCTGCGCTGCAAAATTCTACAGAACATACGCGTGACCAGAAAGTGAAAGGAAAACAGAAAAGGCTAAATAATCTTGCATTCAAACAGTAGACTGCAACTCCAACAAACGACAAACACCACGAGACAGACAGCACCGGCCACAGTGACACTCTTTTACCGATAAGGGATAACGACTCTCACGAGACTTTCCGATCACCCTACGCCCTCATCTAACACATGTCGGGAATGGGCAATGCATCGATTAAACTTCAGTTTATTTGAGTGATGCTTTAATTGCAATACTTTTTCTTGCCGTTTAATCGGAATCTTGCGCTGGAGAAAACCGGGAAAAAGTTAAAAATGCCTGCTCTATTATTTCTGACATATTTATTTCCTTTAGGACACACGCTTGCGCAGTAAACCACTACAGAATGCTCGTGATTGTCATCGAGGGTGATTATAGTGTTTAAATATTAACTTAAAAATGACTTCCCTTTTTAAAAGGCTTCCCAGGTGTTCATATTTCTGCAGGCGTCATAACGTGAAGTTTAAAATGGGATTGCAATATGCCATTTGTGACAAAGCAAAAATAGTAAAAAAAGATGTGGTTTTAACACCTTTCATGTAATATGACTGGAGAATAATCAGTTAACGAATTTATTGATTGATTATTCTAGGGTGGCAATCAGTCAGCTTAATTTGTTTGTGAACCCCCAGCTCCGATCAAGACTCAACGTTTTATGAAAGCTATGGATTGTGCGAGATAACAAAAATATGTAGGACCAAAGGTTCTACAAACCAGGGTGTCGAACCGAAATGTTTTTCGTTCCGGTTCAGGGAAAACGGTTCAGCTCCGGTTCATTTCTGGAGTGAAAAAATAAAGGTTCAAACCGGATCGCACCGGTTCGTACTCGTATGCTACAAAAATAATTGACAGCAGAAGATAAACTATGGATATTTTATAAAAGTGTTACATATAGAATGCAAAGGCTCACATTACTGTGTGGAACGAACGAGCTAGTGCTGGGGCACCTTGGGACGTGAGTGAAAGCGCAGTTTAATGTGAGGCAGCTGACCGAAGAAGCAGGACGTTGTCATGCATATCCGGGGAAGGACGGTACCTCCGAGTCAATAGAATGAACTTCAGTGCAGAAAAGGCTCGCTCCATGCTGACCTAGGTCGCAGGCACTCCCAGGGCTACTTGTGCCAATGCGTAGAGTTCTGGATGGCGTTCCCTCCTCTCCTCCCAAAAACGGCAACAGGTTAGCGTCCCTTGAAAGCCACGGCTCCTTGTCTAGCAATGCTCGGCAGAGCTGTGCGCCTTGATGTGTTTGTGTTTCTGAGGAGAAAACGTTTCGGTCCTTGTTGTTTCTGCTACCAGAGATCGAAACTGTTTTGCTATTTTCTGTGGCTCTAACTGTTGATTGAATCCCCCTTCCCCTTCCCGGTGCTAGACTTTAATTTCGGACAGATTATTAAATCCGCTGAGTTCTTTTAAAAGCAGATTGGACGCGTCACAATATGGCAACTATTGCAGGTCCTAAAATATCTATCGGCCTTTGTATCGCTTTCTTATCTGATCAGTTGTACAATGATATCAAGGTGGTTAAAGTAAATTGCACACAACTCTACAAAATTGAAGACAAGAAAAACCAAACAGAGCTCGGACTGAACGCCAAAAGAAACAAAGACAAAAAGAGGTATAGAGAATACTAGACGTGTTGTCCTTGTTTTTTTGTTTTTTTTCGCTTTGCTTTTAGTTTGAGATAAAAAGTCAACCAGCCCAACTCACCGTTTTGCCACCAAACAGGCTCATTAATTGGTCACTTTGCTGACGTCCAAACTGGGTATGTTCGTGATAAATTTTCTTTCGTGAGCCATTTCTGGTCCCCAAGAAAAGGTTGGGACGAATGTGGGCATTTGTTTAAGAAATACATAAAACCAGAAATCCTGGTCTTACTGTGCTCATTTCGTTTGAGGTCTCGAGACAAACTTTATAAATTATGAAGATGACTGCTATGTGAAAACCTGATCATAAAATGTTGCAGAGCTTTCTGCTACCTATTTTTCTTGCTTTTTGACTTCCCATATGAACGAAACACCACAAAAATAATTTATCAGTTGTGCCCAGGAACGAAAAAATAATTATTCGGTCCGGTTCAACTCCCCCGCAATTTGCACAAAAATATATATATTTTTTTAATTTTTCGGTTGACTATTTTGGTTACTGTGTTTTTCGTCACGCCTTTTTCACTCAACCTGACTTCGCGTATGAACCAAAAACCGAACGGAAAACATATCGGTTTCGCTCCGGAGCAAAAAAAAAGATTTTGTTTCGGTTCAATTCAGGTTCGCGCGAAAATAACAGTCTTTTTCCGTTCAAGGTTCGGGTTTGGTTCAATACCCTGCTACAAACCACAGCGCTTCGGTTATGGAAGCATCCGACTTAATATTTATCGCTCGGCTGGATTTCCATGCGTGTGAATTGATACAACACAACCTTTAGTAGGAAGAGACAAGAGCAAAACCTTCAAACATCCAGCTCAGCCGGAAACGGGCTTGCATAGTCCAGGTCTATGATTCTGATCGTGCGCCCGTAGCAGACGACGCACGGCGGGATCCCCACTTCCGCGTGTTTCCAATTTCGGCCGCACGGTGGCGACTCTGTTCGATCTCAGGGTGAATAGACCTATGAGGTTATTGTAAAAGAGTTTGTGTTTGCTCATGTCGGGTGCAGGCGCCGCTTGTACGCAGGAGATAGATTCGGGTCGAGTGATGCGTGCGCCATGCCGACTGTTACACTTCCGCAGTGGTGCGAAGTCAGAGCCCCGCATTGGTGCGTCGTGTGAAATGTGGGTACATTTGAGGACATGTTAAGGGCTGTTGTGATTGCCTGGTGACAATGGGAGCTGAAGTAAAAGGAGGCTAAGATGAATCTTTTTTTGGCAGCGCTGTCTCGTACTGTGTCCCTCATATTTCTCGGGATCAGATTTTCTTTGTGTTCTTAGCAAAATTCCGTAACTACCTCCAGCTCAGTGCCTACCAAGGGAATATAAGAGAAGCGCAGCAACTTGCAGTTCAACGCAATAATGTAATAAAAAATCTGTTGTTTTTTTTTTTGGGGGGGGGGGGGGGGGGGGGGGTGGTGGGTTGGCTGGGGAGTTAGGCACGTGAAGATTGAAGGGGAGAGGGGGTGGATCATTTCGGGTCAAAATCCCTTTTTTTCTACACCACTCATTCGGTATGTTTAAAAAAAAGACATTTATTGCATTTGGAATGTTTGCCAGCAGGATGTTCAACCGGCTCTGCTGTGCTCTAAAGTCGGTACCTGTAATCTCTAATACACGTCAGGGAGGAGCGGCGAATACTGATGAGTCATCCGACCCGTTGTGTGTTGCAGTGGCAAAGCGGAGCCCCCCAGCTCGGAGGGCAAGGAGGGTGCCACTTCCCCGGTCAGGGACGCTCGCAAGACGGCGCATCCCTCCCCGGCGGCGGCAGCGCCGTCCCCCGTGGTGACGCGCCTCAGCCTGCGGTCCCAGAGCCCCAGCAAGGCCCGGCTGTGCCTGACGGTGTCGGCAGTGCGCCAGTCGCCTGCGAGCTCCGCTGTCGGCGCTGCCAAGGTGCCATGGCAGCGGCAGGTTCCCCCTGGCCAGCCAACGAGCGCCACCAAAAGGTCTTTGTTTGCTGACGTACCGGCAAGGTGGGTCGACCTGCCCCCTCTACAAGCTGGCCTCATTTCTTTTGAGGCAGAAATCAAATTTGCTTCCTTTATTTGCGAGCATGCTCGATTATATAGTTACTTTCTTTTAGATTATTTGAAAGAAATTGCGCTGTAATTGCTGAATGAATGGCGGCTCTGGGGCTGCAGCTTTCTGTTGTGCAGTACTGTCTACACTTTGAATGCCGTCTACACTTTGAAGGGATCTAAATTTGCAAGGACACGATTGTTCCAAAAATGTTGTGTGTCTGGGTCACCACTTTAATATGTATGGGAGCAGTATTGCCTATTGCCTCTTGTTAGGTGCGTATTGATACCAATTTTTTTCCTTTTTGAGGTGCACTATTGAGTTTTTGTCGAAGGTCTTCTTATGTTTCTCACTAGGTCTAGCTGCTTTACAACATTTGTAATAAGAGGGACGATCCACGTATGTCTCTCACTTTTGTGCACTGAGATGAGTGAACGAAGTTTCATACTCTCTCTGATTCAGATTTTGGTTGTACATTGGGGCCAGGAAAAGAGGGCACAGAGATAAGGACATCTGATTGCACATCTTATATATAGATGAGCTGTGGGTGCCGATACTTTGGGGCCTTTTTGATTTAATGTAGCAGGCGGCTGGTTCGAAACCCGGCAGAGGTGCCCTCATTTAGACGGAGGCTCGTTGCAGAGATGCGGAATCGAGCTTTCGGTCGCACGCCAAAAGATCTCCAGGCGGTCGAAACGAATCCTCAGTTTTCCGCCGGGGCAATGTTGTTTTTAGCACGCGTCTCATCTCCCAAGAGTCTCTCATTTCGGACATTGCGAAGGGCGATAGCAGCGCGTTTACCGTATTTACTCGCATAATAAACGCACTCGCATAATAAACACACCCCCCACAACGGGCATCAATAGTTAGACTTTTTTTTCCCTCCCGTAATCAACGCACTTCCAATTTTCGGATCCGCGAGTCTCGAATTGTGTCCAACTTAGCAAGCCACCAAGCCAGCTTTTTTTTGCCGCCAAGCGATCAGGCCCAGTCAAGCCAAGGCAAGCCAAGCAAGGCTGCTCTCGTAATGGCCGCAAGTGCATAGTTGCGGTAGTTACAAAAGTGATCAACCGTGAAACCGAGTGTTACGCACAATTGACGTGCACACTTGACGAAGCGTGGTTTGAGGAATTGCCGAGCCCCGGACATTCTTCTCCTATCGGATGCGTTGATGTCAACAAACAAGACGTCGTCTGCGGTCCGCTTTTGGACAGTGAAATCGTGAAAGTGGTTAGGCCTAATTTCACATACTCCGGGTAAATGCGTTTATTTAATCCGCGGCACAGCGAGGTGCACGCTGTGCTGTAGGCTGAGAGTGTCTGGTAGCCTCGCCGTGAAGGAAACTTAATCCGTGCGAGCGGGCTGTGAACGAAATTTGATCCCTGCAAGCGAGCTTCGGGGGTCCGCGGTTGGACTTCCTACGTGTTCTTGTCTCCGTAAACGAAACTTGATCCATGCGAGCGGGCTTTGGCGTTCGGGGGCTGGACTTCATACAAGTTCTTATACGCATAGTCGCGTATTACACCTGAGCATGCCCGCCGGATACTAGCAATATATATTGCCTAAGAACGTGTTGCTTTTCGTGCTGAGTGAGGTTTGTAGGGCGCTTTTCCTTCTGCAAGAGGCGCCCTAAAAAGGTTTGCAATTTATAAAGCATGGTTATCGTGGCGCGCCCCCGACCAGCCGTGGGTGCGCCTCCATCACTGGAGTCATGCCACAGTACCTTGCCGTGTCATATTGGCACCTAATATGACATTTGCACGAAGTGTATAAATGCAAAAAGTGTGTTCATTATGCGAGTAAATACGGTATGCGGAGGTCTGCAAACCTTCTTTCTATCGACGTGCGGAACAAAGAGGGGGCGTGCACTTGCAGCGTCCGAGCAAGGACAGCGGTGGGGGTGAACCCTCCGGGCGGGAAGGAGCCTGAGGATACGTCCCGGGCGCTGGCCGGAGTGGCGACCAGGAACCGGAGGCAGCCGGCTGCACAGGGGCCGACGAGCGGCAAGCAGCACGGCAGGCCGACCGGAGGTGAGCACGCCGGGGTTCTCAATCGTCGGCTGGGCGACTACGGCACCGCGAGCGCATCTCCGATTGGCGCGCGTTTAACGTCTTGACTCGCCCACGCGTCGAAATCGGTCCCAAACTAAAGACTTCGGAAAGCCGGAGCGTCGTGCTGCCGTACGTCACTATCCTGGCGGTGTGGCGAAAAATTTGTGGAAAAAGAGCGTGAGGGAACGCGAGCGTCGTTGTCACGTTGTCCAAACTCCTGGCTGCCGAAGTGTTGGCGAACTGTAAAGCCGGAGAGTGGGGGACCTGCAGCAGAAGGGCCATTTGCCACATTCGGCACCGCTGCTGCTACTGTACGACACGTTCTCGGGTAGAAGCCGAAGGAGCACTTTTCAGGACGACGCACCAGTCGGAGAAACGTTTTAGGCACCGTCACGGAGGCGGCAGGGTCGACGGACGGTGCCGCATTTGCCCGCTCGTTGCGGAGTTGTCGGCTAAACGAATAGTTTGTCCCGTTTGTTTTCCGCGTGTGTCGAGCGGCCTCGGTGCCTTGAAGACTGGCCTACGGATCTCCTATTGGCGGGATTGAATTCCGGTGGAGGTGCCCGAAATTTGACGGTTGCTCGTTTTTAGAAGGGCTGCCTCAAAACTGAGATTTTGGATGCACATGGTGAGATGGTGGTCCAAATTAATTTTCCCTCCCCCAAAATTTTGACTTTATACGTAGACTTTCGATTGCTCCGACGGATGCTCCAAAATTACTCTGAGCTTCATCACTGAACTTGCCTCGCAGAATATGATGTGTGTGACGCTCTATTTACCTCCTCATGCCACGGATCAAACGGATGATCTTACTTTGGTAGCACAGAGTCTGAGGAAAAGTTAAACTAGAATGTTTCGCACCTTATACAAAGATTATTTAGTCACTAAAGAAATACTTTGAGGTTCCATTTACAAGAATTAGAAAAGACTGGGCAGACAGGGTGATAAGCTTATAAACTTTACTTCTTCAACGATGACAGTTCTCTCTAGCAAGTACCCGTTACAGCCATGAATTACCTTGTGTCAAATTTATAGCGAGCCTGCTTCTTGCGTTTCAAGCTGTTTTTTGAGGGTGTATTTCTAGTTGCAAAAGCAACCTTGTTCAGAATAAGGTGTCGGAAACTATATTACATATACTCAAAACTTTTCTACGCCTCAGATGCAGGATGCGCCGGGTGTTGTCGGTGAATGGCATTCTATCGTCATCTTGCATGAATTGAACTGTAAAATGTGATCATTAAGTAGAAAAAAAATAACTAAAATAACTAATTTCTCGAGACACTTTTATTTTCTATTTTAACTTTGGACCAGGCTTTGTGTGTCAGGAACTCTGCCTTTACATAATGCCTTGTGGCATGCCTTCGCTGGGCTCTTTTTACTGTGGCTGGTCCCAGCAGAAGAGTAGCTCATGAAACATGGTGTGCACATGCCTGGGGGACTTCAGATGCTGGTTGGCAGGGCAATCATTTGCTTTCTCTTTTTTACATTGGTGTTGAATGTTGAGGAAAACTCTTTTTTTCTGGTGAATGGAGTTGTTAAGAGAGTTTTAAATCATAATCTCCCATCGGTTTTTGGAGCATGTCATGAACACTATGAATCCCTTCTTGAATGGAGATGGAGCTGGGGTAGGAGCATTTGAACCTTGAAGGCTTGCAGGGAGGGCCGCTCAGATCTAGAACTGCCACTCTGACGGACACATACCGTAGCTCCCTATCGGGGTTCTCAAACTGTAGTGTCTCTGAATCCTTGGCTTTACAGTGTAGCAGTTCTGATACTAACAACCTTGTTAGCAAGAAAAGCTGCGCTGTAGGAAACACTGCAATGTGACTCAGTCACGCGTCGACGCATGGCTAGTACATACAGTTTGAGCAGCTAAGCTCAGATTGTTCTCACACTAGAAATTGGGGCATTTGAGAAAGTTAGTTTGTTGCAGCAATGTTTCTGCAATAAAAGCTCCCAAAAGAAAGAAAATCAAACAAGATGTTTGTGTTCAGATAGGGTAAGGTCAGTCTGCCTTTAGGATCGATTCTCGTTCAATTGCCCGAGCTGTCCCTCCAGCACAAGCTCTCTTCCTCCGATTACTCTTTGGCACACGCGTATCCAAGGCACTACTAAAGGTAACGAGTGTGTGCAGGAGGATAAGCTTCTTCTGCAGATCTTACGTCGCTTCACTTCCCCGGCAGCGCACAAGTCGTGTGGGCGGATTCGGGAGATCCGTGCCGAGACGCGGGGAAACCCCGTGTTTCTAAAGGCTGGTCCACACACTCGCGCGAGTCCGACAGTGTGAGACTACAACGGCTCGCGACGTTAATCCTTTTACAAGTTGCTATGGCAGCAACTGTGTCGGTTCCAACAAAACCGGTTTTTACCTTGTCTTGTTGGAGCCGACGCAGCTGTTGACCCATAAGAGGCTTAACGCCGCAGGCCGTTGCAGTCGCAGTCGGTCAGACTCGCACAAGTGTGTGAACCAACTTTAAGAGTCCTCGCTCTGTACGGTCGCTCGCGCGACGACACTGTTGCCGGACCACGACAATTGTTGTCGGCCACTTCTTTTGTGGCCTTGCGGGGCCACGGCCGCCCTTGGAGGGTGACGTCCCCTGATGGCGGCCGACCATCGCCAGCAGAGTCCCCGCCCGTGGCCGGCAGGGACAAGGAGAATGAGGTGGGGCCCAAGCGCAAGAGCCCGGAGGCCGGCCTGCGCCCCCGCACCAGGAGGTTGAGGCAGCAGCTGGAGGCCCCGGGGACGCCTCTGGGGAGGGGTCAGTCGGCTCCCATGGGCGATTGCCGGCGGGGCGTCTGCCGGGGCGAGGGGCGGTGTGGGGGGGTCTTGACACCAAGTCGAGATTCTCGGCTTGGTGTCAAATAAACGTCATTACTATTATTAATCTTATTATTATAGGATTTGAACTCCATTTAGTCATTCGGCGAATACTGCAGTCTTGGAATCGTCTCTCTGAAGTTTTCGTGCGTCATACGAGAAATTCTGAGCTTTTGGACGATTAGTGTCGCTGGGTGGAAAACGGTAGCCTGCAAGTTCGGTAAAACGGCCTTTTCGTAGATGACGTAACGAGGGACTCGTTTTGATATAAACTAATTTGTCAGAAATAAGCTCGCGTAATTACAAAAAACCTCGAGATTAGGGAAAAAAAAGAGGGTCGGGACAAACGCCGAGTCTCGGTTAAGGCCTCGTGTTGGTCCCGTCACCCTTCTTCACCGTAGTTTCGGCGTTTTTCGTTGTTTTTTTTTCAATATAAGCTAGCTCATTGCACCCTTACTTTTTGTTCATACGCTTACAATTGATCACACTGGAGCCACTCAGCGATACAGAGGGCATCTTTTTAATTATCCTATATAACTTATATGAGGCAATATTTTGAAGTTCAGTAGTGTTGACGATTGGGCTAGTTGGTCATTCATATTAGCGGAAAACAAACAGCGCAAGGACAAGGACAGAGTAGCGCTGTGTGTGTCTACCGCCTTCTACTCTGTCCTTGTCCTTGCGCTGTTTGTTTTCCGCCAATATTTTGAGTCAATAATGTCGTCGCTCCCAATCACTTTAAAGGGGCCCTGCAATCATATTTAAGCGTCCACCTTTTTTGCAGTTTCCATGTCTCTTGGGGTTCGGGCAAGCCAGCAGGCACGGAGAGAGTAACTAAATATCAGTGCGTCATATTTTAATCGGACGACGCGGAAACCTCCTCCACCGACAAGGGCGACCCGCGGTACCGAAAGCGCGCGAAATGTGACGTCTTTGGTCCTGGGCTTACTACAGGTCAGAGCCGCTAAAAACTTCTTTTTAGTCGAAATACAAAATATAAGTGGCGCGAACCGTTTCAATTATTTATAAAAGTAGTGTTTGTTCAGTATTTTAGATAAAAAAAGAAACGAATCCGGTTCATAAAGTACGGAAACAAGGAATAACCCGTCGACACACCCGCCACCAAGCGGTGGAAAAGGCGGCGCATAATAGAAAGGAGTAGTGGGATCAGGCGCTGACACGGAAAGGCCACGGATGTATGCGGCGGCGCTGCGGTCGTTTGGGCAGGAGGATCCGACCGGCTCCGAGCGTTCTGAAGGCCTTCGGCGAGAAGCTTTCTCTTGCGGTTTGGTCGTTTCGCGGTATGGCAGTGCAAAGTAGCTCCCATTCTGAACTGATCTTTACCCCGTGTTTGCTGTCGTTTGTGGCCAATGAAGTGTCATGCCGAATTAGTATTTAATCACGCAGCAAAAGCAATGAGAGCCACTCTGGCTGCCTGTGCATAGAGCCTATCCAGAACACGCTTCAATGGCGCCCTCTTGCGCCGTCAACTCGGAGTGCGGCAGCCGTGAGCGCTCGATAAGCTCACTACCCCTCCTCTAGTTCATGGCCACTCTCAAGCAACCAAGGATGTCATGAGGGAGGTTATTTTTTGCTTGTTTTTGTAATTTTAATTTGCCTATAAGTTTTGAAATAAAGGGAATTTTGAGAAAGGAAAAGTTTTACTAAGTTACTACATTGAGTGCACTCAGGTTCGGTGCAAATTAAAAATTAGTAAAAAAGTCATTGCAGGGCCCCTTTAAGGTCTAGGTATTGTTTGGCTTGACTACAAGGGAGCTTTCGCCTACCGCCCAACTGGCAGTCTTCAAATTGCGAGTTTGTCAGATAAATCGAAATCTGCAGTATTTTACTAGGGTGTCTATTTGGATTTTATTGAATTTATCCGAAAACGTGGGTCCCTAGAAAATTTTAACCGGGTGTTGGGAAGTTACTAGTACGTGCAGAGTAGAGCGGGAATGCAGTGTGATTGACACCGACAATCCACTCGATACATAAAGCAATTGCCGTCAACCGGGCCATGCGGGTGTTACTGGGGGTGCCAGATTTATTTCGGCCTGAAAACTATCCTAACATCCACGCGGCAGCATTGTCGTCTCATACATTGCCTTATTAGTCGTTAAGTTTTAGTCCGACAATTGTGTAAGCCTAAGAATTCGGGAGTGGGATTATGGCAGACGCCCCGACTGCTTTTTCGCTTCCAATGGCTCGTTCGGTCTGCCTTGTCTGCTTGTACTGGTGCCTTGACTGCTTGATTGCATCGTGAGAGTGCTGAAAGGGCGGTGCTTTGGGGGGGGGGGGGAAGGAAGGAGGGGGAACAGTTTGCTTGGCCTGCTTTGCTTTGAGCTTGTTTCTGGTGCTTGTGCGTCTTGCCTTCCTGCCGATGATATGGAAATCTGGAGGGAGACTGATCGTGCACACTTTAATGGGAGCACAAAGTTCTGGGCAGGTGTCTCTCCCAGGCAGCGACGCACATTTTACCAGAAGCGCTACTTTTGTGGCGTCAACGCAAAGGAAGGGCACCTGTGCGGAGTATTGTGCCTTGGGGTCAAGTTCTTTTCCTGTTCTCTGAAGCACGTTTTCATTGTCTGTTTTGCCACATCTGCACTTGCCTATTGGGAAGCCAGTTTCGTCCTATACCTGGTTTTGTGCTCGTCTGCTGGATTGGGTTATGGGCTTTTGGCTGTGGCGCAGTTCCAGCTAGTGCATCTTGCAGTCACTGTGCATGGGCTTGCGGTTGGAAGCTCGCTTCTGCACGGGATCAGATTGCGCACTGTGAATTCTGCTATGGCACAACTGGCAGCCGTGTTGTTCTTGCAATGGGGTGCCTGCTTTGTTGCTCAGTGGCTGCGCTCGACCATTCTTCCCAGAGTGATACTAAAATGAGGTCTTTCGCTTGTCCCACAGACTCTGCCAACCTTCCTGCAAGTGGAGATACCACGGTAAGATTATTTTTGTTCTCGTGGCTCACGTTTCCTGATCATGGCCTCAGAGATCCCAAAGCGCGCGCGCGAAGGCTTTTCCGGCCGTCCCATTCGTCTCGCTCCCCAGCAGAAGAGTGTAATTGCTCTAACTCCGTCGCTCGCCGCGAAGCTGCGCTGTCTGCCCAGTCATAACGGAGGGCGAGCCGTCAGCGTCGCGGGTGGAGATCTCTACTAGTACGGGCCAGACTGCGGGCCACGGGCCGGCCCGGCAATCGGGCTGGGCTCGGGCTTCACGTCAACATTCATGAAGGGCCCGGGCCGGGTACGGGCCTTGCATTCAAGTCTACAAGGGGAGCCAAAGAGGGCCAAACCGGCCATTACTTTTTTTTTTTGGCAGCTTGTTCTTCGGATATGTGTTCGGGGGTTGGGAGAGGAACTACAGTGGGGGATAAACAGATGCTGAAGCATGTGTGTGTGGGTATATGTTTTGTATGGTTCGATGTGTGCAGCGAATGCTCTTCCAGAGGACTAGTGGCGCGGCGTTCCTTTTCGTCCCCGTCGGCGCCGCCGTTATCATACAAACCATCTACGCACGAGTGCTTGCATCCCCAATAGGGGTGAAGAGGCTCCCCTGAGGGTTACTTTTACATAACAATTTCTCGCAGACCACCGCAAAAGACAACGACATTGCTGTTTCTTTTTTTTTTTTTTTTTTACGGTTCTGCGCAGCGAAAGTGGCTAATTTAGAACTTTGCCCGTCTTTTGTACAAACGCGTTCCGATGTTTCTCTTCCTTTCCAACTGTGACACGTGGTTTTGTTTACTTCTGCTTGTCATTTTTGTTTTTGCGTCCTTTCCGCATGTGTTTGATCGCAGAATGTCAATTAAGTTACATCACAGAGTGCATTATGGGATACGCAGTGTTCTGTGCTACATGTGCCAAAAACTAGACGTTTACAAGATAATTAATGCCCAACCTTTTCAATCAGTACCTACAATTATCACAAAGTTTATAAAAAAAAATGGCGAAATCATTGCGAGGTGGTTGTACCTCACCGCCATAAGTTTTTCCCCAAAGCCGGTGTCACACTGCTTGTACGTACATCATACAAAAGACAGTCACCCCAAAATCTGAGCTCCGAATGCCGCAAGGCAAGGAGTTCAAGGAGACACTTGGCACATGGCATTTGAACCACGGATATCGTGGTGACTGATATCTGCTGATGGTTTTTTGCATAATGTATAAGCAGTGTGACCCCGGCTGAGAGGTATACTTCTAGTAGAAGCAAACACCGCAATACGACCCGCAAAAATTCCGTTATAAATATTAAAAATAATAAAAGAAGGACAACACGGACTTTACTATATAGTATCAAACCTCGTGAGGCTCAAAAAGTTACGGCAAACAACATGCGAGGGTAAAAAAAAGAAAAAATATTGCAGCATGATTATTTTTATTTAGGGAAATACGATTTTTTTTTTTATGTACGGAGATTTTTTTGTTTTATACGTGTTACAGATTGCAATCAAATATACCAAAAGGCGCGCTTGTAGCGCTAGCCGCAACATGTCGAGTATAATATCTGAAATTAAATAACTAAATAAGCATCACAACTTGTCTATGTACATCCCCAGAGCAGCTGTTCACCTTTCTACCACAACACACAAAAATTTGTAAGTATAAGTTGCAGTAACTCGACGTAACAAGACTTTTTCTTGAACTCTTCTGCCTCGCGCCATGCTGTCGATGACTGGGTTGGGAGCGCCTCCCCGCGGGGACGAGCCGCCTCCTTCTCTTTTTTCGATTACGCCCTCTCCGCACGAATGGGGCGGCCGGAGATGTGTTTGCGCGCTTCGGAATCTTGGAGGCCATATCCCGATTATGGGCAGACACGGGGCAACTTGCTCAAAACAGGGAGCACTGCCAGATCTGGTGTCCAGTCGGAATGGCGCTTGAAGATGGCGTCTCGTGCACTTGCACGCGTCGGATGCGTCTTGGCAGTGCCTTCTCACGATCTCTTAGGTCCGTTGCGAACATGCTGGCCCTAGCCTTTTCTGTGTTTCTGCTCAACTCTCTTGGTTAAATTTTGTTTGGCTGTGTAATCGTTGGAGGCTGTGCTGGCTACTTTGAGACGACTCTTCAGGCGACGAGATGTCTTTATAGCTTATTTGATACTCAGCTGCTCGGAGCACAACTAATGCTCTGCGAGTCTGTGTTTGCAGCAGCAATCCAACTTGTGCAAACAACTTTTTTTTTTAATTGTAACACAGTGCACAAAAGACAAAAACACAGAGTAAATAGAAGAACATAAGATGAGTGCTGACCCTCAACTGAAACATTTAATGAAAAGAACACGAAATACTAACAGCGGCAAAAAAACAAACAAAACCACACAGTCACTGTCAATCGACGCGTGTCAAGAAAAACAGTCTCCTTCCAACGTAAATTGAGCGATGCTTGGCTGACACATCGGTCCTCCCCTTCTGATGATGGTTACCATAATTATCAAAGTCGGGGCAACACTCGCAATCTGTGCAGCGTAGAGGAAGGTGGCCCCCCGCAGTCGATCGGAGGGTCCAGTTGTGCTCTCTCATTCTCGTGTTCACACATCTTCCTGTTTGGCCGATGTGTGCTCGTCCACAAGTCAGCGGTATCTTATAAACGAAACCTACAGCGGATTCTATATATTTCTTTCTATGTTTTATTGCACATGCCTAATTGTTGTCGTTCTTGTTTGCAACTCTGAGGCAGCCCCAGAGTTGCGAACTCTGGGGCTTGCTAGCCCAACCAGTGGAGCATCTGCTGGTTCTTTCGTCATCCTTTTGTTTGGATTGTTTTGTCTAAGCATCGCGCCCCATTCAATCTCCCCACCCCAGCCTCCAAACTTAGGGAGAAAACGGGTGCCCCCCACCACTTCTGTGTATGCCACTGGCCCTCTTGGGTGATACATAGGGGAAGAACTTAATACAATAATTTACACAACAGAACCAAGCTATATAAGACAGAAAAACAAAAACAGAAGCTACAAAACGCATACAATAAAATTATTTGGTGTAACACCATCGAGAAAACTCCCTAAAAATGTTTTCCGAATCCAATTGTGAAACAGTGTCGGTTGAACTTGCACAGGCATATACAACCTATTCAAACCGCAATGTGTGTACGGCAGAAAAATAAGACTCGGGCGGAGCATGACAGTTGAAAACGGCCTGCCTCCATTCCGCCTTACGACAAACCGCAGAGGACTGCACACGCCACCGAAAATGAGCTAGTGCCACGCGAGTGTCACGTGGCCTTCAGAATGGGAGCAGCGATGCGTCTGATAGTGCGACACATTTACGGCGCTGCATTAGCCGGGCTTGCGTCGGATGCAGCTCATCGTAAAGCTTCGGTCATCGTACGAGCAACAAGGTGTTCGCAGCAGACGCAATATTTATCTGCGTTCATGTCTCACAGATGTTCAAACATGTCTGGAGACTGTCTTTTGCATGATGTGTTGAGGTAAAACGTCTGTCTTTCCGCCTGTTGCCCGACCGAGTGTCCTCTTCTACTGCAGCGGACCTCCGGCAAGAGGGCCGCCGGCGCGTCCCCAGTGGTGCCCCCCAGGGCTCCGGCGCGAGTGCTCCCCTCCAGGGGCGGCGTGACCACGCGAGCACGCCGGGCGGCTGCCTCAGAGTCCCACGGCGAGGACCCTGAAGACTGCAAAGTGCAGTAGCGGGCGCCTCTGGGGCCTCGCTGCCCTCGACCGCCGAGCCGGCTGGGGAGCGGGAGCGGTGTTCGTGTCGAACCGGATCGGTCGCTCCCGCACCACGTTCCTGCTTCCGGCATGTCTGTGAGAGCGCTGCGTCCTCCGGGAGGGCTCTAAGAAAAAAGCACATTTTATGTTTTTAAATATAATTACCTACTCTTTAATTTAATAATATCGTTAATACCCGCTAGGCCATTAGAATGATTAATTGCTTTACGGGTACTATTTTTTTTTTTTTCTCATTGGGCAAACACCAGGGCTGGAGACCGAGTTTGGGCAACTCGGTGTCCAGCTCTGGTGCATTTTTATACTGTCGAGTCGAGTATTTTACATTATGGTTCGCGTTAAACAATCATCACTGTATTATTTTGGTGAATGTATCGAGTGTACTTTTGGACCAATTCAATAAACTTGTAGTGTCTCGACCAAGATTCTTTTATTTGTACAGCCTGGGGTGACCCGGAATATGTTGGTTATCTATTTACACTGTGGCAGTGATGTGATTGCTGCGCCAAACTGCGCCAATGGGCTAACCCTGCTACATCCTGCTACGTTTTGCCGAAATATGGGTAATCTGCGCCAAGCCTGCGCCAAAAAAAACAATTTCGGTCGCCTTTCAAAACCGAAACTAAACTGACTACCGTAACTGAGCATGCATCTGTTATGCGGCGCAAGCGGCCGCCCGACACAAAGTACCCTGCGTCAATTGTCCCTCTGGTCTTGCATAGTTTTCCTGCCGTCTCGCGATTCGCGCTCTCGTCGTCTCGTGAGTCTCGTCCCGCGTCTTTTTTAAAAATATATTCAACGATAGACGCGGGTGTGTGCGGGCGTTCCGACGCTAGCGTGCCGGGTACTAGCCATGCCGTCATGCTGTGAAACGAAACCACATTTTTGCGAGGCGAGAGTTACTTTGTGAGCTGAAACACTCGCTCCTGAAAGCAACGGCTGCGGGAAAACTATATTTGGTTTCTGCCTTCCAGCACCATGGTCGCGCAACGTCGGGTGTTGCCGTCCCCATGTCGGTACAGATATGGCGCTTTCTAAAATGAAACTACGTACTGCTGCATGTTCATCAACATTCCTGTTCTTGTTTAAATCATAAGTTACTACAAAAATCCCTCTTTAACTCAGAGACTGCTCTGACGAAGTATTGATTACCTAGGTTTCTCTCGGCGGGCTTTCTTTCGAGAGGGACCCCGGTACGCGAAAAATCTGACAAGATAGAAAGTTGGTGAAGGGAAGTGAGCTAAAGCAAAGAAGGCAATGTCTGCACACTGAACCCGCACAGCGCGCTTGTTTGTCTCGAGTTCAGTCGTTGCACTTATGGTCTTGTCACACTGCGGAAACAGTCGGAGAACTTTGTCCCTCAGCACGAGGAAAACATGTTTTCGGGGACCCTGTCTTATTGCGGAAACAGCAACAGTCCGGAAACATGTTGCTGTCGTCCGAAAACCATGTTTCCCAACTTGTTCTCCGACACTCGGGGAACATCCTGTCACACCGGGAAAGCGTGTCGGAAGAACACAAATTTCCTCCTCTCCTGCGCGCTGCCTCTCTGTCGCCCTCGTCTGCCCGGCCGGCTCGGCTCGGCTATACTTCGTTTCAGCTTCGGTCCAGACGCAGCCAAAGCTACAAGCGCGAGCTCCGGGCTTTCAGCGTCCCTTCCAAGCAGGCGCGCTCGTGCAGTGCAAGCACTGTTCTGGGCCACATGTTCGCGCTTGTAGCATCGGCTGCGTCTGGACCGAAGCTGAAACGAAGTATAGACGGCTAGGCTCAGATCTGCTGGCTCCGCTCGCCCCTTGAATCGTTGCCACTTTGGATCGCCATCGCTCTACCGTAGTCGATTCATCAGCCGTGCGAACCATCTCGTGTTCTCTGGATTTGGCGGTTGCGTTCTGCTACAGGGCTAGACCCTTGCAGGATGGCATACGCGCCGGCCACAGCAGCAGCTTCTGCTTTGGTGCTTCTTTGTGCCATCGGTTCAGATGTTTCTGACGATCAGCTGCCGCCGCGCAAGAAGCCGCGTTCAAAATGGACCAGCGAGTGGCTCGCAAGAGTGCATCTGTACTGAAAAATATAGATGTTGCCGTGTTGCTGGAAAAAAATTCGCTCAGCCACCGAAATGGGCAACACGCGTGTCGTCCGACACAAGTTGCCGAGGTTTCCGTTGCCAAAAGCTGTCGTCCATGTTGTGTTGCTGTTTCCTCAATGTGACAGGGTTTTCAGGCAACAAAGCCGACAGCCAACATGTTTCCCGACTCTTGAGAAACATATTTTGTTGATGTTTCATCCATGTTTCCTCAATGTGACAGGGCCAAAAGCGGTCCAAGAACTTTTTGACTCGTAGTATCTTGCATCGATGCGCTCAGGTTATTTTTTTGTGTGTTTAGCTTGTATTTTGTTTGCCGGCTGGGCAAACACGCGCCGCTGGACTGTTTTTGGTCGTACGCTCGAAAGTTAAATTATGCATACGATTTCGGGAATCAGTTGGAGACGGAGCAGAGTGGTATGGTTTCGATTTTGATCGAACAGCCGTTGTCTCCGCTTGCGCGATGAAGCACGCGCAACTGCAAGCCTGCAGAAGTTGCCCTCACGTGCATGCGAACATGATTGCACGATAGACGCACCAGCCGGGACGCTTGCAGCCCATCATTTGACGTTTGCTTACTTTTGACGAATATCTGGCACGTCGGGAACCAGTAAAACGGTAACAAGTTTTTTTTTTTTTTTTTAATTGCTTGGTTTGCCTACAGGACTTTATGCACTTATGGGATGTCTCAGCAGTAAAAGCACGAGCAGCGAGTTCCGTCACAACACGTCACATCAGAACACAACACAACACAAATTCCTTCGTTTGTACAGCACTTAGAACGAATATATATATTTTTTTTTTCTAAGGATATCTGCTCCAAAAGCCACTTTTGCTGCTCCGAAACACTGTTTTGGTTGCTCCAAGGGCCACATTTGCTGCTCCAAAACACTGTTTTGGCTGCTCTAAAAGGTGCTCCAAAACGGCTTAGGCCAATCACATCACTGCTGTGGGCATATCTCTTGTATGCCAATGTCAGGGGTGGAAGCGCTGCGCCATTGTGCAGCAATCCACTTTTGCTACGCCACCCTGCTTCCAAGCACCCATGTTGCACCAAAACTAGCCGAAAAACCTTTTTTTTTTTTTTCAAGCTATATTAATTGGAATACTCTTCTTTTTGGGCTACAGTGCTTTGTTCGTTTAGGTAATTTTGAACCAATAAGAACTTTTAGCAAACCGTTACCGTGCTTTGTATACCGTATACCGCACTACCGGAGCCTTTGAAGCATGCTTTTAAGCGTGCTCCCGAGCGATGCCGTGACAGTGGTATGCGTGCTTAAAAGCATGATTCAAAGGCTCCGGTAGTGCGGAACACTAATGGTTTGCTAAAAGTCCCTATCGTTATGAAACCACCACACCTATCTGGTCGTGTCAACAATGTGTAGGTCTGATCTCTGAAAATGGGACACGTGTAGGTCGTTTTGTCGGAGTACTGATCAGTACTCTGACAAATAACGAAATTATGCCTTGAGACATCATTTCGTCATTTAGGCATTTACTTTTTTTTCTTTATTTTTTTAATGTGCCGTGGCATTGAGCATGACCGCAAGTATTCGAAATGCCACAGACTTGCATTAATTTGTGTATACCGTAAAGTCTCGTATGGACGTCCACCCCTTAGAAATAACCCATCCCATTTTGTTAATCTCAACGCAGCTCTTAGGCGCCTGTTTCCGGCTTGAGCGGCATCGGCATAATCGTGAGGTCGCATGACCCCGGTGACGTCACGTGACCTCACGGTTACGCCGCCGCCGCTCGGAGGAAGGAGTAGCTGGCAGGACGAGGAGCAGGGACATACCCTCCCCTCAGTACCCTTCCCTCCTCATCCTCAAGAGCTGCGCTCTAATTCTGTGTTACAGGAAGTTGTAAACGGCTTTCATTTTTTTTGGTCTGCGATTTGCGCGCACAATATAGGTTCCCATGACGGCCGAGTTTATAGCGGCTGGGTTCTTGCGTGTATATTGCACTGTGAAGCGTGAATTGTTGCGACGGCCTTCCTTGGCTCCGTCCTGGAATTCGCCTTCACCTGTCACCAACGGCAGCAAAGTCTCTTGTTGTGTTGGGCCCCGACGCGGACAGAGTCGCACTCAGATCCCCGAGACCAACCAAAAGGCCCTTCCCCCCTTTATTCGTCTTCCTCCAATATATTGTCACGAAGGACAATTGATGAGGCGACGAAAACTGAAACAAACTAAATGTTTAATGGGGCAAACTTGTGCCCAAAACAAAAAGGAAACAGAAGATAACAATGGAGCGTTGATGGCGGCGTAACAGCAGGATCGAATGCTGGGGCATGACTGACTTCGGCTTATTATACGAAGTCTCTTATGTACTCGCATGGGTGTGTGGAACATTCGGCGTAGAAGGTTCAGCGACGAACATTTGGACCTCCAACAAGCTACAGGGTTCTCGAATTTACCAGAACATGAAATTGCAAGAATAAATAAGACGCGTCGCTCCCAGGAATCGAACCCTGGCTCTTCGCGTGGGAGGCAAGCATGATAACCGTTAGGCCTCAGCCGTGCTGCCTACTTGGCCAGCTGTGCACGCGGCAATATATACATGGACGCCTGACAACAGGCCGCAATCTTTCTTCGTTTCAGCTTCCGTCCGAGCGTGACTCTACCCACGCTGTACCTGCAACCCTCAAATCGCTAATCCCAAATGTCATCCCTCAAAAACAAGCTATTTTATTGCAAGATATGATTTTGATTACACTCATGCTTGGGGGGGGGGGGGGGGGGGGGGGCGGCGGGGTTTGTGGGGATATTTATACAGCGTGTTGTTGGTCTGCCATTTAAAGTTGCGACGAGTCACTCGCTGTAGATGAGCAATTTAGCCACTGCGGTACAACCGCTAGCCTGGGGTCTTTAACGTGCACCACGCAGTAGTGATCCACGACCGCACGCCGGTATGATGCTCATCCAGATCGAGACGGGCAGGGGTGGGGCTCGAACCCAGGATCCCTGGGTTCTGCAGCGCGAGCTTTCGCTCCACGCGTGTCGAGCTGGGTGTGCGCTTTAGCCCACTCGGCCACCGGGTTCGAGACACCCTGAGATGCCCGAGACTTCAAAGGGGCACTGACACATCAAAATCATATTTTGTTTTTGTTTATTATCCGAAACGATTGAAAACGATGCCGGGACATTACCCTCAAAATTCGAAACCTGGAAATTCAGTTTTTTCTGAATTAAAAAAAAAAAAAAAAAAAAAAAATTCCAAATGCCGAATTTGAAGTTCCCGCGCGATCTGCGCCAGTGCAGTGAGTCAAATTTTGCAGTCTCCTGCGACTCGACTTTCTTTCGGACCTCCGCTCCACGCTACCGTTGCCACCGCG